ATTGACACACACATGTATCTCAATAAGATCTACAAAAAAGTCCATGCGCGCGTATCTGTATAATGTACGGTTAAAGGGTTATTCCGCATTTTTTGCCGATTCGCACACATTGGAATTTCGCTAACTCCTCCGAAGGCTTTCGTTCCACCGGCACCACATTTGCTCAGGCCAATCTACACTCCATGGCCATTAAAAGTTATTCAAATCATGACGCTGCACCCCACGGTTTACGTTCTAGGGGGCGCCAAAGATAACCCAAAAATCCACATTTTTAAAAGTCTTATAACTTTTTATTTTTGTCCTCACTGGCCTCCAAGTTTTCTAGGATGATGCAATGTCCAGCCATCAACACATTTGTGAAGGAATTTTTCTCCCTAAAAGAGCGCCCCCCCATGGCAGGAGAAAAAAGTCCATTTTTTCTTGTCCCCTAAGGTGAAAATACACATTGTTGACTGTCACGCATGTACGCTTTGGCAAAATGACACAAAAATTGACAATCATGTGTATCTCAATTAGATCTACGAAAAAGTCAAAGAGCGCGTATCTGTATAATGTACGGTAAAAGGGCTGTTTTGCATTTTTTGCCGATTCGCACACATTGGAATTTCGCTAACTCCTCCTAAGGCTTTCGTCCCACTGACACCAAATTTGCTCAGGCCAATCTACACTCCATGGCCATTCAAAGTTGTAAAAATCATGACGCTGCACCCCACGGTTTACGTTTTAGGGGGCGCCAAAGATGACCCAAATATACATTACAGTAGACAAAGTAGTTTTGCCCACTGAGTGGCGCCAAAGGGACTTGTCTGTGGAGTCTGTGAGTCACTATTGGCCGTTTTTGACTACTTTAGATTTTACCTTTATATTTCCTCTTACAAAATTTTTACCTTGCCTTGCCTGGTATCATTTTTTTCAGCACAACCTCACCTGTGTCAATTTACAGTTATTTTATCATTTTGACATACTATATTTACACATTGGACCCAAATTCACACACAAAACATAAAATCCGAGTGGAAAAAAGTAACGTTTTTACTGTGAAAACCACAAATATGTGTGATGAACTGTTTTTAAAACTTAAACTTCAAATAAAAATTGTAAACTTCAAAACATATGCAAATTTTTAACAAAGAACATAGTAATTTACCTCTATTTACATCAAAATGCAGGCAATGGCCCAGGTGTTCTTTGTAAAATTATTTACAAAACACTGTATAGTCTCACAAATGTCACTTTTTATTTATGCCACTACAAAAAAACATGATGTAAATGATGCATGATGTAAAACATGATGTAAAAAACTTGTGTATATCCTCCTCTATGTTAGTCCATGTGTAATTTTTCCATAATTCTTTGTTTTTTGCAGCATTTTTGTTAGTGTAACTGCAGATTGTGCTGACAGTGTCTATGGCAAAAAAAAAAACAAAAACTGAAAATGCCTCAACATGAACCCCTGGTGGTCTCTGAGGGTGAAACCTGCTAACTGCTGCAGCTCTGTCAGCTTCAGTCTCCCATGCAGAGCTCGGAGCGCATGTGTGGCTCTGCACCCTTAGCAGCGTTGCTAACTCCTCAGTAAGGAAAGCCTGCTTCATGTCAGAGTCTCTAAACTCCAGAAGAAGTCGATAAAAGTCACTTTCTTTCTAAAAAAAAAAGTCGTTAGGGGGTCTGAAAAGTCATTGAATCTAACAACAAAGTCGCTAGGTTTGCAACTACGTGTCCCAGACTGCATCCCTGCTGAGAGTCCCTCCCTCCCTTCTCATATTGCAGGAAGAACGTAAGCGCCCGCCCCTTGTCAATCAGTCACCATATAATTTTGGATTGGTTGTTGTGGTGAAGTTTTCCACCAATAGGAGAGATGTTGTGGTGTGTTTTTTTTTTCCTTTGGCAAGCCTTTTCCGCCTGTAAGAGCTGTCGCTAATGTCTGCATGCTATGTTTTCCTGTCTCATACAGCGCGATCGAGCGCCGAACGTGATCAAAATAAGCAGAAAACAAGTATCGCGGACATAATTTATCATAACTCTGGTTTTATTTGGCCTATCAACACAATTTAAAAACTGGTATATAGGTTGAGGTCCTCACTTTTGAGATAAGTTGAAACGGAGTCAACGAGGCTCCATCTTGCAGCTACATCCGGTTAAATATGTCATGTGACTTGAACGCACACACACACACACACACACACACACAGACACACACACACACGCACACACACACACTCAGAGTCTGGTTTTTAGCACCTGCAAAAACATGCTATTTACATATTTGACAAGAATGCAGAGGCTCCTTTTGCCCCTGAAAAAAATCAAATTTCAAACACAACTTGACTGGTCATTTCTCCAAAAGACAACCATGAAGCTCCATCCAAACCTGAAGCAGGCAGTTGGTGCATGTGTACAGTAACCTGAGGGGAGTGAGGTGACTGCTTCTGAGGAGAACATGAGCAGTGAAGATTCACCTTAGAGCTAGAACAGAGACGTGCACATGATTATACAGGGGCAGGGGCTCAAGTTTTTTCCAGTTGTTTACACAATATGGAAATTAATGTGAAATTAAAAAACAAAGTATTAATAGAAAGGTAATGACTGTCCTGAGTAGGTGACAGTGATATCCAATAGGCTAGGCACTCAAGAGGCTGGCTGTGGCAAGTGTAAGTGAAAGCAACACGCACTGGCAGGAAGAACAGCAAACGCCGATGAAGGAAAAGGGTCTTTGCAGTGATGGGCGTTACCAGAGAGGGCGATGGCCAGAGGACACAAATGGGACGGGGAGGCAGCGCGTTGGGGGGGGGACGCGACACAGCTCGGGCCCGCCAGTGCCCCAACGGGGTCCTAGTCTCTTATTGTTCTGGCTTTAATGACTTTTTGTGCACCCAGTTTCACTTTTTCAATGCTGTCAGTCCATAATGAAATTACTTTTAGACGAGTTACAGCTGCACATTTTTTCCTCCTCTTTAACAGCTTGAAGATGAATGTAGAGTCAAAGAAAGGCTACTTCATCAAGTGATTTTCGTAACCAAATTGACAAGAAATAGCCCACAGCCCACGCATTTAAACTAAAGAGGAGTGAGTGGAAGAGAGAGTGGCCGTGCAAAGAATTTGTCATCCAAAGTTCAGCATTCTTGAGGTCAAAAGGAGTCCATTTGAGGACTCAGTGTTAAATGAAGCTGAAAACCGAGTGACACCAAGTTCACCGGGCAAACGTTTTACTTTCCCATTTTGCTTAACTCTCTCTCTCTCTCTTGACCATTTTTTCCCTCTCTACCTGCTTTTCATTCATTCTTTCTTTTTCATTTCTTTCACACATGGGCGTGTCTGAAGCTTGAAAAGTGAAAGGGACAAGAAGACAGAAGGAGGGTCACATGGAGTGTCAGTTAAAACCACAGATTCTGTTGAATTTGGGAGTGGAAAGGATGGGCAAAAATTTAAGTAGAGAACGACTAACCCTGAGGTTAATTGTACAGGAGTGGAGGAAGGCATGCTTCCGAGGAACAACTAAACTGACAACTTGAAGAAACCAACGCCCTACCTCGGAATTTCAAGCCATTTAGCATGACAATACTGAAACATTTTCCACTGCCCGGACCCTTTATATACATGTTTGAGAAATATAACTTGGCTTGACTTGTCTTGTCTTGATATGCTGGAGTCACTTTCAAACATATGTTGACAGCCTCATCTATCACAACAACAAATTCTTGAAAGACTAGGACACACACACACACACACACACACACACACACACACACACACACACACACACACACACTCCTAAAGACACACCTACATACCTTTCCCACTGGGTCAAGATAGTTTTCTTTTGCATGTTTGCTTTTTTGGTATTTGCTGCAAGACTTAACATGAGTAGTTTTCCAACACAATATTAATTAATTCACAGCGCTCATGCCAAAAGAACCAAGGTCAGTTGATTGTCTTTGTACTTCATGGTGAAGATTAATTGGAGCCCAGCCATTAAAAATAAGGTCACCAACAGAAGGGGTTTGGCCTTATTGTGAGAAGATCTCCGACCAATAATGAGATGGTTTTACAGGTTTTTGATTTGCATGTTGTATTTGACTTTTTGTGTCGCAAGATAAAAGTCTCTGTGGGAGATTAAAGTGTCACACACAGTAAGGTGTGGTGGACACAACAGGGAGGGATCTACAATCAGATCGATTTATTAAGTCATCTGTCATTCACTGCCCCACAGTGATTGTCTTTGTACTTCATGGTTTAATTAATTAATAGCGCTCATGCCAAAGGAACCAAGGTCAGTTGATTGTCTTTGTACTTCATGGTTTAATTAATTGGAGCCCAGCCATTAAAAATTAGGTCACCAACAGAAGGGGTTTGGCCTTATTGTGAGGAAATCTCCGACCAATAATGAGATGGTTTTACAGGTTTTTGATTTGCATGTTGTATTTGACTCGTTATGTCGCAAGATAAAATTCTCTGTGGGACATTAAAGTGTCACACACAGTAAGGTGTGGTGGACACAACAGGGAGGGATCTACAATCAGATTTATTTATAGTCATCTGTCATTCACTGCCCCACAGTGATTGTCTTTGTATTTCATGGTTTAATTAATTAACAGCGCTCATGCCAAAAGAACCAAGGACAGTTGATTGTCTCTGTGGGACATTAATGCTACCACCACGTCGCTCTATTCTGGGAGGTTGTTGTGAATTTTGTGGTCGAGTGCAGAGCAACAACCGCAGCTAGGACGGGACGCCCCAACATGGTGGCTCTGAGTGTGAGCCTGTGTGTGTGCAGGCGAGAGTGAGAGAATGTGTGTTTGTGTGGGATGGTTAAGCATGCCTTTTCATTTGATGAAACAACAAAATAGAAATCTCTTGAGAACAAACTGCTCTTCCTCTGAACCCAGCATTCCCCTCTCACACACAAATCTCCCTCCCTGTCCTCCACACAGAAAAAAAAAAAACAGTTTGTCATTCCCAACATACTGCAACCTGTCAGCACACACTTCACACTACATTTCCCCTCAGCAGAATTCCACATCCCCTTTCACCAGGAGGGCAGAGGGGGAGGAAAACAGAGCACGACACAGCACTAAGGGAACACTGGAGAAAGCCCAGAGTCTGCTTTTTCTACTACCACTTAAAAAGAAGAAAGGTAAGCAAACTACCTGGGATCCTCTCTGGACCTTCAGAAAACACCAGCTCCACTTTTCCATAATCTGGAAATCTGGGATCTGAAATGTAAGCACACAGGAATCCCATTGAAAAAGATGAATGGTGTAGTATTCTCAAGTTTGTCTCATGTTTTGGAAAATAAGATAACCAGTCTCAGGTGCCAATACTAAGTTAACTGCAGACAAAACCCTGCAGATGCTGCACGGAGCAGAAGAGGAGCTAACATCAGCATGTTGAGACCTGTTCTCTTTTATTTACTGTCAGGTCTACCTTTGTTGGCAGTCTCCATGTCCTCCTTTTCAAACATGAGGTTGTAGCCCTGCACTGCTCCCGTGTGGAACTGCAGCCGGAAAATGACTTTACGCTCTGAAGTGACGTCACTCTTATGATAACATTTGATCTACAGAGAAAAATACAAAAAAGAAAAAAACTCTCAACACAGATTTGAGAAACTTTTAAAAAGAGGCATCTTTTTATTTATTGATTGATTAATTTCAATACCATGATGTCTCCTTTAAGAAGCTGGGCAGGCTCCAGTGAGATGCACATACGGTTTCTATGGCTTGGACCAATATGACTGAAACAAAAACGACAAAGAAGCCGAAGCCAGTAAACACAAGCACAGATAGATTAATAATAATAATAATAATGCATCAGATTTCATATAGCGCTTCATCAGAGACCCTCAAAGCGCTTTACATTGGATACATCATTCATTGGCTCACACAGTCACACTTTGGTGGTGGTGGAAACGTGGCTGCCATTGTGCGCCTACGGCCTCTCCGACCACCACCACACAACACTCACAATCATACACCAGTGGAGGACACACACTGGGAGCAAGGTGGGTTAAGTGTCTTGCCCAAGGACACAACGGACAGACTTGGATTAGGGGGGAATCGAACCGCCAACCTTCCGGTTATTGGACGACCGCTCTACCTCCTGAGCTACTGCCGCCCCAATTGTTTGAAATGATTCCAACAAATGATTCCAACAAATGACTGTAACTCATGCTCAAGCTACTTACTAGATACCAGAAGAATACACCGCCTGCATCCCCTGGTAGACCTTGATATATGGATGACAGACTGTGAAGAAATAATCAACAAGTAAGTTAAAATGCTCTGATCATTTTAGAGAGTGATTGATTCAAAGGATGTAAATGATATCTTTTCACATTAAAAGGAGGGGGGGAATCACAAGATCAGTGCTCAATCAGTTTGAATGGCTCCCTTCTCTTGTGCTGAGGCACAAACACACACACACACACACACACACACACACACACACACACACACACACACACACACACACACACACACAGAGCCAAAGTAAATACAGACAGCAATGGCCTGTTTTGCACTTTGAATAAATGAGCAAACTCAATGTAATGTGACTGGGCAAAGGGCTAAAGAGAGGAGGAACAAATGGGGTAGAAAGTTAATGCAATGTGTGGAAGTTTAATCCTGCTTTTAAATACTGACCAGCCCATGCTTTAAAAGCCTCCCTGCCAATGACTGGTCATGGTTAAAGTGAAGAGAAACAGTGTCTTACCTTTTCAGGTTTTAAAGTGAGTACTTTGATTCCTCTTTTTTTAATCCGTCTGTGTGTCCTCTTTGTCAGAGCTGCTGAAAGAGATGGAGTCCTGATCAAAGAGTCCTCAGCCCGTCATACGGGTTTAATGCAGGCTGAGAAGCTCATTTTCCTCTGCTTGTAATCTGCTCTCAGGTCGGTCTTGAAGTTCACTTCGCCCCTTCGCCTTTTTCTGTGGCTCTGGTTAAAAATATGCAAGTTTTAGCTCGGTTCCTGGACTTTCTGCTGCCTGTTCTCACTGCTCAGCCCCCCAGTACAGAGTACACTTCCTCTAGTCTGGACTGCCGCCGGAGCCGCCACAAGTCCTGGCTTGGGATAGTCCTCCCACTGCGCTACTGAAGCTGTCTCCCCATGTTCCCTCCCCCTTTTTCACTCTGCCTCCCCCTCTCCCCGGCCTCCTCCTTAAAACATTGGATTGTTTTAATCCACTGCTCTGCCCGCAGGTAGGTACTGCGCCCGTGCAGACAGTGGTAACGGAAGCCCCCCATCTGCTGGCCTGGCTGTAGTACTGCAGCTGTGCAGTTAAATGATGGAATAAGTGCGCTTTACCTCCATAATGTCGCCACATATTTGCTCATAAAATGATTACTTGGTCAAATATGACACCATGACATAACAAAGAGATACAACCGCACATTTTTAGGACAGTGTGTGAAGTTACATGAAACCGCCATGGTGCGCGCTGCTGTGGCCAACCGGCGTTCGCGATGCATCTATGCTGGTGGCGCTAGCATCACATGAGGACGAAGAAGAAGCCCGCGGTGCATTTGGGGTCAGTAGCATGCCCGTAGGATGCACCGCGACCATCCTACAATGTGAGCGTGTCTAGTATCTGAAGTAGTATCTGAAGCAGCATGCTACTCGCTCCGGTGGCCAATTCGGACATGCTAGATACTACTTCGACTACTACTTGGCAATTCGGACGCAGCACAGGTGAGGAATCAGTAGGAAATGGTACGACCCTTTTAACTTTAGCACATTGATTTCCACTATTGAGAAAAAAAACAGGCAGGCTTTAAAAACTTGAGGTGTAACCTAGCTGAGGCCTAATTCCGGGATTACAAAAGGGCGCCAAACCCCCCCCCCCCCCGCACACACACACACACACACACACACCCTCTCCCAAAACGGGGAACTGTATGCTATTTATTTTATTCATTTATTCTTTTGTCGAATGTGTTTGCCTAAACCTGTTGAGTTATATTTATACAACTCAAAATATTAGTTTCTATAACTTAAAATGCTTTGTTGTTTATAACCAAAGACTGTCAAAGTCGTTCAGTCGTATTTTGGTACATTTTTAAGTTAGACCTCTAACAATGTTGCACCAACATGGATTAGGTTGCCAATGTAAGGGCCAAGATTAATGACTTGATGTGTCATTGCCTTGATAATGTACAACAGCTTACACCAATGGTCATAAATCTGTAAAGTCTACCTTTTTCGATTTTAGTATCTCGTTTGTTTGTGATGTCCAGACACTTTCCTGAAGACCTCAAGAAAATCTTAATCCAAGATGAACCTGGGACATGTTTATCAATTCTTCTAAATGGCTCATGCATGCTGGTATGCATGCCCATCCAGCTCTTGAATATTTCTCACATTGCAGCCCTACTTATTATAATAATACTTAGTATAAAATATGGTACTGTCCTCTTAATCTCTGATAGTGTTGGTAGGGGTTTAACAAGTTTGCAAACACGTGGATTAGCGCCATCTATAGGTAAAAACAAAGATTGTTTTTGAAACAAGACTACACCAGCCTCTCCATATACAATGAACTGTTTTCTTCTGTAAAACATTGCAGAAAACTGGCTGATAAAGTAATCAGTACATTTGGACTAAATTGGTTAAACAGCTTTATTTTGGGTCTCTTCAGAGAGACATTTCTTATGCAAATAAACAAAAAACAAAACAAAACAAAACATGGTTGATCATTACATATTGGTCAGTGCTATAAGCTAAAACTTCAAACTCATGGTTTGCAAAGGACAAAATAGTACTCAAAATAACACATATTTTAGTCAAGCAACTACAACATCAGGGCAAGAACTGCTAAATTAATGTCATCGCCACGATAAGGCTGAGACCAACAAGGACATTTGATAATGCTTTGAATTCCATTCAAAAAGTCTCATACTCTACTAAGCAATGACAAATATATTCAATTGTAATGTACGTGTTAAGGGGAAAAAAACATCATTTATACACTGTAGATCATATAATATTGTAACACCAAATCACCACAAACTGCAACAAGTAAAATCAAAATAAGCAAATGAATCAGAGTCAAGATTTAAAACAAACCTCCCAAAATCTAACAGATAGGAAATTTTTAAAAAGCAAACTACATAAAAATGGCTGGTATCTTGTCTAGTTTAATTCACTTTAATGCCATATACTAAAATTGTATGTTGTTGGTATGAGTAGTACTGCTGGAGGTGAAGGTTAGGCTGTAAGAAGAGGTGTAATCAACACTGCCTCTACGAGATCCACTCCTGGAGCCTGTTCGTGAACCGGCCCTGGACCCAGAGCGGGACCCTGGGTTGGAGACGTTGTAAGGGCTGCTGATCCCTTTGGATGAAATGGAGGAGGCTTGCAGCATCTTCATCCCATTACTTTCCTCTACCATGCAGCTATCCATGGCTTCCTTGTAGGAGATCTTCAGTTTGGTTTTTGGGCATGTCAGATTCTTCTGGTAAGTCCTTGTGTCTTGAAGCTTTTGGGCACCTTTCCCATCCAACCAACCTTTCCTGATGGCCTCTTCGATGGTGATGCGACGTCCTGTGCCTGGCTCTATCAGGCCTCCTGTCAGGTACTGAAACTCCAAAAATCTCTGGCCAGCTTCATAGGGTAGCCATGTCTCCTTCACTGCCTCCGCTGCTGACATCCTTCTTTTGGTCTTCACGTCTTCAAATCCAGCATAGGCTTTCTGTGCAGGTTTGAGTTTAGTGGCCATACTTTCATCAATGATGCACTGATGCACCGCATCCTGTAGCGACAGTCTCTCACCAGTAGCAGGATTGATAATACCACCTGTGCATGTCTGGGCCTCCAGGAGCCTCTGAGCTGTTAGAGTGTCAACTATACCTCTCCGGAGTGCTTCAGGGATAGTTATTTTCTCCAAGGTCTCTGTGTCAAATATAGCTGCCACAGGACTGTGGTCATCAAACATCTCAGGGGGAGATACAGTGATAGAAATACTGTCAAAGCGTTTGCGGACAGTGGGGGAAGATGGTGCCATTTGGGTGGGGCTGCTGCAGGTGACCACGTCATCTACAGTACTGGCTGCAATGGACATCCCAGTGGCACTAGTTTTGCTTGTTATTTCATCAGCGAACTGGGTCAAGGTAAGTGTTCCAGCACGATACTTGTCCAACATCTGCTGGTCAATGACACCGTGGTCCAAGCAGTCCTGGATGTCGTATTGGGTTCCTGTTTTCCTGTCCACTATCACCAAACGTGTAGAACCGTCAGACCCCTGGATGGTTATTTCCTCCCACTCACACTCCTGCTCTGACAAGTCCAGGAAAGTGTCATAGTCGATGAGCTCTCGATGATAGGCTTCTCTCACTGACATCTCTAGCCCAGTGTCCGGATCAACAATCACTACTCGCCTCTTGCGAAGAACATTGGAACGGCTCTCTTGTGATTTCTGGGGTTTGTTCTTGTCTCTGATTGGCAGTAGAATTAGTTCTGTTTTCTCATCTGTGATGCACCTGTCCTTCAGCTGGAGATAAGTCAGGTTTTCCTTAGTGTTAGGGTCAAAGAACCCCTTAGTGTCATCACCTTCATAGGTCAAGATCTCATTCATCTCCTCATCAAAGTATCCCCTTTTATAGGCAACTGCGACATCAATACGATGGCTCTCTTTGGGGTCAATAATCCCACCGCTGGCAATTTGGGCCTCAAGGAGACGGATTCCATGACCTTTCTCTATAAGTTCCTTCTCAATAGCCTGGAAGAGTGAGATTGTCTTTCCTGTGGCTGGGTCTCTGTATCCAGTTACTGCCTTTTCTGCAGACAACAGCTTCTTCTTAAACTCTTTTCCAATCACCCCCCTCTTTGTGGCCTCCTCTACTGTCAAGAAGACATTGTTGACTGGATCAACAATGAAACCAGAGGCAGCTTGGGCCTCAAGAAGCTCCAGGGTGGTTCCTCTCATGAGCAGACCTTCCTTCATTGCCTGATAGAAAGGCATTATCCGGTCATTGGCCTCATCATAGAGCCCTGCGATGCAAGTAGAGCCATAGAGGTAAGACTTAAGCTTGTTTTCAATATCTCTGCTGGAGAGTTTGCCCTCCTTGAGCTTTGCCAAATCAGTTTCATCCAGCAGCTCGGACTCAACAAGCTCTGGGATAGTGACTTCACCACGAAGACCCTTCACTGTCATGGGTTTTTCTGGACCACGGAGCAGAAGCAAACCAGAAACAGGTTCCACTGTACACTTCTTCCTCAGGTCATTATAGCTTGTCTTCTTCTTTGTTGCAGGATCAAGGTAACAGGTTGGTTTCTTGTTCAGAGCTCTGTAAAGATCCTCATCAATGAGATTGCGATCCAAGGCCAGATCTTTTGGAAGGTACACACTCAAAACAGGGTCAATAATGCCTCCAACAGATTCTTGAGCCTGGAGCAAGCGCACAGTTGTGTCTTTGTCTATGTGGCCCTGTTTGCAAGCCTGACCTACAGATAGCACTTTGCCTGTGTATGGGTCTTTGAAGCCTGTGCTAGCTGCTTCAGCTTTCACCAAGATGTCTCTGTCCTCTGTGTCCACGATTCCTCTTGAACAGGCGGTATCCACAGGCATCTTCTCATTAAATGCAGGGTCTATGATGTAACCTGTTGCTGCTTGAGCCTCCAAGAGCATGAGGGCGCTCTCTGGACTGAGGAGCTCCTTGTTTTTGGCTTCAGTGAAAGGCATTTTTCCTTGAGAGCCTGTTGTCATGCCAGCAATGACACCTGTACCTTTCAGATTAAGTTGAATATCAACAGCCACCTCATCTACTGTCCTTTTCCCTTTCAAGAGCTGGTCTAGAGTGGTTTTACTTATTATGCCACAGTCGCAGAGTTGGTGGGCTGTGACTTTGCGGCGCACTCCATCAAATATCAGCTTGGATGGATCAACTGTGTGGACCATCTCATCTGTCTGGGTGAGCCTGCTAGTAGAGCTAGGTTTCTGCTTTAACCTCAAAATTTCTCTCTCAAGGGCATCCCTCTTGAGAGCCAGCTCTTTTGCCTCTTTTTCAGAGTTGAACAGACGACTCTTGTACCTCTCCTCAACACTCTTTAGCTCTCTCATGAGCCTCTCAATCTCATTCTTCAAGGAGAGCCTTTCTCTATCAAGCTTGTCTCTGTCTGACTCAGACTGCCTAACCTGGCCATCCCTGAGCTCAAACTGGCTCTTCATGTAGTTGAAATCCTTGAGGATGGTATTCTTTTCATCCTGTAGTCGCTGTTTGTTGCGAAGCTCAGACTCCAGTGAGAGCTTGATGCGGTTGAGCTCCTCTTCGAGGCGTTGCATACGGGTCTTGTCCTGCTCCAGGAGTTTAAGCTTGGATAGCAAACTGTCTCTCTCCAGTTGCAGCTCATTGTACTGGCTTTGGGATGTATGCACCATCATGGAAGTCTGAGGAGAGATAAAAAGAAATCATCACTTAACCTGTGAAGAGTTGCTAAAACAAGGTATGTAAAGCAAAAAGTTAATGGCATTTATTCTGAGGAGCATGGCTGGCTTAGCTTAGCTTACAAAGTTGTGATCTGTGAAGTTTTTAGTTTGTATTAATGTGACTTAAGATGTCAGATGCCAATTGAAACTAATCAGTTGCCATTGCTATTTGAGCAAATTAATAATGTAAACATGACGAGACATGTATACATTCCATTAGTTACATCAATTAGTGTGCAGTGATTAGTCATTATAATGTGAGTTCAATCATATAACTTGTAAGCTACAACAGAAAACCTCATGCACATCTCAGTGAAAGCATTTGCGAGTTAGTGAATTTTAAGCAGAATCTTTCAACAAGTCAATCGTCGCTGAAGTAACAGGGTGACAACGAAATCAAGTTGAGTCTTTGTGCATCTTCAAACATTCATGCAAAAGCAAAAAAAAAAAAAAACAGATGAATTAAGCGCAGCTGATCCTTCAACTCAACCAAAAGTACCTCAATAGATTGCTTTTGGATTTTGTCAATTTCCATTTTAAGCTTTTCTCGCTCCCTGGTCAGGTCATTGATGAGAGTCTGGAGCTCTGTTGTCCTCTTGGTGCTACTCTGAAGCTGGACGTGCAAGGCAGAGATCTGAGCAGCACTTTCTCCATCAGTAGCATCTTTGCTGCGCTTCAGTACATCTCTCTCCTGTCTGGCCGCCCTCAGCTCCTCCTCCAACCTCAACCTCTCCTTTGTCAGGTCCTGCGTCAGAGTCTTCAGCTTCTCTATCTCTGTGGTGTACTCATTCAGCTGCCGGCTCTTCTCCTCAATGGTCTTATACAGGCTCTCATTACGCTGGTTGAGTTCATGAATTCGAGCTTCTTCCTGCAGGAGTTTTTGTTTGAGTGCCCTTAGCTCGGCTGTGACAGCTGCCAGTTCATCCTTGGTGATTTTGTGATCCCTAAGACTCTTGTCCAGAGCAGCCTGGAGGGCACTGAGGTCCTGCTCATACTTTCTCCCAGAGTTGGACGCCTCTATCTGAATAGATTTCAGGGTGCTAATTGTGGTGGTGTGCTCTCTGCAAGTTTGTGTCACCCTCTCCAGCTCTGCTTCCACTCTTTTTCTACGTGTGAACTCCTCCTGAGTTGCTTTCTTCTGCCTCTCCACCTCAGCTTCAAGCCCATCCAAGGATCCCTGAAGTTCTCGGATGCGGCTCTGTAGCCTGGTAGAGCTCTGCTCAGCCTTGTTCCTCTCACTGGTCTGCTTCTCTAGCTCTACTCTAGTGACACGTACCTCCTTCTCAGAAACTCTTAGCGTGTTGATTTCCTCCAGATATGATGTGTTCTTTGTCTTCAGCTCTGCCTCAGCGTGCTTCAGACGATTGATTTCTAATTCCAGGGCTCTCCTCTTCTTTCCCTCCTCTTCCAGGTTAAACTGCAGCACACTGATCTGCCTTGACTTTTCCTGATTGCCTTTGGTGGCTTCCTTTAGTTTGAGCTCATCATCTTCTCTCTGATTCTGGAGTGTTCTCAGCTGAACCTCCAACTCGCTGCGGATCCTTGTCTCTTGTGTCACTGAGGCCCTCTGCTGGTTGGCCTCCTGCTCTGCTCTGCTCTTCTGCTCCTCGGTGTGAATAATGGACTGCCTCATTCTCAACAGCTCCTGCTCTAGATCCCTCTTATCAGCAGCTAGTCTGTCAATTTGCAGCCTGAGCTCTGCTGCGTCTTCTTCCTTCTTTTGTGAGGTTTTCAGAATGGTGGTCTTGGTGATGTGGATCTCTGACTCGTATTTTTGCTTAAGCTGATTAATCTCCTGGGTGGTCTGTGCTCTTACCTTTGAGATATCTGATTCAGCGTTTCGTCGACGTGCTGCTTCCTCCTCCATCAGTATCTTCATCCTCTCCAGTTCACGTTCCTTGTCCTTCACAGTCTTTTCTAAATCAATCTTGAGCCAGTTGAGCTCCTCTAGTTCTTTCTGTCTACGACGCACTGCTCCCTCATACTCTTCTTGCTGACTTGAGTAGCGTTCCTCTGCCAACCTCCTTTTTCTCTTCTCCTCATCCAGCTGGTATTTGATGCGTGTCAGTTGGTCATTGAGATCTTGAAGCTGATTGTTTGTGCTGTCCAGGCTCTCCTTGGTTGCACTAACTTGGATCGCTGTGGTTCTCTTTATTTCCTCCATAGAAATGAGTTGGTCTTTTGATTGACCAAGTTCTAGATTTAGGCGGGCCAAGGCATCCTCTAGTGTTTTATTTTTTTGGTTACGATCTTGGATCTCTTCCCTCAGACGTCTCAGCTCCTCCTCCAACATTTCAATCTTTGTGTTCCTGATCTAAAGAGAGCAATGATGAAAAAAAAAGAGAGATCTTATTTTCATCGTCTTATTTGTTCAACCTACACAAGTTTTATACACACAGAAATAATGTCTTTTAAGGTATCGTATACATTTTCCACCTACCTTTAGCTCCTCCATGTTCTTCAGCAGCTCCCCAAGAAATTTGTAGTAGTCACTGGAGCGGGTAAGCAGCTCAATGTAATTGGACTGGAGGTCAGCCGCCTGATGGAAACAAACTTAGCGGATTAATTTTGGTGTACAACTTGAATGTTTTAATGAGACAACTGTGTGAATTTCAAATCAAATAAAGGGATTAAAATTTAAGTTAATGATTTAACCAGAGTACCATTGTTTAACTGAGTTTAATGAAACAGAAAACACATGCAGTGTAACTAGTACTCATCTAATATTAATAGCTCTCTAACTGGATGGATAGACAACACACATACCTCCTGTCTGACTACAGAGGCCGGCGACTGAAGCATTGTTCTCTTGATAGGAATGTTAAGCAGAGTTTCCAGGCCTGAACTGTAGGAAGCCAGCTGCAGCTCATAGTCCTGGGTACACAAAACAAAATATGGACATATTTTTTAATACGAATTTACATGCACACAATAATAGAAAATATCTCTGAATGTAATATGTGTGTACAAAAAAGAAAAAATCCAGTCCACATGTTTGGTTACACACCTTTATGGAGGCAGCACAGGTGTCTGCGTCTTTCTGCACATCCTCTACTTTCTCCTTCTTGCCTTTGATTTCTGTGTGAAGAGCCTGTGCGGTAAACAAAAGAGGGACAGGAAAGTTTCTGGTTTAATGTGACCTCAAACTGTCAGGTCTCTGCTACACATTCAGAGGAAATGGTTTTGTTATCAGACAAGAAACATCTATGATACCTGACAAGAGAAATTAAGTGATAATTTATATCTGGAATTAGAAATAAGATAGTTGGCTGACCTAATCACAACACGGATTATACATATCCAAATGCATCTCCAGTGACCAGCTATTACTGTATCTAACATTCTTGTTTTATATGCAAATTAACTCACAGCCTTGTCCACCCAATGTCAGACCTGAATGACCTGTCATCCATGCTTCCTGGGTGCTTCTATGTCTATAATTAAGGCTGTCTACTTGTTGTCTGATCACTAAAACCACATATTATCTTCAGATGTGACCAGAGCCTAATATTATAAATGTGATGTGTGAATGGTTTGAACTGAAAGATAAGAGAGTTCACTCATGATTAGAAAACCCTTTTGGAAACATGCCTTCTGGTGGTTGAGGTGATCCATTAGAGTCTGGACATCATTGAGCTTGACCATCTGCAGGCCGTCCTGACGCTTCCTGGCATTGTCTATCCACTGCTCCAGGGAAGTGCTGCTCTGCTGATAATGTTTCAGTTGCGTCTCCTGCTTCTCCAAGTCCCACACTCTGAAAGAGGAAAAAGTGGGAGGCAGAGGAAGGGATGAAAGGATGTTTTCTGAGTTTTTATCAGCATTGGAGCAAAGGGGGAAATGGAAAACATTCAAAGGTACTGTAAGTGCATACGTGCTGAGCTACCTTACCTGCTATCAATCTGGGTCTGAATGCGACGCCAACGGTCGGACATTTGAGCCACCAGATCAGAGTATTTGGACAAGTCCACATCACACTTGTGGAAGGTATCTGAGATTTGACTGTTCCAGTGCTTGGCTTTGGTTAGGTCTGACTCCATGGCGGTCAGCAGGTCTCTCTTGTAATCCAGATCGCTCTTCATTTGCTTTAATAGAGAGTCACAGAACAGATTTAACTATTATTTAAAATCTCATTTCATTTATTGTATTAATTTATTTGGATCCCCGTTAGCTACTACCTAAATAGCAGCTACTCTTTCTGGGGTTCGCAAGAAGACAGTAAACATTTGTATAGATTAAAATAACAAAAATCCAAGCAGGAGAATTATACAAGATGTTAAAATCATAACTAAAACAAGAATTATGATGACGTTACATTTCCAATAACAACAGACATCAATAAAGGCAAAGATAAATGTACTAGTAATCAAAATCTCATTGGCGTATATTGTATATTGTCACAACCTAGTCTAGGTGTTCAAGGTGTTACAGACGTGTGCTGTGGGGCCACACACACAATGCGGCTCTGACACTTAAAGAAAGAAATTATTATTATTATTATTATTATTATTATTAAATTATTCAGGAAGGTTGTATACAAACAAACAAATAAATGAATAATTTTTCAATTTTTTAAAAATCAGATTTCAGTTCTAACTCAACTTGCATAGAAGTCATAAGCAAAGTAATTAGGCTGCAAAAAGTTTCGAAGTTACTACACTACAAGTCAAAGTCCTGCCCTAAAAGTGTATTTCAACTTGAGAGAAATATGCACTTAAACATATTACAAAAGAATGTTTTTGTATTGCATGGCATGTGAAATTATAATAGTGCAACACTGTTGATGCATATGTTTTTTTTTTTGCTGTTGCAGATTTTTGTGGTAGTGCAGAAGTTACTCAAACGTTTCCTTTTGCAGACTGTTTGCAACTGTGTATTTGGTTAAATAATACCTATACCTATGTTTCATATGTATATAGGTGAGTACATTGTTCTGGTAAATTCTCAGTAAGGACAGAAGAAATGAAAAAAAACAATGAAAAGAAACTTTTTTATATAAACTGCTTTTTGTAAATGATTGAAAGTTAAGTGAATAAACAAAATTGAAACATATTCATAGAGGATGTGTCAGACCTTAAGAGTGCTGCGATAGTTCTCCACTTCTCGTAGGTCCAGTGAGGATGTCTCCTTTTCAGTAAGCCGTGCCTCATGAACTTTTATAATGTCCTCAGCCTGGAGAAGGCTTTCGAGCAAGCCCTTAAGAGCTGACAGTCTGTTCAAGACATAATATCATTCAATTAAATATACCATTTCCTTTTTACTTTATTCACCTAGTCTTTGCTGGGTGAAGCAAAAGGTGGTGTGCTAACTTGAATTACCTTTGAATGTACGCTGAGTAGAGACCCTGCAGGCCCCCCAGTTTTTGGTTGATGATTTCAAGTTCAGTGCGGAGGAACTTGGCTTGTTCAGAGTCTGCAGGTATGCCTTCCAGCTGCTTTATAATCCTTTCTCTGAGGCGCAGGTACTCATCGTGAATGGAGTCCAGGTCTTGGTGCACAGCCTAAAAATAATCATATCATAGTTTATACATGACATCAAAGTTTTGTTATTCATAACAGTGATATATATTAGAGATATATGATAGGGATACAAAGGTTGCTTATTTTGTGTCAATTTGTCAAATAACAATAATAACTTGCCTGCAGGTTCTGGATATACATGGTGCACTCCTGCACGCTGTTTTCACCCAGGTGAACATGAAGATGACTGGTCAGACCAGACTCTGCCAGCTCCAGCTTGCGCCGAATTTCTTGCAGACTGCTGAGCAAGCTGAGGCTGAGGGTGGATGGGGGTGGAGGTGGAGGCTTTGTGGCCCCCACTTTGACAGCAGTCTCCGTTTCAATGGGGATTGTAGGGGTTGACGGTTTTGCAGGTTCTTGTTTTGGGGGTTCAGGCTTCACCCCTTCACCTGCTGTATTGGTTTGTGCATAATATGAATAATATTATTTACAGTGAATAAAAAAAAAATCATTTTTATAACATAGGCTGCTGGAAGAAGGATGAACTCACTGTAGGTAGGCAGCTGGATTATAAGTGTATCATAGTGGCCTTGCGCTTTGTCAAAGTGACCCTGGATGGTTCTCTTGTCCTCTTCCCCAAATAGTTCCGAGCCTTGGCTGTTAAGCTGGAACTCTTGGTAGTGAGTCTCCAGTCTTTTGATGATATTGCGGTACTCCTCCGGACGCATCTTGGACAGCTGCAATGCAGGAAGGAAACGATACAAAGGGTTAGCGGTGAGTCAAAATAAGAAGGAAGTTTAATTTAATTTACAACATAAATCAATTCATCATCAGTTCTTACCATGGTGAGTGTGAGGGAGTTGATGTAGTTGATGTCTTTAAGACAGTACTGCCATGAGATGAGACTCTTGATGTTGATGTAGAGCTGGCTCCAGACGCTCATGATGGCTTCGTAATACTGCTCATTCCTAGGAGGCAGCACAAGCCATTTAGTACCTTAGAGTGCTAACACAGAACTATACTAGCACACTGTAAATATAATGTAAAAATCTCTATTTTGTATCGTCTTAAGTGTTTCTTACTTAGTGGCAAGGTCAATGCTGAGCGGGTTTGGTGGGGGCATCAGGAGACACACGGAGGGAATGATCATATCCAGACCTCCTGGTCCTGTCACAAGCCATTTACTGCGTTGTGAGTTATCCTTCAGGATACCCTCATTCCCTTTGAATATTCCTTTCTGAAGTGCAAAATGGAAAATATAAAAGACACTGAATAATACTAGAAATAGTTCCTATACTTTTGCTTCAAATGCAGTGTTTATGTTTGTGTTTGCATGAGTCAGGAGTAGATGTATCTCACCTGGTCTTGTTTGAAGTCACATAAGGCCTGGACCATCACAGGGCCGTTGATCTTCTCCTCAGGATTGCGAGGTTTCAGTCTGACGATGGTCTTTGATTTGTTGACCAGACTCTGGACTTGCCTCTTATGCTCAATGATTTGCTCCTTCTCTCTCTGCGTACATAAAAAAAACATTTCTGTATTTGAACTGTTTTACTGTAAACTAGAATTCTTAAAGTTTCAAATTCTGTAGTATGAAAGCACATCATAGAAGTATCACATTCAACCACTTAAAAGAACTGACAAAACCAGTTCGCCACTTTGTTTGCACTCTTATCATTGAACTGAATAAATTGTTTGAGCATATTTGTGTTTCACACTTCAACAGAAACTTGTACATCCTGAACCTAGAATAAAAATCATACCTCCAGGTTCTTTAGGAGTTCAACCAGGTTTTCCAGAGGAGTGTTTTTATCGCAGGTAAACTTGCTTCTGATGGTGTCATACTCTTTCTGCAGCTTTAAAGAGGTCTCCTTGGCATCTTTGAAAAACTGGAGACGGTAAAAGGCTTTGATCAGTGCTCACAAGAAAACCTCTGTGGTTTTATTTGAATAAGAGCCAGAGCATGACTGAGCACTTACTTGGCTGTAGGCAGCATTCTCTTTTAAGTGCACGTGAATACATTTGGTGATCTGGAGGAGCCAGCTCCACTGGGTCTGCAGGGTGTCCATGTAGGCCTGTGGGTACATTTAGTCATCAGTACAAAACCACTGAATAATTTGTTTTTTTGCATACATAAATACCAAAAACAGCTAAAGGTCTCACTTCAATCTTATCTGAGGCGGGGTGGTTGTTGTTCAGGAGCCCGTCTGTTTTCAACTTCAGCTTGTTTAGCTCCTTTTCTTTCTCCTCCAGGTCTCTCATCAGACCCTATGAAGAGAAAAAAGTCAGGGACTTTTCTATACTGTAGATTATTTTGGTGAAATTACAAAAAGTACCACATTAGATCCTTACTGAGTAGCTCTCTTGCTTCCTGGGGATGTATTGATCGATGTTTTTATCTCCCCAGTCAAACACAAGCTCTTCCTCCTCCTTCTCGTTCACCCACATGATGGCTCGGGAGATCTCCTCGATGATGCTCTGAAGCTCACGCAACTGCTGTACACGGCTGTTGGACATTTTCTGATGCAGACACAAAGAACATTTATGAGTAAGGTAGAAATAACTCTAATGACAGAGCACAGATTTGCTTATTTTAACCTAGCTGGTTCTTTTCTACCTGCAGGCTGTCCCATTCTTGCTCGAGGATGGAGAGGTTGTACTTGTCACCTCTTGAGTGCTACAAAAAGAGATGTACAGTGTATATAGATTAAAACCCCTGTTATTTGTAATACAAAAGACAAATTAACAAGCTATAACAGTCAAAAGTAAGGATAACAACAAAGATAACAAGTAGAAAGGCATTACTTACTAATTCATCTCTGGCTCTGTCTACCTCCGGGCTTCTCTGGATGGAGCTGTGGAGCTTGTTGTGGCTCATGATTTGCTTGTCAATGGCCTCAGAGTCGTCACCAAACGGAGAGGTCTCAATCATGCGCTACAGGAATGCAGAATCACATGTATTACACAGAAAAGCCCAATAAACTACATTACATGTCTTTTTAATCATCATCAAACTGCATGGGAGACTAAAATACACAGTTTGTGATTCGTCTCTCAATGTTGTTTGACACCTTTGCATTTTTTGGCACTCAGATTTTATCCCACTGTTTTCTGCATAAGTCTTAAAATTTTAAAAACAGCTCATTAACATACTGTCACTTTTTAACAATGACTGTGTACGTGCAAATATGATTCAAACTACACCGCCCATGTTTGTTGTGTTGCAAAAACAACTCACCCACTATTCTTTGGTGTCTTAAAGATGATTTAAATGTAGATTTTTGGGACAGAATAAGTATCGAAAGAAATACACATTTCCCGCCTCACCTACATTCAGGACTTTAACTCTGTGCTCTTCCCTCAATTGTCCTCTAGGTGTCAGCATATAATCATTAAGTTCACTCTCAGGCAGAAAACTATCCCAACTATTCCCCCCTTGACTGCAGCCCTCAGCTTTGATAAGCTCTCTGCCAGTAAGTCGCCATCAGCCAATCCCTGCTCTTTACTTCCATTTTTTTTCTCTTTCTCTTTCCTTCTTTCTTGAGACTTTTGTTCTCTCGCCTCTCCCTTTCCTCCATGGTTACTTGGCAGACACTAGGCACAACAAAGCTGTTTGTAGACTGTCTGAACTGAAGCTCATGTCCATGAAGGAAATGTCAAAAAAGTTACAAACAGTGAAGTAGGACTGGAGGTACAATGGCTGACAGTGTGGTTAGAGGGACAAAGACACAGGCGGAGGTAATGGCAGGTTTTTAAATAATACGTTCTGAGGTTTTTTTTTCTTTTAAGCTAAAAGAAAAAATATAAGTACAAAGAGACGCACAAAACTGTACAGAGGAATGTTTCTGTATTGCATGTCAGGGGGAAACAGATGACAGAATATGGAGGGCGAGGCTTTAAGTGTTGACTGAATGTCAGGGTGTGTGTTTTTGGTTGGGTAGGAGGGTTGGTGAGGTAGACTGCTGAAGGGCGTTTTCCCATGAGCATGTCAGACATCTGCTGAACAGCACCGTCCCATAACTAGTGAGTCAGGAGAAAGTGTCAGATTTCACACTACTTTACTTCTACTTTTCTTTCCGCTCCTCCGGTTTTTATCTCTCTCCCTCTCCCCATGTCTTTCTCTCTCTCTCTCTCTTTCTCACATGGTCGAGCTCTTTCCCCTTCTTTGTTTCCATCCCTCCTCACCTCTCTTGGCCTCTTTTCACTCATGGATCAGGTTTTGGCAGACTGTCCAGATGGTATCAGTTACAGGAGGTCACAATATGTGATAGCGTAAGTGCTTCCCCCCCTCACCTCGCCTACCCCCTTCACACAAAGGCGGTGCACCTTAATGTACTGTATGGGCATGCACACACATGCAGATGCAAGTATTCCCACTGCTCCAACAGGTTAAAACTTCTGAGCACAGGCAGACTTTGCATGGATCATGACGTCATGGAATACATCAGACAGTATGAGTTATAAAAAACTGGTATTTACTACTTTGATTAATAAAAATATGTATATTTATTTATATATGAAGAAGGGATCACTTTGTGTCTCTTTTGTATTAAAAGCTCACCTTCTGTTGGGCAATCCAGGCCATGGCATCATTGAAGATCCGACCCCCCTCCAGGGAGCCCACGCTGCCCCTGTTACGTCTCACAGTCAAACTACCGGCCAGCTGCTGTTGGATGGCAGCATGCATGTGCTGGAACTGGTCCAGACTGTAGAGTTGTACAAAAAAGGAGAATACTCGGTGAATCCTTTGAGTCGGATTTTCATCACCACTCAACTTCAAAGAGATAGACAAAAATAGCTGAAGGAGACGTATTTTCAAAGGGATGTCAATACTGAAATTCTTCTCTTCAAATAGTTTTGGTTCGACTAGAAATGAAACTCATGTTACTCAAACAAATGCATGTTTAGAAAATGTACCCATGTTTAACAATATGCAGGTGTCCTTAACTATGTACAGACAGCACACAAACCCACAACACACAGTGCATCTTGTCTTACTTTCTGAGGACATCATTGGGTATACGCATCTGCTGCAGCTCTCTGCCGCAGACTCTCATCTGGTCCATGGTTTCTGCAGCCATGATTAACAGCTTCTCTGCCTCGGCGGCTGGACCCCCCTATAAAATCATAACAGACAAGATACTGAGTCAAGTCATGCCTGGCTTTACAGTTGACTATATCTGCTTCTTTAAGTTGTTTCCTGTCTCATTAGGTGATTAAAACATCTTTGTATACTGATGTGTAAACATACAATATTGAAACACGAGATCAGTCATGTTTAGTGTCATTTTTGTGCCAAACTTACTCCATGAAGAAGCATCTTTGCTCGCTGCATGTAGTCCTGACATTGGCTAGTCAGGAACATTGCCTTCTGCTGAATGGCCTGTACACTACAAAGGAGAAACAAAACACAGTTTAGTAAGAACAGCTTTAAATCATGTTTCATTATCATATTATTGGGCTGCAGTTTTTTTTAGTATATAATATCATCAATAGAAAAAGCTAATAAATGCAGAGGATACTGTTGTCTACTTTAAAGGTTACTGTGTTGAACTGCTTTTAAAAGGTTATTCAATTTCACTAAAACTGATATTGAAGCAGATAACAGTCCCTCAAAAGCCAAATCAGCACTACAAAAACAATGTGTGGAAATAAAATGCTGCGTCCAAAGAGGCGTTGAATCTTTCCAAAGTGCTTATTTATTATTTTTAAAAGTCTGGCTCCGGGTTGTTTGGGGAAATGGGTCACCTGAGGTTCACCAAAACAAAACCTCTGCTAACCAACAAAAGCTGCTCAGCCCTGGACGCTCTCTTTTGTCCTGATTTTTCTGTCACTTTGTTCAACATAAGTCAAGCATTAGGAAAGGTATTTTAAAAGGAAACAGTTTGGGAAGCTCGCACACTGACACAGACATCACTCCCTAAACATTAGACACTGACATCATGGTGAATGATAGTACTGGGAGGACAATAAGGGGTGTGTGTGCAAATACTTTCTCCGTGTAATTCAGTTTATTGGGCAACAGATCAGGAGTGATACAACTAGGTGAAAACAAATGGGGAGAATTCATAAAAAAGATGTCAAAAACAGGGATCCATTTTGGTCTGATTTTTGTGTGCGTAGCCCTACATTAATAAAACCTAACAGGTGAGCCTTTATCTCAACTTGCTTGACGACATTGCACCTCTGAATGTGGTTAACAATGAAGGCATGCAATAGTGAATTTACCTTTTCAGCTCATTTGCAAAGGGATAAAAAGCTACGTTGAACACCCTAATGGTTAAATTTGTACTCTACGTTAATGTTTTGTTGTTTAGTTTATAGTTTGTTTTCAGTGTACGTATTTACGTCACCACCTACACGTCCATTTCTCGGAAATTCGAAGCACTGTTAAGACTCATTCAAAAAGCAACAGGTGGTTTTCTTACCTTATCCCACCACCTCCGCCTCCAACCATGCTCATTTGCGTCTTCTGTCCCCCGCCGTGCATGGAGGACCTGGAGAAGGTGGTATAGCTGGTGTATCCGCCTTCCCCTCCCTGGTAGTCTCCATGAAAGCCGTTTCCACCGACAAACACGTCGTTTCTGAAGCTCGGACTTGCCAAATCCGGCCGCGAATTACTTCTCGGGCCCATTTGAGCCAGTTTAGGGTTGGAGCCGTACAAACTCATGTTTGCGTTGTTGTTGTTTTCCGGTTTAATTAAAAAAAAGTTGTTGTCTAGTTAGTTTTGATCGTGTGCTCTGCTGTCCAGACAGAGGACAGAGCGCGCGCCTCTCCCCTCCCCGTCTCCTGTTGCGCAGATAATGCGGCTCTGCTGTGAATAGACGGAAGCTGGGTTCTTTTGGAGAGAAACCACACCTTGCTGTGTTTATGAAACGCTCCTGTGCTTACTTGGCCAGTGTGGGAAGATTAGTGCTGCCAGTTCACAACTCAAACCCTTCGAAGAGTTATGGTGCAACAAAAACTTGGATTACTCATTTGTTTGATGATGAAACACAACATACCTTAGACTTCATGAGATATTGGCCTTGTTGTATAGTATAACTTAAACCCTTTAAATAGGGGAGACCGGGGCTTGTTGTCACACTTTTTATACTCTTATATATTTCTTGTAATCAATACATCACATATAAAAAAAGGGTACCAGGTGAAAAACCAAAGTCTCAGGTGTATATTTCGTATTTATGTTATTTTCATATCTTTTGTCAGTGCAGAGTTATAAGCAATCAAAGAGTGTGAACATGTGACATGTTGGCCCACCATGGGGTAAGTTGTCTTTCTATAAGGGGTAATTTGTCACAGTGGATTTTGCAGCTAATAAAACAGGGACAAATTTATTGTTCTCATGTTTTTACTTGAAAGTGAACGTCAAAGTCAGGCACAGAAAATGCTTATCACTGAGCTCGAAAAAGTCATCGAACAAACATTAACATAAAATATCATACAACATGCCCTAGAGTTTGGAGAGCTATCTGACTCTGTATTTCGGCTGGGGTGAATGTTTTGCAGTACCGAGCTCGGGTCACCTGCCTGACTGCCCTCAACATCACGTCAGGTACTGCACTGCCATGTTCTGTTTTTCTTTTGTAAATCCTGACCATGTTTTTCATTTTCTCCTCTCCTTTAAACCACTCTTCTCTCTGTAAGAATAAAGTTAAAATTTCAATATGAAAAACCAGTGATAAGCAGACATTCTGTGTTAATTTTAATCCCTTTTAAGCATGTGACAACTTACACCAAAATGACTGAGACATGTTGCCCCAAACTACCATGTTTTCTAATCAACTAGTTTGCTTAAAGTTAGCTTAAAACAACAAAAACTGAGGTATGACAGGATGCCTTAATCTCTCCTCTAACAAGTCCAAATGTTTCACTGCAAGGATTTGTATCAGGAAGAAGCTTATTTTAAAATATATAAAGTTTAATTTTTTTTTACTTTGGGTCACGCGGCGCTAAGTAAAGAATTGGCGCTCATCTCAGCTTACTATGTGCTCATCTGTTCTCAGACAGGACACGACCCCTGACCATGTAAAGGAATAAAACTAGCATTCCACTTTTTACTTGCGTCCTCTGGTGGCAAAGATAATTGCAGTGTGACAACTTACTCATGTGACAACAAGCCCTGGTCTCCCCTACCACCAACAATCTCTGTAGCATTTAATACATAGCCTACATACGGATTAAAAGAGTTCCGATGGTGGGTAAGAGGAGGTGAACACAGACCGGCTGTTATTGTAAGCTAATGAATATGGAAGTGAATGGTCATACTGTAAGGAGAAGGCTACAGACTTGGTAAAATACTAGAAAAATACAGAGCAACTTTCTGCAGTTAGGCCAGTGTGTGTGTGTGTGTTTATGTGTGGACGTGCACAAATTAGCAAGTGGGTTGTAAAATGTTTAAATGGTCGCCTGGCAACAGTCCAGTCAGGGAGGTGGAACTAGTTAGTGGGGAAAGGGTGTTAATCGTGAAATAAAACAAATACTGCTTAGCCTGTGAATGAGTACTGATATACAGTATTCCCTTTTTAAAAGTAGGCCTACCCAGTTCTTTTCATGTGATAATGCTTGAGTATGTTGACTATAGGCCTATTGTGTTTTGAAAAGACTAACATCCAACTTAACCACAGAAAAAAAAAGCCTTTAGGCCCACACCTCTTCCTACTACGATTGCATAACTATGTATTCTTATGAACTCTGTCCTAAGTTTGGCAATGGGACTTATGTTCAGGAATTGACTCTTTACTCACACATATTAACAGTGAGGTGGATAGCCTTTGTTTATTTTACAGTTAGCCTTTGAATGAATACATAAAGCTCAACCTATTAACTAATCTCTTATTGTTCTGGCTTTAATGACTTTTTGTGCACCCAGTTTCACTTTTTCAATGCTGTCAGTCCATAATGAAATTACTTTTAGACGAGTTACAGCTGCACATTTTTTTCCCCTCTTTAACAGCTTGAAAATGAATGTAGAGTCAAAGAAAGGCTACTTCATCAAGTGATTTTCGTAACCAAATTGACAAGAAATAGCCCACGCATTTAAACTCAAGAGGAGTGAGTGGAAGAGAGGGTGGTTGTGCAAAGAATTTGTCATCCAAAGTTCAACATTCTTGAGGTCAAAAGGAGTCCATTTGAGGACTCAGTGTTAAATGAAGCAGAAAACCGAGTGACACCAAGTTCACCAGGCAAACGTTTTACTTTCCCATTTTGCTTAACTCTCTCTCTCTCTCTCGCTCTCTCTCTTGCTCTCTCTCTCCACCATTTTTTCCCCTCTCTGCCTGCTTTTCATTCATGTCACAGGTGGGCGTGTCTGAAGTTTGAAAAGTGAAAGGGACAAGAAGACAGAAGGAGGGTCACATGGAGTGTCAGTGAAAGACACAGATTCTGTTGAATGTGGGAGTGGAAAGAGTGGGCAAAAGTTCAAGGAGAAAACCACTAATTGTAGATTTATTAAATTACAAAAGGCGGAAAAGACTTTTTTTAATGTTTTAAATACTTCAATATCTTTATTCAATTTTCTGACTGTCACAGTGTCCCTTCTTGCCCTTCAGGCTCAAGCCATAGTCACTGAATCCACTCAACTATCACACTGTCACACAGAAGTGTGAATGTAGTGAGACAGGGTGAGATAGGAGTGGAGGGAGGCATGCTTCCGAGGAACAACTAAACTGACAACTTGCAGAAACCAACGCCCTACACCGGAATTTCAAGCCATTTAGCATGACAATACTGAAACATTTTCCACTGCCCGGACCCTTTATATACATGTTTGAGAAATATAACTTGACTTGACTTGTCTTTGCTTAATATTCTGCATTCACTTTCAAACATATGTTGACAGCCTCATCTATCACAGCAACAAATTCTTGAAAGACGAGGACACACACACACACTCCTAAAGACACACCTACATGTCTTTCCCACTGGGTCAAGAAAGTTTTCTTTTGCATGTTTGCTTTTTTGGTTCTTGCTGCAAGACTGAACATGAGTTGTTTTCCAACACAATAACAGCTCTCATGCCAAAGGAACCAAAGACAGTGATTGTCTCTGTACTTCGAGGTGAAGATTAATTGGAACCTAGCCATTAAAAATAAGGTCCCCAGCAGAGGGGGTTTGGCCTTATTGTGAGGAAATCTCCGACCTATAATGAGATGGTTGTACAGGTTTTTCATTTGCATGTATTATTTGACTTTTTGTGGCGCAAGATAAGAGTCTCTGTGGGAGATTAAAGTGTCACACACAGTAAGGTGTGGTGGATACAACGGGGAGGGATCTACAATCAGATTAAGTGATAGTCATCTGTCATTCACTGCCCCACCCTCTGGTTTATCTTCCTTTATGGCTTATTCTCATATTAACTACACATCCTGTATGCATCAGGTGTTTTTTCTGGAGAAAGTAAGGCCTGTGTTGGCCTTCTTTTACCGCCTGGGAGTCAATTTTTAACTTGGTGTTTGCTTGCTGTGCAAAAAACCCAGTGTGGGTCACTGCCTCTTCCCAGGTTGTAAATGGGAGATTTTAATGTAATGTTGACTTAAAATGACATCTGGAGGAGAAAACAGACTAAGATGTGTGACCTAATGGGAGTGAAATATGATGAATGGATGACAGGGATGGGGCAACACCAGGTTAACTCTCACGTATTAAGCCTGGTGACTAATAATGACTGTGAGACATGAGTGTGATATCATCTCCAGACGCTTCACACTGACATCACTTACTGAGTAAACAGTGCGAAATTAAAGACTGACAGCTGGTTTAGTGAGCTGACATTGTCTTGCTTATTGACCTGGTGTCCTAATCTGAGTATGCGCTGCAGCTTGTTATCACACAGATGGTTCTTTAGACTTTAGATCATTAACTTTAGTACAACTGAAACCAAGGTCCTCACATTGACGTTGTTAACAGGATGTGTGAGCGACAGAAGTGCAGCCAGGATTTTTATTACAGCAGGAAGCCCCAGTTTCTTGACTCTTTTCAAAGCTCTCTTTTATTCTCATCCAGTTCATGTTTTTTTTAATTAGTTTTAAGTAAATATTTATCTGAATCTCCCTTATTTAAGTACGCCAGAACACTCATCCTATTTTGATTAACTGATTAATGTTTCCCAGACACAATTTGAAACAAACACGGTTATCAGGATCAGCCTTAAAATGTCCAGCTTTCAGAGGAATTTCTGTGTAATCCTGGAATGTGAACTCCACCAGCCCCCAAACTCGCAAAAACTCCCCAGAATATTACAGGACATGATCTCAGCTCTCACGGGAAAATAAAACCCTCAACATCAGAGGTCTTTCCGCAGTGATTTTACGCTCGAAAGACCTTTGTTGTTGCCGCCTTTTCCCTCTTTAATATTTGCTTATCTGCAGGTACATTTACTAAAGGCTTAGGGTGTGTATTTTTGTGTGGTTACACTGTGTACACGACTCAGGATTTCTCCTCCTCACTATCTAAGTTGACATTAACCCCAAAGTAATAAAACCACAAGATGATGAGATATGTTATGGACTTTGAATCCAAAAAGCACTAAAACTTTATTCAGGTAAGATTACATTGTTTTGTCGTATAAGATGAAGTACTTTATGAAGCTGCCTGTCTCTATAAATCTTTTAAGGAGAAAAACTAACAATACAGATACTCAGTTATCTTACTGGGAGAAGGAATACAAAATTTCCCACAGCGTAGTAAAAGCTCAGGCACACCTCTGAATTTTCTTTTCACATTTACACCTCATGTGTAACCGGCCGGTTTATGACACTCACACACACACACACACAGACAGATGCAGACATAGAACAGCACACACGTATAAACACATTTGAAGTGACTCATAGCATTGGTTCAGGGCGGGTCCTAGACACACCTGTATTAGTTGCTAGGCTAGGTAATAAGCACTTTTGAATGATAACAAACAGCACAGTGAGATAGTGTGACGGTACAACGGTCGACTGGTTTCTGTTGGCACTTTGCCAAGAGTTTGAGTCTGAACATACTGCAATAGAAAGCTTTGTGCGCACGACAGGTGTTTAAAAGATGCCGACAAAACAGATCTGATCATTTTTAGTGTTACCTTCCAGGCAAAAAAGGGGGAGAAAATAGAGAAACGCACATATTTTTATTTCACATAGGATAAATCATTCATTTGATATTGCACAGAATAATTAAAGGTACACTTGCATGATCCACTGTTCATTCTGTCCATAAATAATGAGAATTAGATTTTTTCAAGAAATCCAGAGAATTTTTATCTCACTAAAAAACTCAAATTTACTGAGAAAAAAACATTAGAAAACATAAAACAAATGTTAAGTAGTTTTCTTTTTCTTCAAGCAGAGCTGTTTCTCCAGTTTACCTGCAGGGGGCATCAGTATGCAAGAAATTACAATGAGAAACAGGAGAGTATTCAAGGTCCCACAGTCATGTTTCCAGGGTCTTTCATGCTCCCTTTGTAGGGAGTAACCCCTGACAACTGTGTGTATTTGTGGGTTTTTTAAAAGCATTATTACTGTCAGATAAATCTCTAAAGCTGTGGACAAATCAAGGCCTGCCTATGCTGATTTTTTTTACAATTTTAGACTATTTGTGAACAATAATCAACAAAAATACCAATAAACATACAAAAATAAGAATAGGATTTTAAAAAAATCTAAGATATGGATTTTTCAGGAATAAATATGAATAAAAAATAATTCAAGAAGAGAAAAAAATGTGCATAATTTGACACTCTATGTAAATACTGTAAGATAATATGCATTAGCACACTGTGGCCAGAAGGGTGAAGCATCGCTAAACTCTCTTTACATGCAGTGTAGGGTAAGTAGGTAATCACGTGGTCCGAAAAATATCAGCAATCAGGCTAGTGGATGTAAATCAAGGCTGAACATGAATAAAGTCTTTATTGTAAATACTCTGCCATTTATATAATTTAAATCAGGCTGCTTTGAATCTATTATAAAGAGTTTTACAGCAAGAACTCACAATATTTATCATCCCACTCCCTTTTGTTCTCAGGCTACAGCTCAGTGATAAATAAGTCATAACAAAACAAATGCTGTGATTAAGTCTAATAAATTAGTGTTAGGGAGTGTGTGTCAAATATGTTTTAAGTATTACCACACTTATGAATATGTGTCTCATAAACAAGGGATGGAATTTCAGTCCAATGACAGCAAGATACATTAAAATATCACAATAAATAACTACTTTATCTGCTGCAAATCTAATTAAAAATAGTCCAAGAAGAGTAAATGTAACAGCTTTATATAGAGGTATCAAATAATTCATTGAAGATTTTATGGGTTATCAATGACCTACCTAAACAAAAATTTGGAGGCAGCCAGTTTGTGGGAAACAAATCACCTTTTTTCCCCAGATAACTTGTTTGTAGTCTCTTTAGCTTAAAGCTCCTGTAAGGATTTCCTGTGTCAATTTGGCGCCCCCTGTGGACAAAAAAGAAAGTACCTCTTACGTCTTTGCTGACTGTATCCTGTGTACTCTGTGTGAGTTACATGTTCAGACACAAAAATCTCACTTTTCTTTATTTTGACACGAAAGTCTATCGCTCATCATAAAACTAAATAAGAAACTAAATAAGAAATAAACAAGAAGAAAAAGTAAGGCTGCCTCAGCTGTGTGAAGTTAATCAACCTGAGTGACACCTACCCCCTACAAGAAGTTTCAAACAATGCTAATAAATACTAAGAACTAGTAAACCTCTGTATTATGGTTTCTTTAAGGTTGTTATGAAGCATAAAATTTATTCCCTGACTATTTCAGAACCTGTTTTCAATTCATCACCGGAGCTTTTAGACTAGAGATCGACCGATTAATCTGTTGACCAAATAACCGGGCCGATAAATTTTGAAGTTATCGCCATATCAGTATCAGCCCTCAGTATCTGAAACAGCTAGTAGTTACCAGTCTGGCTACTCTAAAACTAAATTGTGTTATGATGTATACAATAATACAGTTTACTTTTGCCCCTGACAGATTTAACAGCCCTGTACTGAAATCTTTAGTAGAACTCAATTATTTGTATTTTCTATAAGCTTATCTAAAAATGTTACTCTTTTAAACATCGTAACAGAAATATTTACCTAATATTTTTTAATTTTTTGTATTATTTCATATGGTTGTACAGACATTCAAAATTCCTATGTTACTGAGCAAAATACTTTTCAGTCTATGGCTATTAAATCAAATGTTTACTCATGTTAGCATCTTTTTTGTTTCTTATTTGTCATTATTATTTAACTGTTGTATTTGTTGAATGAAAAAAAGAAAAAAGACAATAAGATATCGACATTATTATAAGCTATCAACCAAGTGCTCTCTCATTACCAATATCAGCGTTGCTTGTCAAAATACTATTACTAACCTCTGTTCAAGGCAATTAAATTTTTATAACAGAGTATCAACATAACAAAACAAATGATCAATTTATAAACTTTTAAATAAAATTCACGAACCTTGATTTAATCAAGAATGATAGCACTTATATATCATGTTCATCGCTGACAAATACTATAATTATTTTCTTAAGAGTTGTTTTCCCTCTATTAATGCTCTGTTGGTTTATTACAAATTTGATGAAAGTGTTGAATAAATATTTAAATGAAGCCTCTTAAATCTTTAACTGCTTACCTTTTAATTTAAAGTAGTTAATTGGTACATTAAGAATTTTATTTGTTGCTCAAAGCCAGGTAAAAACTGAGGTCAGATTTGGTCTGTAAAAAGTAAGCTATTCAAGAGTAGATACCACAGGGGGCACTAAAAACTCATACCCAAAGTTACTTATTGTAGCTTTAAATAAGCAGATAAGATATGTGACATATGTAAAATATCATAGAGCTTTCAAACTAGAAATTAAAATAATACTTTTTTAAGATCAGACAATCCAAAACTATGGATAAAGTGTCTAAATATCTTAATGGATACACACTAAGGACCCTTTCAAAAGGCCTACTGCCTTGACACATAATAGATAACCTACCTTGTTGTCATTCTGCAGGCATCTCTCCATTTGTAAAATAGTCTGTCATTTAATTATTTTAATGTAAAGTTATGAAAAATTAACATTTTTATAACCGTACAAAAAGAAACACATGTTTGCTCAGCAGAGGGGTGGAGTCAGAGTTGGTTTCTTCTCCTCCTACTCCCTGTTTTTGCAGGACATCTGTGCTGAACATTGAAGCTGAAAGCCTACAAAACCTACTTAGATGTCATGTATTGTTATTATTATTATTATCATTTACATTAATGAAACAATACTAGCAAACTATTTAAGTATCTACAGCTGAAAGAGTTCACTTTTTTTCTTTCATTTTTACTTTATTGCAAAATTTTTCGAGCATCTCGAATTCACTGTAACTAAGGTTGCTATGGTAATTGCCACGGTTCGGTTTGGATCTATCAAGGCTATGAATATTACACCCACTTTGCCCACTAACAAAGTTTGTCATTACATTAAATAGCTATTGCTCTGATAAAGCACTGCTGCTTTTGTGCTGAATACTTGAAAAAAAAAATGAAAGTGTATTATTATTTTTTTTTCTGTGGCTGACTTTCTCCTTTGGTGAACGTGAAGTGATTATTTTCCATTCAAAGTGGTAACCAGTGGTTACAGGTGGCCATGTTAGGTGAAGGTGATCAGCACTCGGCCTTTGTGGGCAGGTGTGTTACCTGTGGCTCCCTCAGGAAGCACTTCCTGTGGCTGTGCTGCTGCTGCCGCGCGGCTGACAGACACAGACACGGATGAATCACACGACGAAAAAGATCCTCTGATAGTCTTTCCTCGTCATCGCATAATTCACCGCAATCCGCTTTTGTTGTCTGAGCTGGAGCCGGCAGACAGCCCCGCATGTTTTCTCTTGTTTTCTCTATTTTTTTCTTTCTGTGGTGGCAGACGGAGGGGAAGTGCTTCCTGATAATAAAGAGGTGCGTCTTATTTCCATTCCAGTGATTGACTGCGCACGGCTTCCACCGCCGGAGCTGGGGGCATTGACGCATTGTGGAGTCGACAGGGGGTAGTAGCACTGCAAACCCCGGCTTCGCTTCACAACGGAGGCATCTTTCGGTGGAACCGCGATGGCCGTGGTGCAGCTCGACACGGAGGACCACCAACCGGAGAACGGCTTCGTGTCCCCCGAAACCACGTCCGCGGGGGTGCTGACACGCATCGACAGCGCGGTTCTGCCGTTTCTCGGGGGATTTGGGAAGTACCAGAAACAGCTGATCGTGCTGACATGGATCCCGGCGTTATTTATTGGATTCAGCCAGTACTCTGATAATTTCCTCCTCGCGCAGCCGAACAACACATGTGTGCAGCCTTTGGCCAACCAGTCTAACCTCACCGTGGGTTATTCCTCGTTATTGGACGGTCCCAAGAATGGCAGCGCGCGGCCGGCTTATGTTCATACCAATGGAAGTTACAGAACCCACAATGACACCGCCAACATGCAGTGTCGGTGCAGTGAGTGGACGTTTGAGCTGCACACGGGGCTCGTGCAGAATGTGGTTACCAAGGTAAGGATGGGCATCCCTTTCTATCATACTGTGCTATGCATCACTGAAACCCCATCAGCTGTGATCATGTTAGGATCGATTTATAAGAGAGGGGGGTTCTTGCACTTATCAGCACTAGCCCCATCGTTAAAAACAGATCACTTTGAAGCTGAAACACTCTCATGTGAAGATGAAACAATGTTCATATTGTGGTGTGTATCTGACAGCTCATCCTCCATTATCCCAATATCATTCAGGAGAGATCCCTTGAATTGGCCTTAAAAGTAGCAGGCTTGCACAGGTGAGAGCATGCATCACGCTGCTGACCGTGACTCATCGCAGCAGCTGACACAGTGTAACCTATGGCAGAGAGAAAACACTATTGGCACACTGGGCACAAGCTGCCAGGGCTGGTGGAATCTACCGGTTGTCGTAATACACATAATAGACACACGGAGGGCTTCTGATTTGGAGCAAAGGTCATTAATGCACTCTCTAGAATAATGCAACCCCCTATCACTGACCAAACACCACCCTCCCCGAGTAAACACCACACTGATGTTCTTATTGCTCTCAATCTGGGGACTTTCAGAGTATCTGTGATGAATTTACCTCTTATCACGTCACTGTATTGTTGGGGTATTCCTGTATGCATACACAGGGCAGGCTGAGGAGACAGTACCTGCAGTCTGAGGAGGAAGTGCTTTCTTCTTCATCATCATAAGGTCCTCTATTGTTGATGCTGCATGCCAATACAAGCATTTCAAGAGGAGAAAAGTTCCACTCTGACAGTATTTTTAATGTAATATCAGCAGAAAGGCTCATTCTCGACTCAGAGTGAGTGAGCAAACCATAAAAATTAATGTTAACTAAAAAATCTAAAATGCCAATAAACAAGAATCGCTTTTTTAATCAGCAGCATCTTCTCCAATGTCGAGTCTGGCAGCCATGCAATAATCAAAAGGCTTATCAGGAAGAGTTAGATCCGACGCCGAGCTTTGAAGCCTCCCTGTGCTGTAGGAAAGGGGATGGGGGGGCTGTGGCATCCCAAGCTTTCGTCCACTGTGATGCCAACAGCCCATCTGCTAATCACTGATAATGTCCCCATTTAAATAAAGCACATTTTAATTCAGCTATGATGCAGAGGGACAGTTAAAGTCCTGATTTAATTTTCTGCTCACAGTGTACTCCAGTGGGGTGGGGATGCAGGGATTAGAGCCAGGCTGATAGACTCGGGGAAATCTGAGGAAAATCGATTGGGTGGATACATATTACTTCATGATTTAGAAATGTTTAGTTTCCTCTTCCAATATTCAGGGTTTTACTCTGAACCCTGCAGGCCCCCCTCTTGTCCTTATATGCTGGTGTGAACCTATAATATTTGTGTGGTTTGTGCACACACTGAGAATGTCATGTTGACACTGCCACCAGTGCAGAGCAGTGACAGGCCAGAGCAGTTGGTCTAAGTGTCTGTGTTGTTGCTTGTCTTCCCTGACCCGCACACTTCACATACTGACAAGGTCACCGTCAGGAGAAATTCAATCAGATCTTGGCGCACAAACTTCAAAATGGAACCAAAAGTGAGGCAGAATTGGCCCCTGAAACTTTGCCTCTTTTTTGACAACCTCCCTCTCGCTCTTCCAAGGGCTCTTTTTCTCGCCCGACACCACACCACAGCGCGCTAACCAGGATGTGCCACTACAGCAGGATGTGATGACTTGGCATTTCTCTCTCTGTTTGGATTGCATAGGCATAACTGCACATGACTGGGCTCAGCTATCTGTGACATTTGATCACTAAAAAGCAGAGCAGAGTGCCAACACTGATGAAATGTGGTAGTGTCTCTGTCAGGATGTGCCAACACATTCTGACCCCATATTTCTGTGTTGATATCACGCCTGGACGACATGTACACGTGCAGGGATGTTTGCCCTTGTTGCAAATGCACAAGAACACTTTTTAATGCTTTTTGTCGGGTTGTCGCAAAGAGAAGGTTTTCATAGAGTGTACAGTAGTGATGGATCTGAAGTGGTTAATGAGGAGACCCATCCTAATCGAGTCTAAGCTCTCCTCAGGGTCCGTCTTAATTGGCCTGAGCCTGAGAAATGAGAATGTATCATTACTCAGAGACAGATAAAGTCTCTCTGCAGCCTCACCCGACTTAGAGCCCATTCAGACTGGGGTCAGCTGCACACGTGGTGTGAGAGCCTGTGCAAGGCAATGATTAACCTCTACACTTGTACATTAATTAGAGACATTTGCCATTTAGAGACTGATGATCATTTCACAATCTACATCTAGGATTGCCCTTTTTGTAATGCATCACAGAGTTCTGGCCTGGAAGAAAACCACAACCCCATAATTTGTTTTTTTTTTAAGATTAACAAATGTTTAAATAAAGGTAAAACATGCAGTTCAAGTCATGTTGAGGCAACTATTTAAGAATAAGAATAACTTTATTTCATGTCTCTAAAAGTCATCTACTATTTACAGAAAAAATTCTAACAAAAATTACACATAATACAGAGGGACCAAACTTGCAGCGACCTCTCAGTTCAAGCGCATCATTCGAATTTGGTTGGGCTGCTGATAACTATTATTGAATCAAGGAAAATGGCAAATAATTATCTTCAATAAAGCACAGGATCATTTAGCCCAATTGACTGCAAAACATAAAATTACTCTATTATAATCACCAATGATATGAGCTGTAATCATAAAGAAAATTGAAGTTGATTCATTTTCTATCGAGTTTGAATAGATGGTTGTCAGACAATATTTCAAACTTTATTAACAATCAAAGAAACTGTTAAAGGAGAAATATCACAAATCAGTCACAAAAAAGATGTTCTCCTGGATGTTAGGTTTTAGGAAACTATTCACTGTTTCATACATTTTATAAACCCAGTTATTAATTTAAAAATGACAGTCAACAGGCCTAATGATATGCCAGCTTAAAGTATTATGTCCCCTGCTTAAGTGATCGTTTTTAAGCACGTCTTATGTGTTGTAAAGGTTGCACTGTATGTGACAGTAAGTTGTGTGAAAGTGATAAGGAAGATATGTGGTAGACGCACACTGAAGGGTCCACCCAGCCCCAGTATCACTGAGCTGGAGGCTGCACACCCAGAGATGTGAAAGATGATACTGTAGCTGAACATGCAAGGCCTCTATTCTCTGTGTCCCTTCATACTGTTTACCCAGCTGGTCAGCTCCTTCCACATACCCCAGATCAGTGTGGGACACTTTGAAATGGACTCAGCTGTCAAGAGGCGATGACCCTACTGCGGATACCCAGTCAGTACACAATGACAGCCACTCACGGTGTCAGCTGGGAGGAAAGAGACTGTGTGCCCCAAAGATAAGACTATTCAGGCTCTATATGTGTGTGTATGCTGCAGGCTTGTTTCTGATAAGTGCCGTTTTGTATCAGGGAGGGGTCCAACATGAGGGGTCCCTGACCCTCGCCTTTAAGTTTGTTTGTAGGATGGTGTCATGGCAGTTTGAGGAGTGCTGTTTCATTCTCTTTAGATTTAAAGCTTTTTGGTGACTGAGACATGTGGTTAGGACTCTCAGCTGTCAACATAAGCAGGCAATGGATAGCAGATTGAGGGACAAAGGTTTATTGTTTTTCATTATTCACCTCTGACTCACAACGGAAATCAGCCAACTTGTCAGACATGTTAGTCTCTGAGTTGTGTAGCCCGGATACTACGCTAGTATGACAGTTATTCAAAGCATGGTCTCAAAGGTAATGTCAACCTCCCTCTGTTAGGCCCTTAGGCTAAAACACAAATGCCAGATGCCTGTGAATTGCTCTCCTGTTGAAGACATTAAGTGTAGATTTATGTTTTCTCTCACTCTCTCTCCTCACATTTTAGGATTTCCATCATTTGTTGAGGCAGTGATGCTCAAACTTGCACTTGGAAGCAGCACAACTCTGTTGCTAGGCAGTAACTATGCAGCAGCCTCTCCATGTGTGTTTTTTTGCCTTGGCTTTAAACTGCTTTTAAGCATCTTTTACCCTCCCTCTCTCTGTCACCTGTTATCATTCACCATCCCTTCTAATTCCCTGCGTTTCTTTCATCTCTTTGCATGCTCTGTTTCTTCTTTGTTTAATCCAGCATTCCTCCCTCCTCCTTGCCTGCCCCCCACCTCTTCACCCTCCACCCACCCACCACTCTGTAGTTCAGCGAGTGCAGAAATGTGCAGCTGTAGTCGAGAGCGTCTTCATCTGAGCTAATGAGACTCGCTCCAGAGGACCAATCATTTGTGGTCTGGTCATTTGAGAGAGAGAGGACCCCTTGGGTTTCTAACTGATTTTCTCTTGGCCTCTCATTGTTCTGTATTTTCTGTCAGCTAACAGATTAGCATGCACAGTCTAACCCATCTCACACTAGCTTGTATTCATTAGGCAGAGACAAAACCGAAAGAGCAAGTGACAGAAATAATAGGGGGCAAAGTGGACAAGCTGTGTGGATTTGACCACACTTGCTGGGATTTCTTTGCCCTGCCATGGCGGAAAGTCTCTCCATATTTTCCCCACTCGTGCTAATGCGGACGCCCATTAATAACTGTGTTTGAGCTCGGTCAGTGTGACGGCCTGAAGAGAAACCTCATTAATATTACATGTAGACTTGCAGCCACACGATGATCCAAATCTACCATGCATTTCCCATTTGGCTTCACATTTCAGCAGCACTTAGCCCTCACTGCTTTGTCTCTAGCATGTGACTTGAGAATGCTCATATGTTGTTATTTAACACCATCGGTCATCCATCCTTGGGCAACCACAGATGTCTGTTCTGCACAGTCAACACACTGTCATCCAGCTGTGCAGTGCAGCGTGAGTGTGTCCCAGTGTGTGTCTCAGTCTCACAGAGGATGTCAGCTTCGGTTTTTTAAACACTCTTAGTCGTGCAGTGATTGTGCAACAGGAACTTGTTAGCCTGCCTCTGTCTCTTTCTCTGCTGACATCGATACTGAAACCGTGAATGAGTGGCATGCCTGGATCATGTGATGGCTGGGTGGCTCTGGGTAATCCTGGAGCGTTCCATTCTGAGCAGGTCACTATGGCAGAGGTTATAAGAGGTTAGAGCCCTTCAGAAAAAAAGGAAGAAAAACCACACTTTTCTGCCGTTTCAGCTTATATTTAGTATAAATGCACTTAGAGAGATTTAAAACGAGTAACCAGTTCCTCTTGACTTTACTAACGCCAAAGCTGTGGTGTTGTCCAATATCAGGCTCCCCCTTCCCCTCTGCCTGATCGATAAAACTGACACAATGTTGGTGAAAAAACCCTGATTTATTACCAATGTTCTACTCACGACTCCAGTTACTCTCTGCTAGCTCTACGCCATTGTTGTTTTTGTCTCTACATTGTAATTACTCGAAATAAATATAAGCTTTAGGGATGTAATTAATCATGATATCAGATTAGTGTACTGACTGGTGTATCTACTGACACTTCGTAGCATATCTTAGTCAGCTACAGAGGTCAATACTGGTATCAGTAAAAAAGGGTTATCTTAAATGTCAAACTCTCTTTAAACAAACAAAAAATACATTTTTATTGGCTTTTTTTTTTTTAAATAATGAACCTGAAACCATTTATTTAAATTTACTGGTGTTGTTATTTGATTGTTAAGTTATTTCAAACTTGCCAATATTGCAAAAAAAAGCTGGATGGGTTCTGAATGCTGACTCTAATATTGGTTGTGGTATTGATAAAAGTATCTGTATGAGTTTTGATGTTGGTATATGTATCAATCTTGATATTTCTATTTATACCATTGTTAGTATAACTATCAAATACTCTCAATGCCTTTAAGTGGCACTAAGTTTCTTATTTTCAAAGTCAATGCATATTGATATTGGCCCTCAAAAACCAATATCAGTTGACCTCATACAGTATTATTGATATTTTCTGTATACATGAGTGCAGTCGAGGTCTTTGTTGATCAGCCTTGTTCGAGTCCGATTTTTAACAATGAGCCAAAATGCAATAAAAAATATAGTAAAACCCAAAATGTAATAACTGGTCAATAATGTAACAAGCTGCTGAGCCAGAAATGTAATAACTTTCATATTTGGATTTTATTAAATTTTTTTAATTACATTTTGGGCTCAACACTTTTGTTACGTTATTGACAAATTATTACATTTCGGGCTTTATTATATTTCTTCAAAATCCTTTTGGGTCATTGTTACTTACCAACTCTAACAAGGGGCCTTCCATTCACTAGACACCCAGTACTTGGTGCATTGGTATTGGAAATGGAATTGTTATGGGTATTTCTATCAGTGATAGTATTGTATTCAATAGGCACCCAGAAGGAGTGGAACAACCCTACTGTGAACAGTGTTTTTAATATCATGGTTTTAGATGACGCACAGTAGAGGTCCTTGTTTATTAGACTCGCATTCATAAGGCACCTGCTTCAGCTGCCACGCCCTGCTCTTGCTCCTTCCTTCCACTTGTGTCTGCACAGACAGCTGGGAGGCATATGGTGCCAAAAAAGGCCCTAAAATCTGCCCCCTTCCCAAAATTCATTGTCTTTCCCCCCGAGGGCCGACTACTCCACTGTTATTATCATCAAATATTAATAGGAATGGTAGTAAAAATTGCAGCTCCTGGTAAATGTCCTTTGCTATTGAGTTTTTTTTCTTTACCTCTTTGTTGTCTTTATGCTGTTTACATGGTGTATTTATCTTAGCTCGTGCCTACTGTGGAGTGAGATAAAAAAAAAAAAAATCAAAGCATACCAGGTTTACGCAGAAGCAGGCATACATTGCTTTGTTTGCGCTCTAGAAATCCCATTTCTCCCAGGTTGGAGAGTTTCAGCCGCAGAAGAAAACAAAGAGAGGTTGACTTGGTTGTATTGTGACACACTGCATGAATAAACAAGAAAATGAGAAATGTCAGGCTTTGTGATAAGAAGAATGATTCAGAATAATAGTGCAAAAAAAAAATGTGTCCTGTAAAATAAATGTTTTTTTTCCCCAGTAAATCTTATGTTTGATGTTAATGTTCAGCTAAATGCCACGTTTCCTGGTAATGACTCACATATGTGACAGACTTAGAAGTACTAAGTGCTAGTCAACAGATTGAAAAGATTTCACTTCCAGCGAATGTTACCCAATACACATTTCTTGAAACTAATACCTGTGTTTATTTGTCTCTACAGTGGAGTCTGGTGTGTGACTCAGCGTGGAAAGTTCACATTGCAAAGTTTTCTCTGTTGGTGGGATCAATCTTTGGATACCTGGTGTTTGGGATCCTGGCAGACTGGTAAGATTTTGAATAATAAAATTCATGCACATTAAATTCGATCCAATATTGGCACGGCTTTATTTTCCATGTAGTAATTTTTCCTATCTTACCCCACAGGTTTGGCCGCCATCCAGTGTTGATCATATCGGTGTTATTCATGCTTGTGTTCGGCCTGACCGTGGCCTTTTCTGTCAACGTTCCCATGTTCAGCACTTTGCGCTTCTTTGAGGGCTTCTGCCTGGCAGGGATCACCCTGTCTCTCTACGTCCTCAGTAAGTCCTAATCGAACAACTTTTAGGCCAATTAAGCTTTTTCTAATCCCTCTCCGCCTGTTGTTGTTGTTGTTGTTGTTGTTGTTGATGATGCCATACAGAAAACAGACTTGGATTTTTCACAGAAGTGCTTTAAAGGCTATTTAAATTTCCAGCAAGTGAGCAAGGATCCTGGCTGCTTGAATTGTAACTTTGAAAGTATTTTCTACCTTTAGCTAGCTAGCTAAATAAGCAAAATCAACAGACTTTTTTTGTTTTTTTCTTCAGACTTAAGGTCCTTACACACTGGGAATGATGCAAATATACGACACGAAATCACGAAATATTCAGAGGCAAATTTTGACACATTTGGTATGTTGTATCTGAACAGGTTAGCTTATGAGCTAAAGTTACTTAGCATGGATGAAAGTTAAAACAAAGACATTTAGCAAACTGTTAAAGCACACGAACGATCGTCATATGAGAAATCCGACGCTATGACTCTCCACAAGTTGTCCTTCAGGTCGTTATCTTTGTAATGTTTGTGTTTTTTATCAAAAACGCTCTGTTCCCAGAGACGTAAACAATCAGCCGGTCGGCCATGTTGGATATACCATTGAATCTGGCGTCGCAACAACACAAAATCTGATTGAGAAAATTTAATCGTGATACAAAAAAATAAATGCCGCAATTTCGTAGGAAGGGAAAACGTCGCTAATGTGAAAAAAAAAATTGACGTCTGAAATAATCGCACGAAAAAAACGCTCCCGGTGTGTAAGGACCTTTATTCTAACATATATTTTTTTAAAGTTATAAATTTGACACTTCACAGCAACTTTTTACTCAATTTAGTGTCTTGGCTTCATTGTAGAAGATGCTGTTATTGTAGAGTGAATATTCATCCCCTCAGTTTAGTGAGTAAAGCACTCAGGAAAAAGTAGCTCTGTTGTTTGGCTCATAACCTAGCTGGTCATGCTTACATTTGCTGCGTCCTTTTGTAACTCAGATTTGCTCTGTGGTTTTTGGTTTTGAACATACTCTCTCAAAGCTTTACTTGAGTACATGCATATTGCTTCAACACATAGAAATCTATAACCAGTACCGCAAAAGTCAAAAGCTACTGTTGGACAACCCCTGTTCCTGTGGGGAGAGGTTTGCTTCAGAACTGAATACAGTCCTTACATTTGCCGGAGAAAAATTCAGCTCTGTTCAGTGGTAGCTTAAGGATTTACATGGTGGTCAAACTGGTTTGTCTGGGAGTTGGCTCTTTATGTTCAGGAAGTAGCAGCAGCACTCGTTGCACTGCAGGCTGTAAGGCAGAGTTTCTTAGTCTGTGTTTGGTCTAATATTTCAGAGTTACTTCCTTAAAAAAGTAATAATAAAGTTGAATTTCGGTCACGTATTTTCCTTAAAATAGATCTGTTGAATTTTCTTAGAAAATCTCAGGCACATCATTCAATCTGGCGCTCTTAAAATGGCTAGTTTCTAAAAAATTAATATCAAAATTAAAAATACAATGAAATAATTTCTTCAATCTGCAATTCATAACACAAAAGCGTTTTCATAATGCCCTGACTGTTCTTGTTCTGCACCACCCACACCACCCATTCTTAATTCCCAATAGCTTCCCACCAATGCTTTTCTCATTATTACCAGACACACCTAATCAAATGCCTATTCCGCTTTAATTCTCCTCTCTAGCTGAGGGAAGCATTGAGCTAAAAGAAGAGTAATTGCATTGCTTTGACCTCCCAATGTTTATTAAACCTAATGGCATTGTCGGGATAAATTCTCATTAAAGCAACAACTGCCAGCCTCCGCACCCTTGAAATGAACTCTTTTATTTCCATTTCGGTGCAGCGGTAGTGTTTATTCCTGGGATTTTTAATCCCCTTCACTGCTAATCAATACCATGATACTAGCAAAAGGAGGCTGGATGTAGTTTGGTAACCTGTCTTTACTGACCTATCACTGTAAGGAAAGTGCGTCAGACAGTAATATTATCTGCTAATGTGACCTCTCCTCACAATAAAAGGTTTGAATGATTAGTTCTAGGGGAATTTAGCCCCCAAGACTGTAAGGGTGGGGACTTTATTATAGTGTCCTAATAATTGGCTCTGCATTTGATGATTCTGGTCCCAGTGATGGATCCCTTAAAAGCCTCTCTGGCTGCAGTAATTGACCAGTTCGGAGGCAATAGAGGATGAGAGGGAGGGAGCAAAGGGCAAGATGATGAAGTAAGGGGCCTCCAGTGTCCTTGTCATCCTAATTTACTCCACAGTATTTACCTTGAAAAGCCTGCCACGCTCCCGAAATAGCAGGAGTATTTAGTCTGCTCCAGGGACAAAGGTGGGACAAAGGGAGGCGAGAGGGTGGAGTCAAGCTGTACTATACGGCGTCTATCAAACTTGAATGAGCTTGACATCTGCTTCTTTTGTTCTCATGTGAGCCCTACAGTTTATGGTCGAATAAATCAGTGCTTCTCAGTTTTGGTGGTGGGTTTAAGCTTGTGCTGTATCTCCTGAATGCAAGTGAATACACTTTGTTTTATTTTGTCAACGTTTTACTTTTATTTAGTAAAATTTGGATTTATATTTAGTTTATAAGTCAGGTCAGAGTTTCATAAAACTATAAGACCACTTTTTTTTTTTTAAAGAAGTTATAGGTATCATTTAAAAAGATGTGCTGCAAAATATTATTATTATTAATAATAATAATAATAATAATAATAATAATAATTACTTTATTTTTATAGCACTTTTAAAAACAGAAGTTTAAAGCACAGAACATCAGCACATGGAAATAAAAAATAAAAAAAGCTATAAAACATAAAATGAGACCATGAGGACCAAAATAAAAACATAAAATAGGCAAGAAAAAAATGTAATGAAAAAGGGGGTAAAAAGCAGGGAAAAGGATAGTAAATAAAAAAAGATGATATTAAAACTGATATTAAAATCATAACAAAATAATAATGATGGTAATAGTAATAATAAAATAGAATAACAAAAATGAGCAGAAAAAAAAAAACAATAAAATCAATAAAAGGCCTAAAAGGTTAAATAGGAAAAGATTATAAGTAAAACGAAGGCTTAAAAGACAGTAAGTCGAAATAAGATGGAGGTAAAAGAGAAAAGAAAAAAGAGAAAGAAATGAGGATCTAGGCTGGGTGCTACATTGCTATCACTGTGTGTCATTTTAATGTGTCTGTAAAAGATGAGAGGAATCTGTGATCTCTGCTGCAGCTGGCTTTAGTATTACTGAGGGATTTAACAGGCATTTGAAAACATAATTCACACACCTCATTAACGGCTGAATGCCAGAGCAGCTGAGGGATATTTTATCACTCTCATCTGGAAAAAGGAAACAATATATGATAGTTAATACAACAGCAGAGCCGCACTGTATCATAGCTGCATTTCAAATTAACTACATCTGTGTCCAGAGTGTCCGAATGTTATGATTTAGGGTAAGGATTTCAGTCTTTCCCCCTCCTATTTCCTCCCTTGTATCTTTCATACCAGTCTCTCTCTAGTTAAAACATTTCTTTTAATCTTGCTTCCTTCAGTCTGTAATTTCCAAGCCCACTGTAAACCCACTACCCCCTTTTATCCTCTTTTCTATCAGATCAAAAGGTCATGAACAATCTGTTGCAATGTTACATAAATTCCTCTAGTTTTCCAGGCTTCAACTGAATCATTAGCGTAAACATTACTCTCTGTTATCACGTTTAGTTCCTCCCTAGACTCGATGGTCGTGCACATGTATTTTTTGATATCTTAACTTCAGATTGAACACTTGTTAGATTCAAGAAAAGCAGTTTTAAGACTTTGAATTCCTTGAAAATGAAACTCCACCATGCTTGCTCCACCATTCCTTATTAAATCAACTCAATGCCCCCGACTTTCTTATTGTTTATACCACCCTTTCTCTGAAAATAGTGGTTCTGTCCATGTGCAGATTGCTGTATAGTACATAGTGCACTCAGCTAGAGCGGGCCTTAGCTGGACTTATGTTTGCTTAAGCTTTGCATATTTGTATAGATTTTGTTTTGCCATATTGCCGCCCTTATTTCTGATTATGTGTGGCCTCTGTCACATGATATTTACCCTGCAGCCACTCTGTATTGACAAAACTCCAGCAGAGCTGCTCCAAGAGGAGGAACTCAATCGTTCAATAACACATTACTGAAGAGAATCAATCGTTTTATTTCAAGGCGTTCTGTTTAGGGTATTAATGTATTTAGAAGGTGGCTATATGCTGAAAGTTCAGTCAGAGCTTATTCAGTCCTGGCATTCTTAGTCATATGACATTTCTGCCAGTAACATTACAAACCACATGACCCTCCTTTGTGGCATGCTTTGTTTGACTGTGCTTACAAAGAAAGTCGGAGCCAAATCCCAGATTCAACTGTGTTTGCACTGGAGACATTAGACTAATCCCTCCATTTCCCATCAACCCATGTGTAATTAAGTCTAAGTTCATGGATCTTAAAGGCTGGACGTCATTAGCAATTTCAGAATTTAACATGTAAAACAAAGATGATGCTAATTACACGGTCCTGTTTATTTCAACATAATAATTATCATGAAATTATAATTATAATCTCATACATCCTTGCAAATACGGATATGTAATTAGGGGACACCACCTCCCTGCAGTCCTGACCCAGTGTTTGTTTCCACATAACTAGAGGCATCAATCAGGAAGTGAATTGTCAGGATATGGGCAATGTGCACACAGATATCCGGATTTGACAGGATGAGCTGTCAAAGTCAGGACCTCAGAAAGGACGGATGTTTCTGATACAACTGACACGGGTATGATAACCGCTAAAGAGATACAAAAACTACATGGAAACAACATGATCTTCAGGACATTTCAGGCTAAAAAGATACTTGACAGTTTTAACTTGGTGGCCATTTTCCTCTTTTTCAACAAAGTGTAAGAAGCTCAGTCGCTATCATGTTCTTCTAATAGCTCCCTGCATTGAGTCACATGGATTAAGAGTCTCTGAGTCATTATCCTTTTAACCACTTCTTGAGGGATTAGCAACTGTGAAAGCAAGCAACAGTTTGAACTCAGACATCTTTAAAATTTAAACAGCATATTTAAAAAGCTACTAGCTACAATTAGACAACAGCTAGCATTAGCATCAGACACTTAGCTTAGTCAACATTGTTCGTGTTAGCCAGTGCTAGCTAGGAACTGGCCAGATGCCTAGCATTCAAGTGTTAAGCAGGAGAATTAAAAAGATTTGTCAATTATTTCTGAAAATACACAAAAATTAATCAACTTACAACCTCAAACAATTGTACAACTTTAAAATAGCACTTTAGCTTTCCATTATAAGTGTGAGGAAATGGTGGCTGTGGGAATCAAACCACTACCTCCAGTCTTAAAAAAATGAAGAGCTACAAACTGCAGTTACCAGAGTGTCCACTGGAGGCATGCTGCAAAATCACTGGTTACCACATACACCCATTAGAACAAGCAAATAAAGACACATTGACAGACTAGTTCAAATAAGAGTTTTAGTCTGAATAGCCCATTTCTCCATCTCCACTCACTGTAGGGGTGAATTTTTCTTAATAACACATTCACTTTGAAGATATTAAGGTAACAACTTTTGTGTATAAGGCACAGCTGACTTAAATGATAGTCGGGCACATGGTAGCTGTAGGGGATGAGGCTCAAGGCGCACCTTTACTCCACTTTTTTGCCTCTCATTGGGACAACTTAAGTTAGGTTTAGTCAGCATTTCCAATACGGCCACCAAGGTTATTATCATAAATGCAAACAAATGAAAAAACAAAGCTTTATAAACACCTTTCAAATGCTGAAATTCTCCTTTAAGAACTGAGTGGATTGCTTTTATTGATGGTGGGGGGAGAGGGCCATCAGTGGGCTGTCTACATTGACTAATAGGGAAGGAAGCTAGTTAATTTTAACACAAGTGCTGACTATGACAAGGCAGATAGCTGAATAGTGCAATCTGAGTTTTCCCTTACATTACTCAGGGTTTTTTGATTCTTGCTCTGACCAGAATCCCAAATTTCAGAAAACCAAAACTACTGAAAACTAAATGAAAACACTCAACCAGACTTAAACAACAGCATCAAAAACGTAATAAAAACTAGACTGACAGTGGAAACATGATAAATGGAAGCAGGGAATGGTAAGAGAAGCAAAAAGTAAACACAGAGACTGAGGGGGAAATTAAAAAGCAAAGGGAAATCGAGAGGAGGAAACATTTTGTGAGTGCATGTGAGGAGCAGTTACACCGCCACGGCAAATGAAAAGGGTGTGTTTCTTCGTCTAAGTGTGAAGCACTGCATGTTTTATCCAGGCTGATGCACTTTTCCACGACACATACTCCTTCACAGTATGTTGACTCTGTTGTATTAAAACAGTATAGCAAAGCTCATAGCTTAGAGAGTCATCTGATGCAGCTCTGCTATTTATACCCCAGCTCTTCCATCACTATGGACTAGCCTTGTTAGCACCACAGCACCTGGCAGCACAGTCAAGGCTCACAGTACCTATAGCTCAGCATCACTGTGCTGCCCACTATTGCATTTCTACAGTAAACACTCCATTTCCCCTCCTTCACCTCCTCCTCCCACCCTTCTCACATACAAACACCCAGCACAGCAGTTTGCTGAGTCATGCTAACTGGCTGCGTTGGGGGTTTGTTTGAGATTTTGTGATCGGCTTGAGGCGAGGAGATTGTGTTCTGGGGCAGTGGGCCAGAGCTCTCTCTTTTTGTTTACACGGGTTTTTATCATGTAAACACACCAACAAACTGGCCTCAAATTAGACTCTTAAATATGTATGCAAAATATAATTTAAGCAGTAACAGGAGTATACAAACTTAACATCTAAAGTACGATATGTTTCTTTGCACAGAAATGATCACTGTTGAAGCTCATATGTGTCCATATTGACGCTCTTTGCTCTATTTAGCTCTATTTATTCTGTTTACACGTTTACTTTCTTGAAAGTGAAAACTAAATTTTGTTCAAAAGCAGGATGTTTACTCCCAAAAGTCTGCATTACCTTACAGCAAAGAGCAAATATTCATATTCCCATTTGAAGTGGAGCTCTCTTTTTGGTGTTTGAATCAGAGGTGGCAAGCCAGAACATGTCATGGGTGTGTGAGAGAGAGAGAGAGATAGAGAGATAGAGAGAAAGAGAGGCTTCATAAAGGAGCTACAGTAGACAGAGTGAGGAACAGATGGAGAGTGATGCAGACAGAGACAGGTCACATGATTCAGTGGTAGTCTCAGGTCATGCATCATAAACAGCTCTGTGGCTTTTCCGTCAGTAACCTTTGACACACTTGATCACAACTTGCCTTTGTGTGGTTGTTTAAAAGACTTGTTTATAATGGAGAACACTCCGGGATGAACTCACATGGAGAAAAAGGATTAAATTGTTGTTTTCAGTTTTTTTTCTGTAATGATGGATGATGCATAACCTGACATTAGTAAACATTAAATCTGAAGGGTTGAAACATTTATTCCTGAAACATGTCAGTACTTGAGGATTGTTTTAGTCACGGCCAACACTTTAACTACGTAAATGGTGTGAGCAATATTAACTTAAAAGCTCCTATTAAGCAAACAAGATCATCAGTGACAAGATTGATGATTCTTATATTGTTAAACAGCCTGGAACCTGCCGGAGAGAGTAGGTGTATCCTATATAATATACACAATAAATGATTCATTTGACTGTCAATATTCTAGCATGCAGAGGTTAAGATAAGCAGAGGTTGTTTTGTAAACAAGGGGCGCCAAAATTTACTTAAAAAGTTCCTCACTGGAGCTTTAACTCCTTTTGCATAAACACATAACGTCTCATGAAGTGAAAAAGTTGTATTACAGATATTAAAGATCATTTGAAGCTAAAAAAGGAACAAATAAGCTGGATAGTAATTTCTTTAAAAGCATGCAGCAAACAAGTGACTCCATGTCCACAGAATGAATAAGTCCCATTGAGTGTATGTGTTTAGCCCACAGAAAGATAGGTCATAGTTACAGTACATTAAACATGTGATTTAAAAGTGACTTTTTATCGTACACTTGATTTGCTTCCCGTTTTTAAGAGTGTATGTCTGTGGAAAAAGCAAAGAGAAAACAGCAGAGTAAGGGCATTTCTGAATTTCCTCTTTTAAGGAGTCATAGAACTCTTACATCCTTGAATCACATTTACTATATCCCCTTGTTTCCTTTGTCCGGGGGGATTTCACATCAACAGTCTTTTAGCTTTTTTTCTTTATGTTGCTTGAATAATGTTGCTGGATACAGACAGGAGGATATAATGTGTATGCTTCCAGCTGCTCAGGTTGTCCAAGGCCAGACCAGGCTAGTCTTGTCCTCTTCACTGTCCCCATGTTGCTTGTAATGAGGTCTGTCCTGTCTCTCTCTCTCTCTCTCTCTCTCTCTCTCTCTTTGCTGTGCCCTCTTGGTACCTTCACATTAATGTCTTGCGAGGTGCAGCACCGAGAGATAGAAGCTCTGTGTGGATTTATCTGTGTAAATGGCATCTTTTGTGTCACTGTCAGACTTTCCTCCTGTTGGTACAGTCTGAGGCTACACTTGCTTTGTTAACCTGCCTCCTCTCCTCACCTGGTTTGCTCTCACTCTTGATGGATTCGGCTCAGTCTGCCTGATCTAGACTCTAACGCAGGAACTTTTTACTTGCAACCATATGGCCGTGTCTCTTTGAGGACTGCAGACTGGACTGTTTAACTCTACTTCAGAGATATTGCGCTGCCTTTAGATAACATTACTTGTGCAAACCTTTTACTTATCACGGTTGCTATGAATGCTTGGAGCTATGAATGCTCCAAAGGCGAAATAAATATAAAAAAGGTCTGAAAAGGATTGAAAGAGTGGACTGTGTAGAGAGCAAATGATCTTCAGCTAAAGAAAAGTATTTTCCATGATACATGGGTTGACCTGCCTCATCCTTCCCCTTGTTCAGCTCTAGCTGTCTCCTGATAAATGGGTTAAGGTGCAGACTCAGTTTTTTTCCCTCTAAGCAGGGCTAAAGTTCATTTTTTCTGCAGAGTTTGCACATCTGGTCACTGTGCAGATTTCCTTCCCTTACATACTAGTCAATGTGTATCTGTTTATCTACCAGCTTTGATTTTAGAGACATTTTACTCCTTTAAAAGACGCCTTGTTGACCTAATGGAAGTGCTCCACTAGGACTAGAATGGGAATAACATTTAACCTTGGCTGTACGAGAGTCGCAGCATGACATAACCTCTGGCTATCTAACAGCTCACATTCCTGAGTGAAGTCTAATGACAGACCGAATCAACAAGACCGACCTTTGTACTTCGATTTGACGGGTGTTTAAAGAAAAGACATCAATTCTGCTTCTGTTATTCTGTCACGCTGATGACTCTATTTTTTGTTGGGAAATCTTAGAGCTTTATTTATGTCACTTTGTCATGAGCACCGGTTATTCTGTTTTTGTTTGGTAACTCCAAGAAAGTCAGTTTATTCTGATCCTCCAGTGTGTGGGAGACAGACTGTGAAAGAAGTGGGTAACTTTTGACACACAAACCCACTCATGAGCAAAAAGTAAAAGAGTCTACCAAAGGTGTTTGAGAGGTGTGATCACTGAGTTTATGCAAACACAGATTAAAAGAAGTTCCTTTTGGCTAATCAGCATTATCAGGCGTCCTTTGCAGCTCCAGATAAATTATCAATCAATGAGTATGACCTTATTCTTTGACAATAGCCTCTTTTCAGTGATAGGAGTGGAGTGGATACCTTAGGATATTTGTGTGCTAACACCATCAGCCCAAGGATCAGCAAACAAAGAGAGAGAATTTCCCTTCAGAGCATTCTTGGGAAGTTATGTGCCAGAGCAGTTGTAAATAAGTTGTAGTTTGCTGTATGTATCTGTATCTGTCTTGTCACTGACCTAACAAACCTTTATCAGAAGAAACCCCTTCATGGTACCTGGAAATCACTGTGCTCCCTTCTGAGAGACTTTCCCAATTAATTGTGCTGTAAAAAGGGATGTGTGCTCACCCCCCCCAACTGTGATTTATTTTCCCATGTAGTCACTATGTTCGACTGAGGAGGATGTAATGTGCCTTCGCACAGAAATTCCCCCCCGGTCTGCAGTTACTGTAGGCAAAGACCAAGGTTCAGTGGGTTCTTATCAGGAAAGTGCTGTTTGCTGACAGTGCTGCTCTGGGCTTTCACTCAGAGGATCACACTCCAGAAACTCATCAGCTGCTTTACACATGCCTGGGTTTAGATCGGAAACAGAAACAATTTCTCTGTGTTACCACGGATTTTGAAGGGTGCGGTATCATGGAGATGAATAGTTTTGTTTTGCCAGAACTGTCCTTCAGATACTATATTCAATCAACTGTATTGACAGGGCGGCCATTGTCATCTATAAACATACTCAGTGTGGGCAGTTCAAACTCTAATATAATTATACACTGTAGATATATATGTGCGCGTGTGTGGACCAGGTTTGTAAAATGTTTAAACTTGGGGTATTGTCAGTGATAGTTGGAGAGGGAAGTGTTTTATGCTGCAGTCTCCTGATGTATCCCACAGGTATCTGAAGCAGCAGTGTTGGTGGTCACCAGATGATAAATGCTGACTCAGACTCATTTGACCTAGCAAAAGACAGAGATGTAGAATTGGGGCAGCCTTTTTCCTTCTTGCTAACAGCTGCATTCAGCCCACCAAGTATTCCTTTGCAGCTACATCCCCAATCATGCAAAACTCTCAACTTTAATTTCTTCAAAACACATGAGTAAGAGTGTGCAGAGCAGAGGAGGAGTTTGGAGTTTGGAGTTATTTAGACCAAAACCTTTTTCTTTTGTACCAGGCTTTAGACACACTTATTTTACTTGGAAGATTGGGTGTACTGGGCTTTTGAAGTCTGCCTCAAGTGGACATTTAAGGAGCTGCATTTTCAGCATAAACACATAGACATCCCTATTTGACATTGTAGGTTGCTGCAATGTATTTGTTTACTCATTTGCACTAACCGCTGATGCGTTTAACCTTTTGGCATTGCTGCTGTTAGGGTTTATATTGCAGGAGCCATTTTACCGTTAAAGTTTTTATAGGTGTAGCTCGATAGCCGGCCTTTTGTAATCACTCATAAAGATGTAATTGGTTAGTTGTATGTCTGAGTGAAAGGGAAACTGCTTCCGAGCATATCACCTGACATGTTTTAAACTGTGGAACAATGCGGAGGTCATTGACTCTGAGGCTTTTGGAGTTTAATAGGTAAGAGATGTGAGAGGAGGAATCACAGTTGAGAGAGGACGCTGCAGCTGCAGTACAGCTGTACTTTTCCTTAAGCCTGTTAAACTCCAGACTTGAACGGTTAGAGCTTCAGATGCTGCTACAAATAAAAATGTAATAAACATTAATCGCAGCAAACCAATCCCTGTTATCTCTCAGTATTAAGAGAGTCCACAGAGTTCTTGGATAAGGCAGTGAAATCATGGCATGGAGCCATACGAACCTCATGTGACCAGTGAAAGGTCATGACACTAGCCTGTGGGTATAGGGAGTGGCAGCCCTGAGTGCCTTTAGTGGTCAACCAGTCTCTTTCACTTGTAAAACAATGGGCTTTCTTGACTGTGCTGTGTATCCGACAGAAGTCTAGTGAGCCACTGCAGCGTGTGATTCATATTCTTGTTTTGCCGAAGTCAGCAAAGAAGCCAAAGCTTCTTTAGGGATTACCACTATTATTAATTGGCTATTGGCTTGATCATTGATGATGTCATTTCCACTTACAGTGTGTACAGCTGGTGTCCTAATGCATTGTCTATTTCTGCTTCAAAGTTGCGTATCCTACTTGTTTTGTCACCCTAAGGAGCTTTATTAGCACCTTTAGGAAGGATCTTGCGGGTGACATCAGATTATTTATGTCAGTAGAACAGAGAGTGCAGCAGAGCATTGTGGGAATGCTGATCTAATGGGTTTGTGGAGGATTAGGGTCAGCCGGAGTAAGGAGCTCAGGGCCTCCTTTCCTTTCCAAAAACTTTGTTCCTCATTCTGCTGCTCTGTCTACAGAGCATGTGCCACCTTTTGACGACTTTCACTCTCATTATTAATACATTCATCCATAATAGTGCTTGTTCTGTCTCATGTCCGTGCGTGAGTACTTCTCTATAGCGCACCACAGGATGTACTTTTCCCGTCACAATGCGGTGGCCTGTTCAGTGCACATGACGTCTTATACATAACCGAAGAATTCAAATCCCATGTGGTCCATAAGCAGTGAACCGTTACTTTTCTCCCAGCGGCGCTCAGAGAAGGGGTCCTGAGGTTTAGTGGTCAACCAGTCTCTTTCACTTGTAAAACAATGGGCTTTCTTGACTGTGCTGTGTATCCGACAGAAGTCTAGTGAGCCACTGCAGCGTGTGATTCATATTCCGGTCTTTTCCACTGGAATGAAGCGGGGCCGCCGACACCCACTGTATTATGCTGGCCTTGTCACCTTGAAAGGCCCATCTGGAGACTGTTCACATTCCCTGCCAGCAAAAGACCCACTGGAGAAAGAAAGTGGTGTATAAGAAAAATGGGCGAATGAAAGAGGACAAAAGATTGGTGCAGTTTGAGAATAGAGGTATTACAGTACTATGCACTTTTTATGGGTTTGATGTGAAACCATGGTCTACTCTGCAGTAACTAAAGGGCTGGACTGTCTGTGGTCGCTGGCTGCCAGTGTGGTGTGCATGCTAATGGCTGGCTGAATGAATCAGTGCCATTCTGATAGAGGAGAATTGAGTACAAGGAGCCTCTTTCTAGTTAGTTCACTCTCACAGCAGCCTACTGTCTTGCTCTGTCAACTGTCTCTGAACAACAACTGTACATGCTGATTTATTCCCTTTATTTAATGTCACAAACTCTGCCGTGCACTGTCACTGAAAGAGCCACCCATTGTTTGTTTCAATACAAGGACATATTGATGTTTCTTTCTGGTTCAAAATTGATCTTAAAGCGTATTAGATAGAACAATTTCTGTAGAAGACTTTGACTCCAATGTCCTAGAGCGTGGGGTAAGATCTGATAATTATTCCTTTTGCCTGAACAGCAGTCTTAAATCCAGAGAGATTAAAAAGTGCTGTTCAAAACCAGATCAGAGTGTGCCCCCGTCACTCAACTGGCCCAACACAAAGAACTTTAAATGGATATTCCTTTGAAGTGGATGAAGGATTTGCATTTGGTTAAATGTGCCATACATTCAAGCTGTAATTTACTCAAATTTCTTGTATGTTTTAAGATACTATCACTTGTCCTAATGCTGGATTAGTTAAAGCTCCTGTAAGTAATTTTAACTGGTTGTGAAATAGATTAAAATGATTACTTATGCCTAGGACTGGGCAATTATATGATCATGATAAGTTTCAGTTCGATCACGGTGATCGGCTGTGAGCATATTTACTCGATCAAACATAGCTGAAATGTGCGTCACAACAGCCAATCAGAGTCAAGCTTTTTCTGCTCACTTCTGTATTTTGCCGGAGAAGTAAACAAATTGACCGAATGTGAAGCTTAACGCGGAGCAGAGGGCAGCAAAATAGATGTCAGCCATGACTTTGAGTCATCCTCCAAAGATGTTATTGTTAAGAAGTTGTTCAACGTCGGTTGTGTTGCGGTGGTTCGGGTATCTCCAAAGTGATGTCGAGCAATTAAGCCGATGTGTAAGGTATGTTGGCGATTGGTGTCCTCAAAAAGTGGCAACACAATAGATCTATTTAATCATTTAAAGAAGTACTTCCAGAGTGATTATGCAGAAAGCATGAAAATGCGAGCAGAGTCTGTACAGTGTGTCACTGCTGGTGGTACTAGTAGCATTAGTAGTTTAGCCACAACTAGCGGTGCAGCCACCAGACCAAAGCAGCAATCAATTGTATCATCTACTTTTCCATCATCTAATGTTTACATTTTAAGGCGTCTTTATTATCCCTGAGGGGGCGATTTGTTTATTTTGGGTCTGGCATACCTGCACAAACACTCAGGACTGTAAACTAGTTCACTGTAATATTTAGTATTTATCTACGTTTGTTGTATTGTTGAGTTAAAATGTTTTTTATATTTTTCTAAGTGTATCTTATTCAATTTGCTTTGATATTTACTTTGTATGTTAATAAAATGTTGAACTAATCTCTAGTTTCTTTAGTTTTTAGTACAGATACTTTAAATGCTGGATTAATTAAAGCTCCTGTAAGGAATTTTAACTGGTTGTGAAATAGATTAAAATAATACTGATGCCTCTTCATGATAACAGAAAAAAAGGCCATGAGCTAGAAGGTTGTCTTTTTTATTCTACAGTGTAGTTCAGTAGTTTTTCAGTGAGACTACGTGGTTTACATGTAATTATAATAGCCACAATTGATGCCAGTGAGTTCTGTGCTTTTATTAAAGCAGCACTGTGTGTGTTGTGTCCACATTTACAAATGGATTATCTAATGGCAAAGTGAAGTGCTGAAAATACTCTCAGTGAAGCTGGCATTTAAAGCGAGATAAGTGCTTTGGTCGGGGTCACTCAAAATTAGCATTGCAGAGAACTGTTAGCCTAGCTAGCCTGTTAATTCTCCCGGCAGTATCTCATTAGAGGGGCAGAATTGATTGGCATCCATTGTGGCTAATGCACTTCACCCCACATAATAAATGCTGAACTAACCCTTTAAGTTATTTGGAATGTCTGAAAGTGCTGCTGTGGGGTAGGTGTCATATGACGTAAGTAACTGCATGCTGCTTTAACAGCATTTCCGTTTGACATTTTCTGGGCCAAGGTTTCTTAATGAATGATACATTTGACATTCAATATAAGCAGGATGAGATTTTGTGGTTGTTTGCACCTATTCAGGTCAAGATCAGCTTTGAGATAAAGGTACCACCTTGTCCAGGGGAGACACAGAAATTCACCCAAAGTTACCCACAGTGGCTTTAACTCATTGACATCAAAGTCATTGTAAAAATCCATGCTCTTGCCTCTCTGTGTTACCATGTGGTGTTCTGTTTTGGTGGTTAATTCATGAGGTATCGGCTGTTCCTCTAAGTATGGTGAAAATGAGGTTTGGATCCCTTGTTGTGAGTACATGAGACGTGCCAGAGCAGGTTGTACCTGGTGTCTGTGAATGCTGACAAGTTTGTGTTCAAATCTGTTCTCAGTTCTCAGTGAAAACTGGCTGGTTTATGGGTTGCTGTTCAGTTTATTGGCCGGCACCAACAAAAGTTTTAGTAGGTAGAGATTAAACATTGGTAGGAAGCATCTGGTACATCATCTAGTCAAAAGCAAACACCTTTGAAAAGCAGAACTCATTGGTGTTAAGGGGGAAAATGTAGTTTAATCTAAGGTGTATTCTTTGCTTTCTAACTTGCATCCAGAGTGGTTTGTGTTTCAGATTAAGAAAGATTGGAATCTTTTTTTAATGTGTCTTAACACATCAGTATCTCATTGTTTCCACATGAGTAGAATATTCTGGAAACTGTTATTTTGTGCCTTGTTTTCAGACATGTCCATAGTGAGTCCGTCTGTTTGAGCAAACTAATAATCCACGCTTTGTTTCTTTCTCTGTCTTCTCCCCTTTACTTCTCTGCCAGGGATCGAGTTGTGCCTGCCAGGATGGCGTTTCTCCATGACCATGGTGGCCAATTTTGTGGTGTTGGGTGGTCAGCTGTTGATGCCCGGGGTGGCTTACCTCTGTCGAGACTGGCAGGTCCTCCAGGCTGTGATTATCTGCCCCCTCCTGCTGATGCTGTCCTACATCTGGTAAGACCTGAGCATCTGCTGCACTCTGACACCCACACAGCTTCTGTCCTTCTGCTCCACTTTTAAAATGTGTTTTTCACTTAAAATTTTACATGCGACTCTTCTACTTGGTAAATATGTGGCACCATCTGCACTAAAATTCAGCATGTGTTAAATTCTAAGTTAGTAGTGTTGATGAAGTGTAAATAAAACCTTGTTAAACCAAAGGAGCTTTTGCAGATTTACTCGGTTTAAACAAAGAAGTGGAGAATGTCTGAGCTCCGAGGACAATTTTCAGCTCTAAGTTTCATGCTGAATTTGATGAAACGTCTTTTCATTAACACAGTTGTAGTGGCCTCTGCTGTGGCTGCACTTCATTTTGAAACAAAAAAATACTTACCTTCATGTATTCTCCTGCAGCAAAAGTAAGCACAGCATCCCTAGTTCTGCTAATATGTACAAAACCAGCAGAAGAAATTCAAGTATTTGGATTCAGTCATCAAGAGTCAGAGGCCACGGCTCTGTTACAGTGCACCTTTAAAACATGGTAGAAACAGTAGGAGTTACAAATTCAACCAAACATCAATACAATGCACTCCAATCAGAGTGGGCTACAGAGAGGGGAACTGATGGGAAATTGATGAGAATTCCCACAATGCAACAGTGCAAAAGACAGACCTAATTACTCTGATAAAAGAGTGAAAAATAGTGTGCATCCTGCAGTACTCAGTAAATTTGCCAAGCTATAGAAAGGCATATGGGACGATCTATTGTCTGATTCAATGTGATTTTGGCCGTATATCTTTAAGAGGACGATGTTCACTCACAGCAAATATTGTGCTGGCAATGTTCACAACCTTAATTTCAGAGTGCTTGTGTTGCTAGGTTGTAAAAGTTATCCCTTGGTGCTTCTGCTTACCTAATAAGGGATTGTTAAGTCTGTTTGAAAATGCTCTGTAAACACTAGAAAAAACTGACAATGCCATACATCTTCTTTCTGGGATACTTTTTATGATTTAAAAAAAAAATTTAAACTGCATAAATGTGGTGTACCTTTGAGTGTAGATCTGAACAAAGTTGGTATTAGAGCTCCTGCCTTCTTTTGATTCTGATCTGTTAGTGATATAGCGGTAACTCTGATGAGCTGAAGCAGTTTCATCTGGGAGCGCAGTAACAAAAATGTCTGTCGCCTGAGGACATGTTTGCCCTCAGGATTTGGAGAGCTGATAACGCTGGCATTGGGTTAGTGCAGAACACAGGTGCTGCCATTCGTGGACCCAGACTCTTATCATAGCGGAGAAAAACAAAGCCGTCAAATAGCTATGAGGTTGATGATTTAAGAATTCCCCAAGCTGACTGTCTAGATGAAACCAGACAGTGATGGCGGGCACAAGCTGAATACGTTTCTGATAAGGCGGCTGTACGTAGAAATACAGCTGGTGAAACTGAAGAGTTCAGCGCTGCAGGTGATCCAAGTCTGCTGATTTAGGGAAAACAACATAAAACCACAACAGTGCGAGACCGTAAATTCCCCAGAACAGCTGTTCCAAAGAAAATTAACCAGCTGAGGCAAAATGTTGCATTGTTATTTTGCTGTTGGTTTTTAAATAAACATATCCTTGCAAGGAGACGCTTCACCACTCAGGGGGAATCTGTGCGACATCGTGCACAACAATTATCAGATAATAGAGTGTAAGAAATAAAAGCAGGGACAGAAATATCTTGTAGTCTTATGTATATATTTTTTTTTCTCAGTGACAAATCTGGTTACGCTGATTTGCAACCCTGCTGCCTGTAAATGTCATTTGAATGTTCGCGAGAGTTTAGAAAGACTTTAATTGACCAAATGGGGGTTTTATTAGCTGCATTCAGTTTAAAATGAGTTGAAAAGAGGCCCCAGTTTGACTTCCTCATTACAGCATGTCTCATTACAGAGGCTGCAGCTCTTATTGCAGTGGTTGGAGGTTCAGCTCTGTCCCTGCCTTGTGCATGTCTTCCCCTCAGTCTCTACTCCCAACAATAAATATCTCTTTTAAAGGGATATTCTGGCATAAAATTAATCAAGGGCCAAACATGCCTTAACACCGAGTTAGACACCCCTCGAGAGATGAATGTTGCCAACCACTTGCTTCTCTAGTTATACCAACTTTAGTAACGACCGCACGATAGCAATACACAGCGGTGTAAGGAGCCAAACACAAACATCAATCAAAAAACTACTCTATAGCCACAAATAATGCTCAGAACAGCACCTAACTTCATTAACAGCACATATAGGGTCCTAGCCATAGCACTAGCCACAAAACATCTTTTTAAACTTTGCCTGATTTCTTTAGCAAAGAGACTAAACACAACTCACCTACTCTCTTCCAGCAGCCACTTGTTTGTAGTGAGACCTCAGATGAGTCCATCAGCGACTGCTGTGGGGTGATGCAGCTCAAGAAAGAACATTTATGAGAATGTCTTTATCATTTCCTTGAAGTAATAATCACCATATTAATCGTTTTGCACCATGTCGATCTGATTGATGGACTAGTCCGAGGTCTCGCTACAAACAAGACGGCGCTCTGATGAAAATTTAAATGATTAGTTTTCACTCATTTTGCAGTCTCATATAAGGACACCCCTTTTCTTTTCATCAGGATCTTCCCTGAGTCCCTTCGTTGGGTGCTGGCTACTCAGCAGTACAGCCGCTCCAAGTGGATCATGGGACTCATCGCACAGAAGAACCGGGTGAACATGGAGTTCGACTGCGACAATATCCTTACAGGTATCTTAAACACTGACACTCATTAACTTGAATCAGCACTAAAAGGCGGCTTTAAACCCTGTGATTTAATGATAACTATCCTCTAATAGTTATCTGGCTTTAAATGCTCAGTGTGTCCTTTAGATTCAGCTTCAAAACTACTATCAAATCTTTTTTTTGCTGGTTATTCTGTTTGTATCTTGTTGTTCTTTCCAAAAAGAAAGAAAGCAAAAGCAAGATTGACAAGGTTATATCAGTTTCCTGTCTGGTTACCATAGAAACAGACCATTCAGAGGGAGCAGTGGGTGTTGAACATTATGTTATGACACTCTACCTCGTTCCCTTATTTCATTATAGCCTGGGTGGGTGGACATGAGCCGACATGGTGGCAGATGGACGCGGGTCAGGCGTTTGACCTTTGACCTGGGTTAACTGTCAGTGCCTGCGCCCAGAGGATGGACAGAGGTTTAGACTTGAGAAGTGATGTGGTTTATGTCATATGTATCAAAATATGTTTACTCAGTTGGTTTCCGATATTTTTGCTCTCCCTGCTTATCAATACATGTTTAAAAACGACACTGCTGGGAAAGAGCTCAAAGAGGAACCGCTCAGTGTGAAATTAGCCGCGCTCTTTTAATACTCTGAAACTGTGTGCTGATGCAGCATCGAGAAAAGTTCATTGACATTTACTATCCTCTCTGTCTTTATAGTAGCTGCCTGTCCTCAGCCCTTTAAGTAATATTTCCTACTTTACACAGCTCACCTCTAAATAGTGTGTTGAGCACACAGTGTACTTATAGCTCGTTGCATCACAGCTGAGAAACTTTCACAGCGCTGAAACATGACAAGTGCGTGTGTAACCGCTGATTCCTTCGTCTGAAAAGTGAGCGCAGTGATTTGCATACAGTAGATCTCGGGCTTACTCGGAGGTTTCTAGGATCACTGGAAAAACCTCAGCATTACAGTCAGAGATAACCCCAAGGCAGTGGTGTGTGGAATGCCGTCACATGCCTGAGTCAACATGAACACACAGAACCACATAACCAAGGCGTGTTTCCGTGGTAACTCTGCCCTCTGATACCAAAACATCCCCTGCGTGCTATGTCACATATCATCGGCGGCTCAGGGGCGTTCCTGTGCCCTCACAGGAACTGTTCCTGTTCTTTTGCAGGCAGCGCTGTCGTACCTGTCAGACAAAGCAGAGGGAGGAGGGTCACATGGGCTGAAACGTGAACACTAAAGATACTTGTGGAGTTTTTTAGGGGTGCAACAAACCAGGCTGCTCTCATTTGAGCCTTTGAAGAATCTTTGTTGTCTAATTTATTTGACCTGAAAACTTAATTTGATATCTTTTTACCATCTTCAAAAGCCTCTTTTCAATCAAACATGGAAAGTGACAAATGCATTGTAGCTTTTGACATTAAGAGAAGTAGACAAGATGCCATTTTTTTTATTTGTTTACGCCTCCTATGGCCAAGGTGGTGCATTCAGTCTTTGCTGATTTCATCCTGTACCTGTGCATGTCTTTTTTTTAAAAACAAAAATATATCATGATTTTTCAAATTTGATAACATATATTGAGAATTTTTGCAGAGAAAATGTGCAAAAACACTTTTTCTGTATGACGCTATGAATTATTTTGTTTGACCTCATGTCGCTTATGGTCGTATTTAATGTGCATGTTTGTATATATGCAATCATCTCAATGTTATTCAGTTTCATAACAAGCTAAAACTCCATACAGGAGCTTTAAGACATAAAGAAAAACATTTGGATCAATTTGTTGCTCTTGAGTGTTGGTGTTTGAACTGTGGCTGGGGTCAGGGGCCAGGATATAGGATATAAGTGACATAATTTTCATTTCATTAAACTGCTTATATGGTACAGCAGTCAAAGATAAAAAATTGTATACAAACTCTCACATGATTTTGTTTCTCTCCTTCCAGAGCTGCAAAAAGCTCTTCAAAAGAAACCCAAAAAGACGTGTATCGTGAAGATGGTTGGGACGAGGAACCTGTGGAAGAATATTGTCGTGCTCTGTGTCAACTCGTAAGTGTGTTTTCCACCTGTTACTCCTCAGAAGACGGTGTGGACAGTTATTCATCAGGTTCTGTGTGTGTGGGAGGATTGGGAGAAAAGGGAAATGGGTGTGCGTGCTTGCATTGTATGTGTGTATAGGGCGAGGCAGTGCCAGCCACACACGCCATTTTGTGCAGGCAAGATGCCACTGTTAACCTGCAGCCTGGATGCAGCATTGATCAGCGAACCTAGATGCTTTCGCCCTCCCATATTTTCTCCACTCTCTCTTTTCATCTCAGGAGGGATCTGAGCTCTTCTCTCTCCGTCTGAGACCTTTTCTACAGACCCGGCTTTTACTCTGCTTCTCTGTGCCCCTCACTCCCTCAGTCAGCATGAATTTTACATGAGCTGTGTCCTTATGAAACATTAGACAACCAGGGGAGAGGGTGTGAGTGTTTGCACGCTTTTTTGTTGTATGCATTTGGGGTGTGTGCTTGAGTGTCAGTTAGTCATGCAAGAGTGTTTGCATACTCGCAGAGGTAGAGATAAGGGTAAAATAAGGGAGATATACCTTGAACTTTTTCAATCTTTTGCACTTTTCTTTATTTATTTTTTCCTTGTTTTCCATCTTTTATTACTATTTTTTTTCCCCCACCTTATTAGATATCCCTTTTTTCCACTGTGACTTTGCCCACATGTTAGCTGCTCTGATATTAACTCTACATGACCATCATGTCCTCTATGTACCCAGGCTAACAGGCTACGGGATCCACCACTGCTTTGCCCGCAGCATGATGGACCCTGAAGCCCAGGAGACGACCATGTTTCATAACTTCTATGCAGACTACTACACCATGGCGGGCATTGCAGTGGCGTCCTGCATGGCGCTGTGCCCAGCAGTGGGCCTGATGGGCCGGCGAGGTGGACTTCTCATGTTTATGATTATCACAGCCCTGGCATCTCTGCTGCAGCTGGGACTGCTCAACTGTGAGTGTTTGAAGCAGAAAACAAGCCCGATTACATCTGGAAGAAAGTACAAATATGTTGTTAATTGTGACAGTTATTAGCAGAATTTAGTTTTGAAGAAGTTTTATATCAGAAATGAATCAGGATTTGGACTCTTAAACCTCAGATGAACGGTTCAATTAGCTGATCCTAAAACCAATGATTCTCTGTGCATGTACCCTGATCTATTTTGTACTTTGAACTATAGAGCTGAAGTGTTATCCAAAAGTTATTCACCTTTACAGGAGCTAATGTGATGCTTTGTTCAAAAGAATACAGACACTGATTTTTTTTAAATACTGGTGCACCAAAAATATAATCGACAATCTACACAGCAGCTGAAATGATTGTATATGTAAGCAGAACATTGAAGTAATTGGCGTAAAAATCAAGTGTTTTACATCCGAGACCAGCACCATCAGCCACCACAGCCTCTGTCAGACATCATATCGTTCTGCTGTCTGAGCCTGAGTGCCAGTGTGCGAGCAGTCTTTTGTTCATCTGTGGTGGTTTAAAAACAGCTGCCATTACAGTGATCCTGAATCTCTGTGTAAACATCACAGCCCTTTAGCTGTTTTTGTCGGTGAAAACAAGATGCACTGAAATGACGTCTCTGCCTGGACTGCATTTCCACTGGAAATTTACTCTGAAGAAATGCAAATTTGTACTTTTGTCCTATTGTCACCTCAGGAAGAATCTGTTAGTCAAATTGAAAACACTAAATTTTGTCATCTGACGTACTAATACCATAACTGGTCATGGAAATGAGATCTACTTTCAACTAAACTTTAAACTGGGATGATTTAGTGGCAAATGTTTAGACATCATTAGTGTTAACTGACTTCCAGTACAACTATTTTATAATAATAGGTTCATATCAGGTTCATATTCAGAAAATCTGATAATGCCAAGCAAATTAAAGAAGCAACAGTGCTGGTAATATTTTTGAATAATTTGGTCATGTCCTGTTTAGATTAAATTAGATACAACTTTATTTATCCTTTTGGGAAATTAAAAACTGTTCACGATAATAGAGTAGTTAGTTGGTGTCATACAAATTTAGTAAGTTATTTTAATTATTCTTCCTGTTAACCATCTCAGTGTTGACATTTGTACTAATTTGAGTCCAAACAAAAGTTAAAATATTGTTCTCCTTTTGTAATTTTAGTTATTTCACGTATATATTTTGTCTATATTCCATGTTTCTGTTGTTTGACTGGCTATCTCAAAATCTTCCTATGAGGGTGCATTTTCAAAAAAATACAAAATAATGATGGATATGCACAGATGTATATATAGATGGATAAGGATTTCTAAAATAATCATTGTATTTATTCTCAGCTGTCTTCCCAGTGATCTGGTATGTAGTTGTTTCTGTTTGAGAAATTTTGACCACTCCAAGTCCACATCCTATCTCCTATTCACATGCTGTAAATTTTACTGAGTGTTTTAAGGACTCTGCTGCCTTTACTTGTTTCTAATGGACTAGTCGGACATGATTACAAACTGCTGTTTTAGTCAATGTTTACCAAAAAGTGCCCTGGATGATCAAAACAGTACACAAGTCCGTTTATTCAGTTACAAATGAGCAAGACTTAATGTTTAACCTGAGTCAACACGTGGAGGTTTTGCTTACGTTTCGTGCTAGCAGCCAAAGTAGTGGCAATAAGGTTTGCACAACATGTTGTTCTTTGTTTAGTTTCTAATGACTCACTTAGGATTGAGCGATTTGTCTGAGTGATACTGAGGATTCGACTGTTTTGTGTTTCTCACTGATACATATCTTTCTCTCTTTTATTCTCCTCTAGTGCTGGGGAAGTACAGTGGCCATCTGAATATAGGTATGATTTATTTCCTCACTTATGAATCCTTTTTTTTTTTTTTAATAAGGGAGATAAACTAATCAACCACAAACAGGAGCCCTCAAACACCTCTAACAGATCCACGTTTATTCAGAGAGAGAATTGAATGGTCCTGTTTGTTGCTCTGTCTTGATGAGGTTTTAGGAAATGTGCAGCAGGCAGACATCTCACAGTATTTCATTAGGACGATACAAGCCCTGCAGAGACACATAATGAAGTGCTCAATGTAATTATGGCTCTCTATTCCCTTATTTATCCCCTTTGTGTTGAAGAGGGCGACTCTTTGTTTGAGAGATGTGAATCTCTCAACTACACTTCCTTTTCTGTTATCCTTTCCAACCCATCAGCAGAGCCCGCTGATCCTATTTTCTGCCTTCTTAAGGGTGTTTTACTCCATCATAAGTGGCTTGTTTGTGGTGGGAAGACTCACAATTTTATTTTTAAAGAAGTTAATCTGCACCACCTGAATACATTATTTTAATATAGTCGTGTAATGTGATTGAAATTAACCACCTTCAGTGTTATCCAGCATTAGAAATAATCACACATAGTCGTACATTCATTTGCAGATTCAGTTTAATTGATTTTTTTTTTACTGCTATAATGAATTAAAAGTGAGTCATTCCACATATAAATACAGTTTATTATAGTCATTCTTTTAATGTAGTATTTTATGGATGAATACGTAGAATTTAGAAACAACTAAATAGCCTAATTCTGTGTTTTAGCATTACTTAATGGTTGTTATCAAACTAAATGTTGGTTTTAAGCTTTTAAATCTGTTGAATTGAAGCTCCTGTGAGCAACCTTCAGTCTGTGCAGCTTTTGTTCCCTGTATTTTTGCTGATTAAACTCTGAATATGTTCAAGTGGTGTTTTTAACATCCTTCCAACACATTACTCGCCATGAATGTCTTTGATCGCCAGCGTCAACAAAATCGATTTGAGGCACAGTGAGGAGTTTTTCACTGGTGAAGAGGCCGGCTGAAATTGACACTGATGCCTCTATATACCCTTCAAAAGCGAACTAGACCGGCAGCATTTTTCAGTTGTAGTTTTTGACACTTGAAACTGCTGTGAGGGGGTAGGTGTCAGACAAGATGATTGACAGCAGGCTGAAGAAATAGCTTTATTTCGACTTTAATGTCAGAGACTGCAGGATGAGGAATTCCTCTGAAACGACTAATTTCACACATACAGTGTCAGAGATAAGACTAAGGGCTCTATTTTGGTGCCTCGCCGGAGACGTGCCGCAAGCGCAGCGTCAGTCAGATCCGCCGCGCTGACAAGGCGTTCCCAAGCACATTTTGGTATTTTGGTGAGCCGCGCAGCCCGGCGTAAGTATCCCCCCTCCCTAACTCAGCTCCTCCCGGCAGCATAAATCATAGACGGGGAGGAGAGAGGGCGTATAGGGGGTTTAACACAGCCGAGACCTGTTTTCACCAATCACATTAGCTCCTCTCCTCGCCTTTAAATCCGCCACAGGCGAGGCGTATTACTATTTTCATGAAGTAGTCAAAGAGATCAAGAGATGTCTGAAGACAGTTATGCCACACGATGGCGACAGAGGGCAGCTGCTCAACAAGTGTCCTCCACACTTTCTCATCTGAGCACAGATGGATTTGGTGTGCGTAATGTTGGACCCACTGGTAAGACAAACACCCTTTTCCACAAATAAAGACACTCACATAAAGTTGCTCATATTCAAACCTCACGTGACAAAGGTGGGTTGAGCGCACAGATCACAACATAAACTCCAAAAATGGCATTAAAATCGGAACCATCTGTGCGTAAATGACGCATCGCGCTCCGTGGCCTGGCTCTTTCTTTCATAGATGTTGGCATATAAAATAAATTTGGCTCACTGAATATTATAATATCCGCATGTCGGCTTAGAGAAGATCACGCATCTGAGCACTGAAACAAATCATCTGTTCAGCTGCAGCAGCAGCAAGACGGACAGAGGACACGGAGACGTGTCCAGGTCGAGCTGTGCGAGAAATAAGAGGAAGAGGAAGAAAGAAAAGGAGGGAGACACATTACATATCTTGTTAACTTCATCATGTGTGTTTATTTACTAGATGTTTAATTTAATTTGATGCGGTTTCAGCTGTATTGATTCGGTCAGGTTGTGTGTCCAAACACGTGCCAAACGCGCTCATCAGATCAGATATAGATCAGAATATATCTATATAGATCTAAATATATGTGCTGACTCGGATTAATAGTTGATGATGATTATTTATTGCACTGAAATCTGCCTGACACTGTGGAAACCTGCCGGTGAGGCATCAGTGACGTATGTCGATACGCCGCCGGTCTACCAAAATACTACTAGACCAGCTGCGTTCCGCCTTGCGCTGAAAGCTGACCAGGTTTGAATCGGCGAGCTTTCAGCGCACTTTACACGCCGTTGGCGAGCACGAAAATGTCACTGCGCCAGCTGATTCTGTCGACACCTCCCTCTGCCACGCCACCACGCCCAGCTTGGCGGATCTCGGCTCGCCTCCGTGCGGCTCAGTCCACGAAAATACCAAATTGGCCTTACGCTGGGCTCCGCCAGACGAAAATACAACTGCGCGGGGCTCGCCGCCCTCCGCCGCCTCACCGGCGCGCACAAAAATAGAGCCCTAAGAGTGCTCATTCAGCACCGCAAAAAAAGAGATTTCATGTCTGACGCACTTCTCTTCTCTTGCACAAGGTAAAATCAGCATAAGGATTAGATTAGATTAGATCAGGCCTACTCTTTATTCTGATCACAAAGGCTATCTTTGATTCTCCCAATGTCTGTATGTTCTGTGACTGCAATAAAATGGTGCAGTATCAACTTTGAAACTCAAAAATGAATGTTAACTATAAAACTCTGTGTCATCTGTAAATATGTGTTAGTTTATAGTCCTAAATGTGTGTGGCTCTATTGTGCTTTTGTCCATTTTATTGTTACTGAGCACCAACTGCCGTGTGTGTGTGTCTCCACTGCTTTGTCTGCAGACAGCTCAGGTACGCTGAACAAGAACTTCTCCATCGCCTTCTCCATCATCGGCATGTTCTCCTCCCACGCAGTCAGCAACTTGAGCATCTTCTTTTGTGCTGAGATCACACCCACTGTGATCAGGTAAGCCCACTGTTACAAAATGTGACAGTAGAGAGGGAAAGAGTGTTTTTGTTGTAGCTGTGGGTTTTTTTCATAATTTGAACATCTGTCAAGAAATTTAGTTGATTATTGTTGGAGGTTTTTTTTTCTTTTTTTTCATTTTCTTAAATTTGAGCTCCTACCTCAGTTATTCTCGTGTTTGTTTCCATGGTATGACTTGTTCCCGATGATGGATTAGCTGCTCCACCTTCTGTTAATGAAGAGTATTGAATCATCGAACCCCAGGAAACAACAGACTCTCACAGTTCAGTGTCAAATGTAATCCACATCTTGTACAAATTAGCCGTCCCCCCTGAGAATATATGACACAGCCCTGGATGTTCTTTATCTGGAGTTATGTAAGGGGTGTTGTTTTTGCTGACAGTGTTTAAGTGGCGGCCTCTTGTGGCCAACATAGGCGATTACAGGAGGGGAGGATGACTGCATGAAGAGGAGGGCGTTCGGTGATACTGCAGCTCTCTCTGCTGCTGTTGATAAAGTGTGAACAGAGGCATATGGGTCTCATTTAAAAAGCAGTTATTCAGTCTTTGGAGAGGATTTATGATTTTTTTCGTACATGTGAAATCACTTTATCTATCATCTGATAATATTTTCCTTCTTATATCAGGGGTGGTGGTCTTGGCCTAGTCCTGGCCAGCGCAGGCTTCGGCATGCTGACCGCACCAATCATGGAGCTCCACAATCAGAAGGGATATTTCCTCCACCACATTATCTTTGCCTGCTGCACCCTCATCTGCATCATCTGTATCCTCCTGCTGCCCGAGACTCGCTACCAGCCCCTCCCAGAGACCCTAGCGGACGGTGAGAGCTACACTCGTCAGCCTCTTCTTCCCCCAAAGAAACCTGGAGAACAGCGCCTCTTGCTGGCTCCATCTGAGAGCAGCAGGGACTACACGAGGGTGCATGACACGCCGCTGCACGAGGCAGCCAACACTGCAGTGTCCACGATGGACTCCACCGCCTCCTCTGCTGTCGATTTGACTGCTCCGTCAGTTGCAGATGTGTCCGCTCCCGCATTCATGGAGGCGCCTCCTAGCAAGCCGGAGTCCAAAGGCCCCAACGGCCACTCGGTTTCATCTGAACCCATGGGTAAAGATGGGATCATACATGCAAGTAAAGAGCACCTGCTGTCTTCCACGCCTTTACACAAAGCACAATGCATCACAGACCCACTTTTAGCCAATGCAGAGGAGCCGCCTGCAATCGTCTTGGAGTCCATCCAGCCACTGGGCGAGTCGGCCACTCCTGAAGAGAACGACGTTGGTCCCTCACCGATCAAGGAGTTACCCACTACCCCTTCCCCTTCTTCGGACTCTTCCACTCCCCCTGTCCCTCAAAATGTGCCTGCTTCCTTATTAATCAGCACCACACCCATCATTGAACCCCCGCCTTCTTCCACACTAGAATCACCAAATCCGTTCGGTAACGACATTGAAATGATCACCCCGAAATTTGAACCTCATTCACCAGAGGATCTAGACATCCCTTTGGAAGATCTCCATCCTACATCTATGCAGGAAAGTCCCCAGACAGGACCTCCAGACTGCAACACTTCCTCTGATCCCCCACCTCCCACTGAGGAAGACCCTGACATTCCCATTCATTTAGAAATAGTAGAAGATTCTGTATCTCCACCCTCGCCTATGCCCTCCCCTAAAGACTCCCAAGAACCCCCTGTTGTAGACTCTGAACCAGCAGAGTTAGACCCTGCTTCACCCTGTGTTAATGATATATCTGCCCCTTCACCCAGTCCCCCTCCACCCCTCGACCCAGACCATATACCCCAAGCGGACTCTTCCTCTCCACCTGTCCAAGATAATGTTGACGACTCTCCATCGACTCCTACAGTTCCCCCTGTCACAGACATTGCCCCCACTTCCACGCCACAATCAGCCACTTTGACAGACATTGCAGAACCTGGGCAGGATCCAGTTCCAACCTCCATCACTGATCCAAGCTCTACAGAGGCAGCCCCCGCCTCTTTATTGGACTGCACCGCCTCCTCCCCCATAGACTCCGGCGTCCTTTCCGTCAGTGCCAGCACAGAAAACAACACTGTCAATGGCGTGGCGTCGTCCTGATCCAGTGTTAGACAGCTAGGAAAAGAAGCTTTACGGTTGCAGAATGAAGCAGCCCTCGCCACATGACTAACTGAGAATGGGGCACGAGCTGTCCTGTCCAAACTCCAGGCACTCAATGACTGCTATCCAGGACCTGGGATCAAGTAGACATGTCTTAAAGAGCTGGTGTACTTTTCTCAACCCCCTCCCCATCCCCTTGCGTTAAGCCAATAAACGAGACCAAGCAACAGAGTGAGTGCCAGAGGCTGGTTTTGTGATAATGTGACAGCATCTTCTGCTTTTTTTTTTTTTTTTTTGAATGTCACTGGAAATCACCAGCCTATAAAGTACTTTGATGTAAATGAATGGGAAATCACTGTTTGTCATTTTGAAAGAGACTTAAGGAGAACTGGTGAGAAATGCAACGATGCTAACAATGAAACAAAAAAAAAACAAACAAGAAGAAATCATATCACTGGTACTTCTGCTCAAATGAAATGTCCATTTAACATGAGTTCAGTTATCGCCTTACCTGTGTGGACAAAAAAAAATCTGAATGTTACAGAGTGTTTTTTGCCGATACACAAGAAAACAATCCAAATTGGAGAGATTCTCTAAAGCCAAAAACAACTCAGACCAAAATTAAATGTAGACATAGTGCCAAAAATGAGCATAAATGCTGTATTTGCCTCTTTAGGTGAATACTCTTCGAAGTTGTCCCTGCTTTTGAGTGGATTAGAGTAGATCAGACGAACCCTGCTCCGGAGTTTATAAAATACAACAGACTTCAATTATCTATCAAACCAATATAACTGAAATCACAGTTTGATCAATTAGAACTGGGAGCTGAGCTTGAAAATGCTAAACTGCTGTCATTAGGACGTTGCTTCATTGAATGAACGGCAACATTTGAGAAAATATTGACCCATATTTTGTCGGTCTGATGAAACTTTTATTTTTCCAATTGTTTCAGTCTATGAAATTTATGGTATGCAAATGCTCTTACTTGTAAATGTGATATTGTAAGTAAATTGATAATTACTTGTTGAGCTTGATTAAGTCTTTTTTAAATTCAAAGTATTATTTTGAATAATCTCCCATGGCGTGCCCTTATTGTACAAAACTTATACTTCATTCTTTCAGTATTTTTGTCACCTCAGTGTGGTGGCGCCTTTATTCTTTGCAGTTGGGACAAAGCATGAAACTAATTGTGAACGTGTCAGCTAAACGAATAAGCAAACCTTAAAAAAAAAGACGAATATTTTTAAGACAAAATCAATGGATGACAAATGTTTGATGTGATCACCAAGTCTCAAAGCATCGCTAATGCTCTGTGTTTTTTCCTTTTTTCAAAATCATTTTCCGGCGTTAACAGAGCTTACGGATGTTAGATGTATGTCCATACATTCACGTGCAGAACTGAGTTTACCTTAAAGAAATGCAATATTTGATATATTTGTCGAATTGACTCTTTAAAGTGCTGGTCGGATTCTTATTCAAACTAGATTTAATGATTCATCTGAAATTGACGGACTTTCTCTTCCAAAGCCTGCATCCATCTGTGGACAGCGTTATACTTGACAAACGTGTAACTGGACAGTTGTAGTTACACACTTCATGCGTGGATGTTGAACTACTTGTTGGAGAAAGGTGTATGATTGCGGATAGACTACTGTTTACAACAATAATTATAACACATCAGAATAATAATTACATGTTACTGTAATTCCTAAGAGCCAACTGGATGATGTCTTGTCATTTAAAATGTGATAAATCTTTCTCTTAGTATAATAATTATGCAGGGTTGATAGATGATCTATCAAGGTATCATTCAGGAATCAAAGGAAACACCAGACTTCTGTTCTTTACACTATTTTGTGGTACTATGATGACAAACCTTGCAGGTACTTGACTCACTTCAAACTTTCGTTTGCATCACTCCAAGATAAACGTGCACTGACGAAGGCGACTTCTCCTTCGGTATGTGAATGATTGAGCAAATATACCGGCTTGTTTCTTGTTCCTCAAAAGCAGCTTGAATCAAAGTATGAAATCTCTGTTTTGGTTTGATTCAGGATGATTATGTTATCTAACTTCCACTCGGTAAAAGATTAATATGAACATTTAATGTCTTACATATGTATGCCATGCTGCTAAGCCTCAAAGCACAACGCCCTGCAATCATGTGATGTCAGATTTGGTGCTTGATGAATTGACAAAAAAAAAAAAAAGGGAAAATGGAGTGGGGTTTTGCAGATAATTCGTTAAAATTCTAAAAATACTGCAACAGACCCTCATGAAATCAGAGGATGTTGACACTGGATTTAATCAGTCATTTTTTTGGTGTCTGCAGGAGAGAGTGGGTCGACTGCAGCGGTCAGTAGCTTCACATTATTCTAAGTCCTCCATGTCTATGCTTGTTGGTTTCTATGTCTCAGTGTGTGTACTGCAGAAACGGCTCCATGTAAGACAAACATCACAGCACAATACATCCAGAGTCTTCTCTGAGATCTGTTGCTTCCATTTCCAAGACTTCAATGCAGCTGTTTCAGAGTGCTAATATGAGCTTTTACATCCAAACGGATTTGGACGGATAACAAGTGGAGTTTAGACAAATGAATGATTAGTAAAAGCAGTGGAAAGCATTGTTAACACCAGCGACAGGGCGGATGAGAAGACATGGTGGTGGTAAAGCAAAAAAAAAGGAAAAGGTAAAACCTTTGTATATAGTTAATGTGTGGAGACAGTTTCAATAAGATGAAGGATCATAGATGATAGCATGGAGAACAGTTCTTAACTTGGTACAGAAAAGTCTCAGACACATGAAGTCCCTGGTGTACACATTTCAGATTTAGCTTCTCTCAACTGTGCGACTCAGAATCTCTCGATGGGAGATTTGAATGAATGTAAAAACTATGGATTGTACCATTCATAATTTTTGATTGTTTGATTTCATTTTTGTGTTTGTTTTAACTGACGTAATGCACTTGTACATAAGCCATACCCGTTGTTAAAATAAACCACTATTTATTGATCAACTGTGGAAATCACTGTGTCCTTACTTTCAAACCTTTCATCTTTATTAAAACTTAAACCCAGAAAAACAAGATCGAATGCTTTCCTTTTCGGATGAGAGGTCTGCAAATTATATTGAAAGAGTAGAAATATTGCAGTTAAAATCCTTAAATGTTGCTTTTTTTACTGTATCTTTTTACGGCAGAAGATCTTCACATGAGGCAGGCTTGTATTAGAGGCAGGCCTTTATATCAAATTCTCTTTCAGAAAGATTTTTCTCTTTTTGGTACAATGTGAGGGCCTGGTTCACAAAAGGATTAAAATAATACATCGATACATAAAGTCCATAAACATGACCTCAACAATTCTATCTTAATGATAAGGAGTTAGTCTGTGGTTCAACTCCTCTGCAGGCTTTATGCCATTAGACACGCCAAACCTTTTGCTAGCTTGTTCCAAACTGTAAAACTATCACATCTCTCTCCCTCTCCATTCAGCTCACTTGTGTTCTTCAAGAGGATAGAAATGAGCTCTGTCAGGATGAGAGTGCATAGAGCACAGCTGTTTACAGATACTGCCAATGTCAGTCACTATTAAATGAAGAACTGGAGCAAACTGTAGAAAATGGTCCGTGATGTAGTTCCCTCCTAATTTAACACTGGTACAATTGTACAGAACATGTGGCAGGTAATTTTCACCACTGCTCTAAAGAGGAAGAAGAATATCCCTTTTCGAACTTCATGATGTTTTATTTTTTTCATATTTTATTTTTCTGATTTGTTGTACAAATCATACAAAATCACGATGTAGCAATAATATATGATAATGATAATAAATAAGTATCATAATAAGGGGGTTACAAAAATAATTTAAAAAAAACATAAGAAGTAAGTTAGGGAAGAAAAAAAGAAACACACTCAAGTTTTGTAGTTATTCATACACCTTACTGGTGCAGCTCGGAAACATCCTCAGTGATGAACCCAGGGTCATAGGGTGTCTCGGGTCTTGGATCATCATACACCCTCACCTGGGTGACCCAGCTGGGGGTGATCAGTCCCCATTACACCATGCATCAGCCCTCTTGATCCACAGCCACCTGGAGGCTTTTCCTGCAGCCTCACTGATGGTTCTGGTGGCTTTTCTCTCCTGCAACCCTCTGATCCCCAGCAGCTTGAGTACTCTGAGCAGTGATTGCCCCGGGAAACCCCTGCAGCCCGCCTCAAATGGCTCGCACTGGGCCCTCCAGCCATTCTCCCTGCAGGCCTCCACCTGCTCCAGGTATTTGGTCTTTTTGCACTCGTTAGCCTCGCATATCCGGTCTTCCCAGGGGACTGTAAGTTCCAGCAGCATCACTTGCTTCGTAGAGTCAGATGTTAAGATTAAGTCTAGCCTGAGTGATGTCTTGGCAATGTGCTCCAGAAACTTCAGCTTCCTCCCCAGGTCCACCTTCAGTCCCCAGTCATGAGGGCTATAGCCCCCAGCCCTCCTAATAACTTTGTCTGGCACTGGTACGGGCATTTTTAAAAGCACATACAGAAACACTAATCCCTAAAAAGTCACAAAATAGAAATACCAGAGTAAAGGTTTGACAGCTGTAAATATTGACTTCTTATATCCAGATTTAAACCTGTAGAGGAAGCTATTCCTTTACAGGTTTGATTAACACAGCACCAATTGAATTATCACAGGTACCTGAGCTGTGGCTGTCAGTATTACACTCCCACTGTTTGAAATTTCCTGGATATTGTAAAAACAATAGCCCGAGCTTATTACAACAACCCCAGGCAGAAATTTGCCTGCATGGGACAGGGTGATGTCAGGGGGATGATGCGGCATGATTCTCTGGTTCCACTGCATCAAACAGCTGCTTTCCTATTGGCCGGTGAGGATGTTGGGATGCTGCGCTGCCTGTAACGTCATCCGACCAGCAGCACGTTATCTACCTCGCCGGCTCAGCACTCGTCCTGGGAACGAGGCAAGTGCTGATTTTGAGAAACACAGCGGCCACCACGCACTGAAGACCGGACGCAGGTGTAGTCGAGACAGGACGTTCTCTGCCCGCATCCGCAGCGCACCATGAGGGAAATTGTTCACATCCAGGCTGGACAGTGCGGAAACCAGATCGGGGCGAAGGTAGGGAAACCATCATTTAATGCAGGAAAATAAAAAAAAACCTAAAAGGTGTGATTGGAGTTTAATTGCTGAATGTCACATGTGAAATAATGTGAATTTAGACTCAAAGCGTTTAAATAAATAGGTAGGGCTTTCTTGGACATTGCCATATAAATAAAGCTTTGAAGAAAGTTAAGGATTGGTTATTTATATGTTTATATAAATACAGGGTGGGGTCCACTCGGGCAGTGGCTGCAGTGATGTGGCCCACCTCTGCTGCGTGTCATTTTCTCCTCACGCAGATGCGCAATCACTAAAATAAATCTTTACGCACGTGCTCTGACCCCTTTCTCGTGCATGCTTTGTTGTCAAATGGCCCTAACATGATCACGTTTGTCCCATTTTAGTTCTGGGAGGTGATAAGTGATGAGCACGGCATCGATCCCACCGGTAGTTACCAAGGTGACAGTGACCTGCAGCTGGAGAGGATAAACGTGTACTACAATGAAGCCTCTGGTAAGGGGAAATAAAAACACCACCTCTAACAAAGTTTGCCTCTAACATCACCTTTGCATCGGAGTGTTTTATCTCACACACAAAAAAAGAGCTTTGTTTCCATTGCTTAATGTCCTTGCATGACCTTATGCTAATACCAATGTAACAGTATGCTCATGTCACTAATTTAGCAGCGAGAGAAAGTAGGTCCCAGCATGAGCAGGAAGAAATTAGGACAGTGAATCTGCTAAAATCTCCCTCTCTATGTCCCTCTTTCTCTTTCTCTCTCTCTCTCTTTCTCCCTCTCTATAGGGAGTACAGGTATCTGCAGTCTCTGTATAGCTGACCCCTACTCACTCTGCCTTATCTCATCCCAGCTTCTAATATTTTCATTGGCCCCTTGCTATGCATTTAACAGTTGATGAATGAGGTTCAGTGTTCTTACAGCTCTGTCTGCCAGAAGGACAAGTCAGAGCAGGTTTCACTGCATGTTCACTCATGACTGAGATCAAGCAAGGCTCATTCATCCTCTATGTAGTAATGAGTAAATGCAGATAAGCCCGAGAGGCATTAGGTGTTACCCCATCCTTTTTGTCAGCAGCAGCAGCCAGTATTGATCCTTTGTTTCCATGCTGCATGCAGGCGTCACTGTCACCTACTGGGCTAGTTTGTGTCTAGGTAGAGCATCCCATGAAATAAATGTTGTGCAATTAGTCAAAGAACAGACCGCATTAAGATGAATTCAAGTAGGACAGACAGAAATAGAGGTACAGGTTGTAGCAGATCACGTCTTTGGATGAACTCTGCAGAGCTCAGCACAATGAGCCCCACTGGTCTCGAATAAGCAGTGCAGCATGCTGCAGCAGTTTGAAGGCAAGGGTTACAGACAGGGAGGGTGGAGCCAAGTGGTGTCAGACACAAACAATGGAGGACTGCATTCTTTAAAAAAACCCAGCTAAAGAAAGAGGCTGGAGAACATCTGTTAATGTCCCATTAGATGAGAAATGTTAATATTGAGAAAATGATAACTACAAATTGAAGCAGTCAAGTTTTTGTTCTGACATCATGCACCCTGAGACTGTGGATATCTCACTCCACCCTTCTCTCCATTACGTCTCTCTATCTTTCTGTCTTCTACTCTTTTTGTCATCCAAAGGCAGCAAATTTGTCCCCCGTGCCATTCTGGTTGACCTGGAGCCAGGAACCATGGACTCAGTCCGCTCCGGGCCTTTTGGACAGCTCTTCAGGCCTGACAACTTTGTCTTTGGTGGGTTGACTATTTATCACAGTGTCATCACTAATCCTGAACAAACTGCATGCACAATTTGTGCGTGTCAGCAGCTCCTGTCTTATCCTGTAAAGCTGAGCTTAGTTTCACCTGACAGAGACGTATAGTACTTTACATTCCCGGCACAGAGCCTCTGCAGCCCCTCAGCGATATGCCAGTACTGTGACGTATCCTCCATGTGCAGCTGTGTGAGACATTTCTAGGGGTGACTCAGCGAAAAAGAAATCCACTCAGAGATGAGACTGCAGTGCTGATCATGTCTAGTGTGGATAAAGGATGACTTCACATGTATTTCATGGAAAAAACACTGGAAACAGAAATGTTAGTGAGCTTTATGTTCATGTCAGAAGGTGCAAGCTATATCAGTTTTAAGATTTAGTATTAAAAAGAAAAACTCTTTCTTTGTCACTTCCTTTCTAATGAGGTACACTCTGAATGAATGTAACACGCTAATATGACCATGAACAAGATTTAGAGCATTCTTCAAAGTTCGTTTACATTTTGTTTTAGATTTTGCCTGAATTTGCAATTAGATGCCAAAAAATAGTGCTCTGTTACATAGATCTTTTAACTGAGGTATATGAAGCTCTGTTAGAATGAATTGGGACAATTAAAAGAAAATGCAGCTATCAGATATTTAAAGTGTGACTGCAACACACTCTTTTTAGGTTTTACTTTCCATAGAGCTGTGATGATCATTTCTGATCATAGACGACTTGAGAAAATAAATCCAAGTAGACCTTTTACCCCCTGAGAAGTGCTTTCTGCTACTCAGAGATCTGGGTACTTTTGATGGGAATGAAGATGGTGGTAGTGTATTTTTCAAACATGATCTGTATTTACTCATTACATGCCTCATGCAGGTCAAAGTGGTGCAGGAAACAACTGGGCCAAAGGCCACTACACCGAGGGAGCCGAGCTGGTGGACTCAGTCCTGGATGTGGTGAGGAAGGAGTCTGAAAACTGCGACTGTCTCCAGGGTTTCCAGCTGACCCACTCATTAGGTGGAGGCACCGGTTCAGGAATGGGTACGCTCCTCATCAGCAAGATCCGTGAGGAGTACCCGGACCGCATCATGAACACCTTCAGTGTCATGCCTTCCCCGAAAGTGTCCGACACCGTGGTGGAGCCCTACAATGCCACTCTTTCTGTCCACCAGCTCGTGGAAAACACAGATGAGACCTTCAGCATCGACAACGAGGCCTTGTACGATATCTGCTTCCGCACCCTGAAGCTGACCACGCCTACCTACGGAGACCTCAACCACCTGGTTTCAGCCACCATGAGCGGTGTGACCACATGCCTTCGCTTCCCCGGACAACTTAACGCTGATCTCCGTAAATTAGCCGTCAACATGGTGCCCTTCCCCCGGCTGCATTTCTTCATGCCAGGGTTCGCACCCCTCACAAGCAGGGGCAGCCAGCAGTACCGAGCCCTCTCCGTCCCAGAGCTCACACAGCAAATGTTTGACGCCAAGAACATGATGGCCGCCTGCGACCCTCGTCATGGACGCTACCTGACCGTGGCGGCAATCTTCCGGGGGCGTATGTCGATGAAGGAAGTGGACGAACAGATGCTGAGCGTGCAGAACAAGAATAGCAGCTACTTTGTCGAATGGATTCCAAATAACGTCAAGACAGCCGTTTGCGACATCCCTCCACGCGGCTTAAAGATGTCCGCCACTTTCATTGGCAACAGCACGGCCATCCAGGAGCTGTTCAGGAGGATCTCCGAGCAGTTCACCGCCATGTTCCGCCGCAAGGCCTTCCTGCACTGGTACACCGGAGAGGGCATGGATGAGATGGAGTTCACCGAGGCTGAAAGCAACATGAATGACCTGGTGTCCGAGTACCAGCAGTATCAGGACGCCACTGCCGATGAGATGGGCGAATACGAAGAGGACGAAATAGAAGATGAGGAAGAAGTCCGCCATGATGTTCGCCACTGATTGTGAAGCACTGAGAACCAGTCTGTCAGAATCATGATTGCTGTTGGACATTGCAAAAATGCTTGCGATGCAGATATATAACATATTGCAGAGTGCATTTCATGGTGAATTATAGCTTTTTTGCCAAATTTATAGACACAGCTTCTACTGATAAAGATTGTGAGTGGCATTAGAACCTAATAATATGCAATATCAGAATAAGTGTTTCTCAAAGTCATGCTATGCCAGTATTCAGTACAGTCTTGTCCTAAATACAGTTTTGTAACACTAACTTCAACAGTTATTCACTCTCTGAAGTCTTGAATAAATTAAACACTTCTGGCAATACCGTGTGTCGTCTATTTTTATCATTGAAAGTAGTTAAAGGGGACCTTGCTATTTATTCATCAGTTTGTAGGCCCAGGATTTAGTTGTAATATTATATTTTTCTAAAGTGGATGTTTGTGTTTTTGTCACAGGGTTGGGTTTGGATTGCTTTTGTCTATCAATCAAAACTTATTGGGCCAAGCTGTACTGTGTCAAAACATCTCTTTAGATAAGAAAAACTTTGATTTTAAAACTGCTTTTTGTATGACATAAAGCTGAGATGTAAGATTGGTTTGAAGTATTTTGTTTTAGTTTTGCACAAGACTGCATAAACTATTGTGAAATCCTGAAGTGTTGAGTTACTCTGAGGGTAAACACAAGACAGGAACACATCTCAGTAACCAGGGAGGGGCCTGGTGACAGCAAGCAAAATAATCCATACAGAAAATGCAGAGAAAGTAACGCACCACTGATTATCTGATGTGTTCACACCACTATGACAGAAACATGATGGAACTTGACCTGATGTTCAGGCATCCTCTCCTGACACTACAGTGCATGTTGACAGAAAATGTTGAAATGCTCTCAAAGTGTGCACAGTTGTGAATATGTTTCACTATGAGAGCCACACCCAAGTCACGCCTGTCAACCCAAGAATTTTTTACTTGAGAGCTCAGTGAAAACATCTGCGTTGACATGACTGATGGCATGATGAGCAAATCCAAGAAAAGAATTTAAACCAGAAAGCTGAGGGGTAATCTGAGGCAGCATTTTGTCGCCCGAGGCAGACAGGGAAAATCTCTTGCAATTGTATTTCAAGTAGGTAACTTAAGCTAAAAGAAAACTGATTAGTGCTTCCATCTCTCATCCTTGTTTTCCAATTTTGCGTAGGTCATTGAAGGTAATGATGCATTTATTGACAAATATTTCCAAAAAGGAAAGAAATAAATGCATGGTGACATTATTTGGATGTGTTTGTTTGGTAAAATCCAAGTATAATACTAAAGCTGTTAGCAAATACTCTTAATGTCTTTGAAAGTTTTTAAAGAGATTAAAGCAAACAAAGGCATAAATATTCATCATGTCACCCTATTAAAATAATGGCCCGAGTCATTTTTTGACGATCCTTTTCAACTAAGGATTTAGGCGATTTTACCAGAGATGGCCAGCATTATCAAGATGATTTAGGCCAAAAACTCCTTTTTGTCAACAAATGACTTAGGCCATTTTTATAAATATATTTGCAGAAGAATAAAAGGGTAAGGCACAAACAGTTCAGAGCTGAAAAAGAAGTATGCAAAGTTCTCCTGCTTGGCCTGCATGGACAACCTTGAGACAGATTACACAATTCCGTCTTGAATTACTGTTCAAACAAAGAGCCTCAAATAATGGCAACTTTATTTACTTTACTGCAGAAAGTATTGTAGCCAACACAACACACTCATGCTGCTCAGCACATATCAGCTCAACCTGTGCATGGCCACACACCCCCATCTCCCTCTCTCCAACTGGTTGGTCGACATCTGAGATAAGGGTAAATATGTCAACGTTTGTCCACCCCCAAACAGTGACACCGCAACACTCCAAACCATCTCCAGTTGATTTAATTCTTTGGTTTAGAATAAATGTCTATTTCTTATGTCTCATTCTTGTTTAGAAAGATGGAAGCTAGGCATTGTTACCTAAATGCAGTCTTTACTGGGCCATGACTGAAGATTTGCATTGCAGATGCCCTGTGTTCTTATCCATAAGGTAAACCTGATATTCTGCTTTCTCTTTGTTTACGCAGAGCTTGGCTGCATCTCTTTAAGTCAGCAACAAGGAACCAGTTGTATCCGTTCACTGGAGGAATGCAGGTATCTAATTGGCAGTGCTTAAGGCAAAAAACCTTATGCCCTTTTAACCTCACTGACAGAGGCCTTTTTTTAACTGACAGAGAAATGTGCTGTAGGTTTTCAGGTCAGGGTTGGATTTTTTTTTGGTTTTAACCCATAACAGACTCTGTTTTTTAGTGTGTCCAGATGGTTTCCACAAGTGCGTAAATCGCTATAGAAAGGCAAAAGGACTGCTTTTATGTCGAGTTTCAAGTCCTCTGTCTACCAAACTTGTTTTTGCATATATACACATGTACACACAGTTTTAGACTCATACCAATGGCTGTTCCTTCAGGTGCAACAAGAAGCTTTGTTTCCTTTCCAAGAATGCTAAGACATGATGGAGCTGGGAATCAAACAACCAGTCAACTGAAAAAAACAACACTCTTTGCCCTCACTAAACAAATTTTTAACCCTGCATTACCAGATGTAGTCATCAAAGTCAAGAGGAGGGGTTGTGAAGTGTGTGAAAAAGCTGGAAAGAACAACTGGTCGCTTTAGAGAGAGTTGGCATCAACTCATGTCACCTGAGTCAGTGTTGGCTGAGGAATAAAGACACAATTCTGCTCCAAGCTTAAAGCTGAAGCCAGCAAAACACCCCTGAAACTCAAACTGAGCCATTAGTTAGTGTGTTGCATTGTGGGAAATGTAGGCACAGTGTTTTCAATAGCAAAAAAATGAATGAAAAGAGCTGACTTTTGATTTTTTTTTCATTTTGGATGTTGTCAGTAAAACTAAATGACTGTGGCTAATAGCATCAGCACAGATTAAATACTCAGACACATACAATATACATCACATATAGATAGACTTATGTGTATGATACATATGCTTTATGTGTTGTGATATCCTGGATTATTTTGTTATCACATATTTAAAAAAATATATAAAAGACTGAAAGGAGTTACAGCTTTTTCATATTCCATTTTATTATGCCATCAAGTGCAAAAACTAGAAAAATAAATTCCATTCCCATAACCAATACTGCTGCTGTAATGCAGTAATCTGCTAAATCCATACTGAAAATCAGCAGTAAGAGTTGAAAACACAGACATATCAATAGCAAGAACGGCAGTATCAAATAGTGACACTCAACAAAATGTTTTCAGTGCTTGCAAAGCTTCTCGATTTCTCTGTCTCCTCGCACACTAAAATCATTTACACCTGCACACAAAAACACACCATTTAAGTCTATCTGCATCTTAAAAATATATTTACACTCTTAAAAATAGGGAAATCATTTTACATTTACTCAAGTTCATATATTTGGCACTCAGTTTTCCTAAGTTAACACTTTTTATAAAAGTACAAACTACAAACCAACACATATTAGGTAGAAGTATCAAGAGTGCAAAACATACTGAAGAATTAGCGGAGTACTTTCTTTGGTTTACAGTCTGTGAGGACTCTGTTGTCTACTTTGAAAAACCATCTAATCCAGTCTTGGTGCACTAAATCTTTTAGAGACTTGGGCTTTGGTCCTTCTGCAAAGAGCTCTTTCATGGGTTTAACAGTACGAACAGCATTTATCTCTGCTCAGAGGGGTTTCCAAGGAAGCAGTTGCCACCCATAAAACAGCTCCTCATTAGTTACAGTTCAACTAGGTTCAAGAATCTCAAAGTTGGCAGGGCAGCTTATATTGCGCAGCTAAAGCCAGCACGTAAGAGGATGCAACTTATCTGTCACGCTAAAAAACAACAGCACTGATTTAAAGTAGGTATCAGACTATACTAACATAGTTCTGCTGTGGTCACTCATTAAATAATTGCAACCACCTACAGTAGATTAAACAGACTAACTTTAACTAGGCTCTAGGTAAATCAGTGGGATTTGAAACCAGAAGAGCAGTAAAATATAATTTAATTGGCCACAGAAATAACTGTGAGTATTAAATAAGTGTACTGATCCATAACAGTTACAGCCTACAGTGGAACAAGGTCATCAGAAACCAATCTTGTCTTTCTTTTTGCTCCCAGCCTGGTTATCTGGAGCAAGAAGTGGAAAGATCTGATTTAACCTGGATTGTTATGTGGTAGAAATAATCTTGTTGACACTATCTTATCTCGCCACAACCTTCTGGTTTATGTTCAGCTTTTTGGAGTTATTCTTTGTTTAACAGATGAGGTCAGTGGTTTTGGTCTGATAGGCAAGATTAGAGGCTAACAGGTTTAAATCTGTTGAAGTTACTTTGTTTGTTCCTGCTCTTTATCCATGCTCATTTCTACCTGAAATAATTACAGTGCTTTGACTGGCTTGGCTGTCACATAATATTATTTTGGAACCACAGGGAGAGGCTTTTCATACCTCAGTTATGACGCCTCTTGAGATCAGGCTCTTCCTTGCATTTTTAATACTGCTGATCCTTAGTGACCCTTATTTTAGTGGGAGGCCTTGCCAATGTAACCTCAACAGTATAGGTGCAGAAATCCCTTTTATGCCAACAGCAGTCATATATGTAAACCATGTCAACACTTTTTCAAAAGTAGTAGTACTGTTGTCCCTAGACTGCACCTTAAGTACAGCATTGCACTTTACTTTGATCAGTTTTACCATGAATTATTCAAATCTTTCCATCTATAATTCGCCCTTGGTCATTTTAATGCACTGACACACATCTATATACATATCTAAATAGGTACAAAACTGCTGGATATTCTCATCTTACACTTCTTTATGCTCTTGTACTGGATTCAGTGTTTCTCTCAGTGACTGACACTTTCTTATGTTGCACAACCACCCTCTTGCTCCCTTGCGCCTTTGGTGGTGCCGCCATGAGGATGTCTTCATGAGACCCAGAGGAACTGTGCGAACTCATTGAAAAACCTTGGGTTTTCACCTGCATACCTTGACCTCTGACCTCCACGCCCTGCTCTGCAGACCCGTGTCCAGTCTGAATGATACCCTGCGCTAAGTGGGAAACTTGATCTCCACCTGAAGATCCTCCCTCCACAACTAGCACCTTTCTGGATCTGGATGCGGTCCCGTGTGAAACACCAGCTGCTGCTACATGCCCTGAGCCTCCTGCTATACCCATTTGCCTGTCAACAAAGACTACACCCTGAGAACCTTGGATGCCACCAACCTGTACTAACCCCTGTCCAAGCCCAACTGGACCCATCTGACCCACTGCCTGCTGGGTGCCAGACACCAACACCATCTGTGGTTTGGAGTCAACTACATACATTGGTGTGGCGGTCACATACATAGTTGGCTGCTGAACGAGAAGCGTCTGACTGGGAATCACATACTGGTCCTGGACATGTACCTGGGGGACCATTGATGAACTCTCAGTGATTCGCTCCTCCTGGACGAAGGTGGAGGATCCAGACGCAATGTTAGAGGTGTTGAGGGTGTTAATGTTGACGTGGTCCCTGTCCCTGATTGTTTCTGTGTGAGTGTGAGTGTGCGTGTGGGTGGAGGGCATGACAGGAGACACTGGTCTGGGGTAAGGGATAGAAACCTTTGCATCCACAGTCTCAGTCACCAAGGCTGAACCCCTGCAAATCTCAGCCAAGGTTTTGAATTTAGGGTCAAGATCATCAAGGAATGAAAGATCGTTATCGTTCTCAAGAAGACTGCAGCAGCCCACAGAACCTGTTGGAGACCCCTGACCCTCGAAGTCATAGACCAGTAAGGCATCCTTCTGCTGGAACTGTTGTGCAGCATGGTCAGATTTCTGCAGAGAGAAAGAACCATAATATATTGAGTCTTATACCAATAGTGAGTTATTTTATTGAGTATGTAAAAAAATAATCCAAGGTCATGCATCTGTTGGCTGCACTGTGTCAGCTAATGCTTTTCACTCAACCAAACCGCCAATCCAGACTTACTTTAGAATAAAATTTTAGTGCAATTCAAAACACTTACACTCAAATAATATTCGCCCAGGAACTGTTCAGAAAGGGCCATCCCATCAAAAACCCCAGCGTTGTACCGGGAGTAATGATGTTCTTGCCCTGTCATCATCCCAGAGTAGTCCATTTGTCCAACAGACTGGTTGTATCGGCCGAATGTGTTTATGTTCTCAGTTGTCAGGATGGAGCCGCCGATACCTGCTCCTCCACCCTGTGCTCCTCCTAGTTCAACCAGTCCATCTAGATATCCATTTCTGCTGCCAACATTGACATTCTGTCCCTTTACTATGCCACCATCCACTTCCACATTGGTAGCAAGAAGAGGAACTTCCTACAAGACAAATATAAGATCTCATCAAATTTTGAAAAAGGGTTTTATATTGTGTAAGATCCTATACATGCATCAAAGTACCTTGTCTTCTCCTTGTCCCTCAGTGTGATATGAAATCAGTTGTTGTTTTGTATCAAATGGAATAGCCTTGAAATCTCCAGCAGCTGCTCCACCTCCACACAAGCAGAACAGCAGCAGAAGAGGCACCACTAAAAACACGCAGATATGGCACTGTGTCATACTGTGAGAAATAACTCTAACAAAAACGTAGTGGGCAGTTCAAACAAGTCATCAATCCAACATCAAATTACTGACTCAATAAAAAGATTAGAAATAAGTCCAAAAAGGTGCAGTAGTGCCCATGACCCACCCATACTTTCAATGATCTTTCCAGCATGTTAAAACATGTCTTTGTTCAAGACTCGTGCAAATTGATCAACAATGTGTTCATTTTATTCAACTCACACAGTAGGAGCAGGAGTCCCAGGAGCATGAGCAGGATACCAGACGCTCCAAAAGTTGAAGTCTTTGTCGTGCGTCCCACGCAGACTTTGGTGTCTTCAGTACAAGTGCACACAACAACATCCACGACTTGAACATCGGCACATGACTTTCCCTGCTGGTCCTTGACCTCTACTGTAACTTTGTAAATCCCCGGCCACAAGTTGGCTTCATCTCGCAGAATAGCTGCAGTTTCTGGAGGAAGACGGGACACACATTTGATTAGGTGTTGCTTGACTTGTTGCAGAGTTTGACATTAACTTATCAGCATAGCTAAGGTTGAAATAAGTTAATGACTGATTATGTGAAATAACGGTAACAGTCATCTTTCTGACACACAGCACATTCCTTGCCAAAAAAATAAAAAATCTATGTGCATATTTGCAGCAACCTTGTAATTTTGAAGTTTGTCTTACTCATACAAATTTGCACCCTCCTGTGTATAAGAAAAAAACAACCCCCAAAAAAGTTTAAACAAGAACTTGAAGCTACTTTAAGGAGCTTAAATAGTCATGAACTGGGCTTGACTGATGTACCTGAAGCTCCAAGACTGACAATATCAATACTGTTTGTTTATCCTTTCATCAGATTCCAACAGCATGATGTAAAGCCTGCTGAGTGAAAGAGCCTTTGTTTGAGCTTTTCCCTGCACACTTTCTCAGTAGGTAGCATGAGAGCCATTTAAAGGAAGCAGGTGGAAATACTAAACTTCCACTGTATGTATAAGATGAGATCATTTAAGAGATAAGATGAATGAAAAAGCCACAAAAATCTACTCAAAATTGAGTTACTCAAAGCGTCCTTGTAAACACAACATCAGTCTAAAACTGCCTCTGTAATTGAATCCTCTTAAGCAGATTGTCCGTTTTGAGTAATCGTACCATTAAGAGGCTCCACTTTCCATTTCCCCTTACTGCTCTCCTGAACCACACTGAAGTCAAACGGTGCTGAATTGGGGAATTCGTCTCCGTCTACAGCTACGACATAGATGACATTATCTCCGAGGCACATGGTGTGAGTTGTAGCTGTCAGTGTGGGGCAGTGATCATTAAAGTCCTCCACCTGAATGGCTATAGTCCCCGTGGCTGTTTTTGATGGAACATCTGAAAACCAGAAGAAAGCAAGATCAATATTAATCTGGGGCAGACCTCACTGAAGAATAATCACTGACATATATCTGAACTCACCCTTTGTGATACATATAATTTTGGCGTAATATGTTCCATTAATCAAGAAATGTGACTCTCTGTCTGGCAGTTTGTTCAGCCTAATATCTGCGGTCTCTTTATCAATAATGAGCCAGTTGTCATCATCACGGATCTTGGCATATCTATATTTAAAAGACAAAAAAATATGGTTTCACTGGGATTAACATGCATTCAGAGACAAAGAGACATTCACTTGGATGTTCTGTTTATTTTGTTGCCATACCTGACATTTGTGGCTATTTGTAGCGTGTCGCTGTCAATCGCCGCGTAGTTAGCAATGACTTTGTTGATGGATACAGAGGTGTGGTCCTCAGAGATGGTCACCACTTTGACACTCGGTTGGAAACGCGGTCCTTCCTTCTGATTGATCACATTGATTTTAATTGGGTAAGACTTGGAGGTTACTGACCCTCCTGCAATTACCCCACTTCCAAAATTATATGCTGCTTTGTTGGAAACGGCGATCTCCAAGTTGAGCACTTTGAGCTCTTCGTAGTCTAAAGCCTGTAGGATCAGGAAAAGGATGTCACATTAGCCTTCGTTGTGTTCGTCAACCACATTCATGAAGTCATTTGATTGTTTAAAATTCAGTCCACCTGAGTTAGGCTTCACTCATTTACCTTATTGATCATGATGATTCCCTCATTAGTCTTTGAATCCGTAGTGATGGTGAAATAACCTCCCTCATTCCCTGAGATTATTTCAAAGACAGCCAGCCAGTTGTCAGAGTACATCAGGTCCATGTCCACAGCTTTAATCCTCAACACTTCCACATTGATGGTGTTCTCCTCCACACTCCCTTCATACTGCAGATGAAACACATCAAGATGAGCTTAATTTAGGGAGCAGGTAAACAAAAAAAATTAAGTCTTAGATTGGTGTTATCATGTCACACTTACCGATTCTTTCTCCAAGGTTGGGACGTTGTCATTAATGTCCAGAATTTTGATCTCAACTTCTCCAGTTCCCGTGTTTCCCCCTCGCTCGCCGTTCATGTCTGATGCTGATATGGTCAACTTGTACGTATCTTGTGTCTGAGAAAATGAGATTATAGATTCAATCTAGTGATTTAAAATAGCTTTGTAGTTTCTAGAGGACTGTGTTTTGTTTTTCATTGACCATAAATCAACATTAAACTTGGAATTTTGTTAAAGCTCCTGAGAGGGACTTTTAGTTTGTCTCAATTTTGGTGCCGCCCTAGGGACAAAGTAGTCTTTGCTTATTTTGCCCCCTACATGCTTTAAAACTATCTTCTGTTTTCTGTTTTGTTTGCTTTTGTATATCAGAAATAAACACATAAAAATGAATTTCAGTGTATTTCATGAACGTTAAAAAATTCCTCACAGGAGCTTTAATGGTGGAAAAAATGTGTTTACAAAATATGTTATCCTAACCAGACTCATCCATGTTCTATTAGAAATAATGGAACAAGTAGAAAGAGTCCAACTACTGCAAGTAAAACATTTTTTCCAACATAGAGACTTAGTTGAGCAATGGGAGGATTTCAAGTCAGTACAGTGTCTCACCTCTCTATCAAGAGTACTCCGTTGAACCATGACCTCCCCTGTCCGAGAGTTCATATAAAACATCCCAGCTGTGTTACTCTGTTGCACTATGTTGTAGCTGAGCAGTGAGTGGGGTGTGTTCTCTTGATCAGCATCAGTAGCTATCACCTTCATCACAACAGTGCCTAAAAATACCACAAGAGCAAAGAATTATCATATTAGTTATTGGAGAAAACGTAATATTTAATGCTGGCAGTTATGTTAGTGTCTTTCAATGTCAGTGTCTTTTAATGTTTTAATGTTGCTTTGTTGATTTTAACTGTTTGATGATTAATGATTTTAATTGTTAATAGTGTTTTATTATTGTTTTTATATGTTCTGTAAAGTGTCCTTGAGTGACGTGAAAGGCGCTTCAAATAAAATGTATTATTATTATTATTATTTTCAGTACCTGCTGCACTTGATTCATTCACAGATCCAACTTGTTGTACTTTAATGATTGGTATGCAGTCATTCTCATCCACAACAGTAACTTTGAGGTCTAGGTCTCTCTCAGCCAGGGTCCCATCAGTATATTTTGCCACACCCTTTAACTACAAAATGGAATACCACAGTGTTTTTGAGTTTAACATACAACACCATACTAAAGTTTATATGATACAGACATGTCAAATAGGAAATATAGGTGCTCTTACATGATAAAAGGGGATCTCTTCTCGGTCCAGGATGGAAAAGATTCGGACATAACCAGTGTTTTGGTCGATACGAAAAACACCCACAGGGGGCTGGTCAACACCAGGCCCAGTGATATAGTACAATATTTTTGTAAAATTCTCCTTATCTGAGCGAATCTGAAAAACAACAACAAAAATACTTAATGAGAAATCTTCATTTAGCAAGAACAGTTAAAAAAACTAAGTAATTTACTTCAAGATTCTGTAAAAAAATAGCATTCGACAGTATTGATTGAGACCTGATTCCATTAGTAACAGCATGATGTGAATCCTGAACTCTACGACATAGCTGTGGTTTCATGTAAGATAAGCCAAACCACATCAAAAACAGGTGTGTATCCAACAGTGATGCATTCATTTGATTATGTCTCGGCTGACTCACTTTGAACCCAGACGTTCCCTGTGCCTAAGGAGCTCTTTACACTCTACGTCAGTTTATGAAGAAACACAGGTGGCCTGATAATCATGTTTAGTAACTTCATAGTCAATGTGATTTATTACAGTTCAGGTTGAGTGTCATTGCACCTGTTGACAACATTTTCCCAGTATCAATGGATCAGGGTTTGTAGATTAATGTAGTTATTTGCGCAGAAAAAATACAACAACAACATACTCTTGCAATGTGCTGCAGTCCTGTGTAATCATGGTTTTCTTTCAGCTTTCTGGGCGCGATGATCCACTCTCTCTTCTGTCTGCTGAACACATTTCCTTCTGTGCTGACAAAAACAAGCTGCAGGGGGACAAAGGGGGAGGAATAATGTGCTCATTTCACTGAGTAACAATGACAAACTTAGACAAACACGTGAAATAATACAGTTAATTACTGACTTCACATTATGACTTACGTGACCCATTGAGAATCTGCATAGTATACTACATTTACGAACAGAGCAAAGTCTTTACTTGTTCTGAGAAAGTAAGTTAGCATATAAATGAATAAGTAAAAACATTTTGCACGTACATAAATGAAAAAAAAAGGCTCTTCAGAGAAAATTGGGACATTTTTTTGACATCCCAATTCATGTCACAATCCACACTTACATCGTCTCAAACTTTATATCGTGACTCTTGAGTTTTCCCACATCCGCTTGTCGGGGAAATAATTAGAGAGAGCTGCTTTTGATGGATTTGATATAAAGAAAGAGTTGTTCCGTGACCTTTCAGCACAATACTATAGTGTCCATGTCAACAAAGACTGCGCATTAACTTTTCATTCCGTATCCATGTCTGCACTCATCGTGGTAGTATTTGCCCGATGGTCTAAAAAGCCCACCAACACAGGGTGCCACACCTGTTTAACACCGGTTACTCTTACAACAGAAGGACATCGAACAATACGAGGCATTCACTGAGTCGTGTACTTACCGTTATAAAGGACGCGAGTAGGATTAAGAAGCAGCCTTTCAGAAGTGGAGACATATCGACTTGGAGGAAAAAATCAACTTGTTGGTCCTCCTGATGAAATGAAATCGCGTTAAGTTGACACTGACTCTGGTCTTCCGTTGGTTTCCTACAGACTTTGACCCTATGGAGGGGTAGGGACTTTACAGCAATAGGCGGTTCCTCCCTGTTTGATTGCTCACAGTCGACTGCTGATAACAGGCGGAGAAGGGAGGTATTATGTCCTGTGGTGCATAGCTGTAATGTTTGTGCTCACCAGCCCTTTGTCTCTTACGCTGCAGAAAAAAGGTAGACATGAACTGGGGAGGGGAATAGATCTAAAAGTAGCAACAAAGTGTCTGACCCCCGAACAAACTATTTACTGGGATCTTTTAAGTGCAAATGTGTTAAGTTTTTTGCGGTTTAAAACTATGCGTGGCATTGTTATGAAACGTCCCCATGTGAACTCATGCTTGTCACTGCCAATAACTAAAATCTTAGAAAGTGTTGACTTGTCTTTTGACTTAGAATTATCCATATACACCAGACTAGTCCAAATAAACATCTCAGTTTAAAATATTATGGAGAAAAACTAACTTCTTAGTATACAAAAGCATAAAGGTATCATGTTTATTTCAAGAAACTCATATAGCCTCAACTCATCTGGACCGGTCAGGTAAACATTGCTTATAACAAGTTAAAGGTATTTTTCATCAGGAATAAAACTGGAACACTTGGCTCAGTTTTTTGCAGTGTTGATATCCAGCTCAAAATGTATTTAGAGTCCCTCTGGATCAAATTTCTCACTCACCTGCAAAACCTTACATGCATCTGACAAATTCCAGTTTCTTAGCTCATCCCCGCCCAGAAACACAGCTGTTAAACACCCGGCTGCACATGTAGTTTTGTGCGCTTCACAAATTTAAAGAAAAAGAAAAAAAACTACATTGGCATGGTGCACGGTTTGCGTTGCCAAGTAACATGAAACTTTTACTCCCCAGTGTTCAAAGGTGTGTCAGGGAGGAAGCACGGTATCATTTTTCTCTCCCCTGATGACACTATCAGTTTGTTCAAAGGTAATTAGATGGATTATTTGTCAGTATTTTTCATATTTCAACCTCATTTCTTCTACTGCTGAGTCTGGTTCTTTTTTCTTTTTTTTTTTTTACCCAGAGTGAGAGTGTTTGGTCTGAAGGTGATTAATTATTGCTCATAGGCCTTATCAGTTTCCAACAGTGATAGCAGCACAAAGGTGAATGGGTGGTTTCAATGACACATTATGATAGTTGACGTGATAAAAGTGCATCTCAGACAAAGATAAATGGAGTTAAAATAATAAATATAGAAAGCAATGTAGCAACAAATGGAGACAGGCTCAGGAATCGTTGATTAAGAAAAGATTGGAAAGGGATTAGCCAAATTTTAACAGTCCAGTGATGTGTTTAGTGCATTCTGAAAATGCAGCAGAGCGAGTCTGGAACCAGGCATGTCACCAGAGCTGGGTGTGTCAAATTTCTGTCCAGTTTAAGTGACCAAACAGCTTTTGTGGGATGCATCATTTATGTGTCAACACAGCCCTATACGGCAGCTTCTCTTAAAAACCAATCCAACTCCCTGACACTAATGCATTCAATATGACAGCCCCTCTACCTCCATGAGAGTTAGAAGAGCCTGTTTTCATTGTGAAGAGTTGGAACACTTTATGGTCTTTCTGGAAGCTGTGGTTTTGAAAGCTGTCAAAGTGTTATACTGCGAGACTTTTTAGACTCCATTTAGCATGGGAACAAACTGTGAAGAAAATGCTGAAAGAAAAAGCACTGAAAAAAAGAAATCAAACAAAAACAAAGTTGAGCTTTAAGCTGCTCAATATGAGAAAGGGAAATAACTGGGCCATGTTCAAACAATACCTAAATATGACGTATTCATTGCGAGATTTTTGTGGTTGATTGTTCCTGATAGTTGTGCCAAATAGAAACAAACCTTGTTGCTGGTGCACCTCATAGTATTTGCATCTTAGCATGACCTGCATAGAAAAATCATACACTCATAATCACATAGCTATGAGTCACATCATCCTCCAAACAGACACTAGTGAGTAACTTGTCTCACCCGAATACGAACCCTCATACATGATGGGAAGGCCCCACCCCACCCTGTCTCTCTTTCTGGTACTGCTCCAACAGGAATAGAGAGACGTGTGGCGAGGTGAATTAGGGGCACTCAGAAAACTTTTTTACCCCCCAGGTCATACATGTCAATGTCATTTCCCAAACACCTGTTAGTGCCTTCTGCTGCACCTTATAAATGCGTTTATTAAAAACATTTCTCGTGAACCCCCCGCGGCACTTAGCAGCACAGATGAGTTACTGTCGTCATGCAGCTCAATTTGCATAGATTTTATGGGTTATATGATGACAACACACCTGTTGATGCCTGGGAAGATAATAAAAAAGCAGATTTAACCAAATGAACATGCCACAATACTATGCGGTTATGTTTGAGATGAATTTTACGACGTCAAATGGTAATGACGCAAAGATATCCTTTTGAAAACTACTTTGTGCAATAAAATTATGAATCAAGAGTCTTTCTGAGAAATTAATCGCTTCTGTCTTTCTCAAAAATGCACCACTCAGCAGAAAAGTCATGAGGTAATACTTAGGTTATTTTTTAACAACTCAAACAACTCTGTTGTAACACCTATTACCACAGTAAATGGACAGTGTGGGTGGGAAAGGTTAGATTGTGTCACTATGAGAACCTGTAGAGACCACAGGCTTTACGTAAAACTGTGTATTTTGTACAAGAATGAATCGTGATGGATAATTCACTTTCATTTCAGCTTGGGAGTGACAGGAGTTAATGTACTGTTAAGACTCCAAGCCTCAAAACATTTCATTATGCACACGCCCTAGACTCACAGCAGCTCAGTCTTCCTGACATTTTTCTCACCTTTCCTGTTGCAGCCTGACTTCCTAATGGACTAACAAACAATGTCTTTTCCATTACACTACATTCAAACTGGACACAGTGTCTAAAAGGACACAGGCCAAGTGTCAATGGCCCTGACAGCTCTCACTTTTTTATCAGTAGTTTTCACAGATAGCAAATGTTTCGCTGTGGGAGCAGAGCCTCCCCCTCAACCATGCTTCATCCAGAACACATTCCTGTGGCGTTAAGTGAAGAGCCCAATACTGAGCAGAGCAGAGCAGAGAGGAGGGGCAGGCAGGGGTCGACCTCTTGGGAGAGGCTCCTCAGAGCAGTGACTTTTGAAAAAGGCAAACAACTTATTCTGTCATGAGTAAAAGTGGTTTCTGAAGCAGTAAAATTCTTTTCCGTGGACTTTACACACCTATTGACACCTGCTCTGTCATGATCAACAAATCAAATATCCTTTTAAGACTTTAATATGCTTTAAAACGTGTTGAATCTGAAGTTATTGTCACTGCAAGAGCTCATCCACTGTGAATTATGATGTCTTGCTTTGTTTTAAAAGTCTGAAAAGTATCTAAAAATCTGGAAGAATGCTTCCCCCTGCTGGCAGAAACCACACACATTTGCCAACATTTAGGAATGTACTTGTTCAGCCCCGCAGAAACACACACACACTGAGCTCTGCCCTGGAGGTGCTTTGCCTGCTGGTACTTTCAGGGAGGTTCACAGGCTGGGTGGGGCACTCAAGGTGTGTCTTCTTTTTTATTGACTCACTGTCTGTAGCGACTGATACTCGGGAGTAAAGTCCGCCTGTCTTGACAAGTGACAGCACAAGTCTAGAAAGAGACAAGTATCTTCAGGTCGGAGTTTTAACGACACTCTCCACTCTCTCGACTGTCACTCACTCGGACGTTAAACCGTCGGTTGGGTCCAGCTTCCTCGCGCGGACTACCGTTAAAAGCCGTTAAAGGGCTTTTTCAAAAATGGCGAATGTTTTAATTTTCAACGTATTCCTGGTGTTGGTAAGTACTTCCACTTTTGTTTTATATTCTTTGTGCCAAAACAAAAGTTTACCCTATACAAATGTGACCCTAGACCTTCTTTGTAAATTATCTTAGTTAAAGAGGGACTGATTTAGCACGGGCACCATTCTCATTATAACACCAGTCCGGTATTTGCTAGTTTAAACTCACTCGGAGGTCCATTTCCTACTTCAGATCCTGTCCGGTGTGGAGTCTTGTTTCATGCCGAGCTCTCAGTACGTGAATGTGCCACAAACTATTCCGTCTGGGAAATACATCACAACAGGTAGCCCATGTAACAATTTATTTTTTCTACGTGAAGTCATTTCCTTGGTCTTTACCTTGTAACGCCGATTTTACCTTTCTCGATATTTCAGTTGAAGTTGGCGACTGCGACACCAAAACAATACACTTCACCGTATATGATCCCAGCTTTGTGATATACAGAAATGGGACAGTCGTGGCTGTTAATACCATGTCAGTGACAACAGAGAAGACATTAGCTGTGTATGTAGGAGACAACATGGGCCAGGAGAGAATAATTGTAGTGCATCTCTCCAGCAGCGAAATACAAAGACAAAAGGTAAGGTTGAGTCCGAAGATGATAGGCTACTGTACTTTCAAAGTGGGAACACACGGTTTGAATGGTGATATATGTTCTTACATGTTACAGCGAACAAATACAGGCTTCCTGAGGCGCTCCAAAAGGCGATGGAGTCCCCCTCCCTTCAACATAATAGAGGAGGAGTCTGGACCCTATCCTCAAGAGATTGAAAAGGTAATCTTATTCTGCACACTGTAGGCTTGATTTTGTGTAGTATTATTTGCAAAGCCCATCAACAGATGATCTCTTCCCCTCTTGCAGGACTTGCCTCTCTTTTCTCCATTGTACATTTTTTTCCCCCACATTATTTCATTCCCACACCCAGACACACCTTGTCTTTGAACATTTTTGGCTGACTAAATGCAATTATTAATTCACCTGGTTTGTCCTTGCCTGCATTTCCGGACTGTCTTTCATTCATTCCTATTTTATTGTATTTACAGTTTTACAAAATATTAAAGGAATAAGACAAGCCTTTTTAGATTGTGGTTTTGTGTTTGTGTTCCTGTTGCAGATTGTGTCAGACTCAGCATCTGATCAGGAGGTGTACTACACCATCAGCGGACCTGGTGTGGAGCTTCCCCCAGTGGGATTGTTCACTCTGGATAAGTATTCTGGGATGTTGTCTGTGAACAGAGCAGTGGATCGCGAGCAGTTCTCAAAGTTTGTGGTAAGTGATTTTCACACTGATTTAAATAGAAACACTTGGTTTGGGAAATGTTGTATTTCTGCTACAAAATTGTCCCATAAAACAAATGAATACAAATCTTGTCAGTTGAAATCGGAGCGTGAAGAAATATAGCCATTTCTGAATTTAATAACTTTTTCTCTTCAATGAATTTTTGTGTCAGCCTTTTGAAAATAATTTTTTCTCTCATAGATAACAACCAGAGTATTCAACAGAATCTCAAATAAGGAGACAGACCTGCCTTTGGACATTGCAGTCGTCGTTGATGATATAAATGACAACGCTCCGACGTTCAAAGACTCGATGCAGTTCACTGTGCCTGAGAAAAGTGCAGTAGGTCAGGAACATGAAATATAATATAGTCTCTAAATGTAACTCTAAATGCGAGGCAGTCATAAACTCCAAACTGTAAAACCACAGATACATTCGTGGGGCTGGTGAACGCTACGGACAGAGACGAAGTGGGATCCCTACACGTAAAGATCAAGTACTCTCTTTTGACTGGGTTGGACCTATTTAAGATCCACCCAGTGACAGGCGTCATCACCACAAAAACTAACACATTGGACAGGGAGGTAAGGACCACAGTATTCATAATTTACAGACACAAAATAACTCGAAATTTCACTTTGCAAGTTCTGTACTCTGGTTTCGCATCAAATTGATATTTTTTTTTTATCTGTAGGCAAAGGAGAAGCACATGGTGACCGTACAAATCAAAGATATGGACGGTGCAGTTACCGGTCTGTTCAACACAGCAACAGCAACCATTACCCTGTCTGATGTCAACGACAACCCACCGACTTTCTTGAAACCAACTGTAAGCACTTACCAAGTTAAAAGCTGTTTTTAAATCTTTCCTAGACCGATTTTTCTTCTTGAATTGTTAAAACTTTTTTTTCTTTTTAGTATGAGGCCAATGTCAATGAAAATGAAAAGGAAAAATGTATCCTCCGAATTCCCGTTGAGGATAAGGATTTGCAAAACACAGCGAACTGGAATTCAAAATTTGTCATCACCAAAGGAAACGAGAATGGGCACTTCAGAATCGACCGAGACCCCAAAACAAATGAAGGGCTTTTGTGTGTCTCAAAGGTAGGACTGCATATCATTACCACAATGAAGAAGGAAGTATTATTTAAAGTACAACTTTAAAATATGACATAAAAGTTTAATTATAATGTTATTTAAAGGATCTCTAGCAGGGCAATTGACAGATTTGTGCTAATAATAAACTGTCTTCCTGTTGTTACAGCCCTTGGATTTTGAAAAAACTCCCAAAGTCAATCTTGAGGTGATGGCAAAGAATGAAGCTGAACTGAAAGGCACAAGCGCTCAGTGGAAGTCCATCCCAGTGAGTGTTGCTGTGAATAATGTTGATGAAGGCCCAGAATTCACAGCTCCTACAGTGCGCTTCAACGTAAAGGAGAACTCAGCAAATGGCACTAAGATCGGGATTTATGAAGCTGTGGATCCAGAGACCAAGAGCAGTGATGGCATCAAGTAATCACTCTTAATTTATGTTTGATCAAAAGTGCTGGTTGAGCTGCCAATTTATACATTTGCAGGAAATCCTTAAGATCCCAACTCAAGTCTCAGCTATCTCTGTCTAACACTGGAGGGCAGACTTACACTGCAGAATCTAAGGATGTGCTTCTTACTCATTTTTTCTCAGGTATTACAGGTCCATAGATCCAGGCTCCTGGATTGACATCAACAGGGACAATGGAGAGCTGAGGGTTGCAAACACTATTGACAGAGAGTCCCCGTTTGTTAAGAATGGAGAGTACCCTGTCATTGTGAAAGCAGTTGATGCAGGTAAGTAGCTTGTGAATGCTACACCTCTCATTCCCTCTTTAAAACAACTACTCATAAAACTCAGTCTGTTATTGTAACAAAAGAAGGCTCCTGCGTTGGGATAATAGCACAAGCGTAATACTTTTTACCTGTGCTGCCTGTATTTACTGAACCTGATTTAACATATCCATACACAAATTACAGGTTTTGACATGATACCCATCCAAAGTCTTCACTGTACAAAAGCTGGCTTTCTTAGTTGGGTTTGGCAAATTATTCATCACTGTGTCACTAAAGAGGCTGTGATTTAAAAAGAAGTGTCTTGTCCACATGTCACATCACCAAAGACACCCATATTATTTGTCATAAGACTTCAAACATTTTGATGGTATTGTTATTCCAGCCAAAAGTTATTAAGACACTCAGCCCCACCCTCTCCAGTATCTGTCTGAACAAACTTCTTTGGTGTCTCCTGAGAACACCTGTTGACGAAATCCGATGTGATTAGTCGTTCACAATGAGTCATAGTTCCCTGGTGCTACAGTGAAAATTGGGCTCCTTTCCCAGGTACCTGTTGGAGTTTGAAATTTCTTCAGAGGTGGCTTCCAAGTGCAGCCAGTTAGGCTAGTCTTGTTTTTTCTTGGTACTTGCATGACCTTATCTGTTTTCCACAAGTACTGATGTAATTCTGGTGTATTTCTCAGGTTCCAAAACAGGCACAGGAACAATCATCATTGATATAGAGGATGAAAACGACAACAAGCCAACAATTCCCGGCTCAGAGCTGGTTTTGTGTGAGAAGCAGGGAGAAATGGGCTCTGTGCTGGTTGTGGCCGAAGACAAAGACGAGAGTCCCTTCTCTTCACCTTTCAGCTTTAGTCTACCAAGCAATGACGGCACATGGTCCTTGACGAAAGTGAATGGTAGGTATTTTTATTTGACCTGTTGGCTCTAAAGAAGAATATTCATGGATAAATAACTTTATCCATACCACATAGTCAAACACTGAATGTGGATTCCTGACTAAAACTGCAAAGCTTTATTTTAATGTTTATAGAAACAGTAATAAAACTTCAGACTACTTACACCAAGAAATTCAATCAATGGTGAAATGAGATCCTGTGAGGAGTTTTTTTTTTTTGACATTTATCAAAGAGACTGAAATGTACACTGACGTCTTTCTGCTATACATGAAAGCAAATTTATTTTGTAATGTTTAATGCCTGAAACTGCTGCTGAGGGGTAGACATCAACAGAGAAGGTGCAGAAACATCCTCTTATGTATGGTACCCACATTTAATATTTAAAATGAGTGATAAAAATGACCGTCAAAAGTCATTAGGATGAGATATTATGTCTGACATCACTTCTTAAGCATGTAGAGAACAAAAAACAAGCAATGACTGCTTCGTCCACAGAGGGCGCCAAACTTGATACAAACCAAAAGTTTCTTACAGGAGCTTTAATTAAAAAAAAAAAAAAAACAACAACAACACTTTGGTGTACTCCATTTGGACCCAAAGTCCTGCTGTCAAAGCATAAATTGATAAGTGTTGATGCAGAAACATGTACATTTTAAAAATCACATTTAAAGAACTTTGTGATCCTTCTCTACAGCTGTCCAATAATAGCACAAGAATAAACCCATAATTGAGCTCTAAAAATGAAGCAAAGTGGTAACTAAAATGTCAAGAATGGTACTTCTGTCATAGTGACTGGTTACTTTCCCACTCTGGAAAGATTACTCATAACTAACCATGTTGACAACATGTAACATAAAACAAATTTAAAACAGTTTAACTGATTGTTTGAGTCTACCTAGTATGTGCTAGGTATATTGAAAGCATGGAAGGTAGAGATGGACTGATTATTTGGGCCATGCATATCAACAATCAATCAAAAAAATAGTAATGGACAATCATTTATGGATACAGAGTTTAGAAATTCTGAATCATAAATTCTGACATCATTTTTTTCTATACTCTGTGTTTTTACATCGTCTTATATTGTCTGGTTGTGTTGCTAATTCTCGGGCAGCAAAAATCTAATCAGATTTTAAATGTGTGTTTCCTCCTTAGACACAACAGCTACACTGAAGCAACTTAAGGAGCTTCCTACAGGAATATACAAAGTTCCCATCGATGTCAAAGATCTGCAGGGTTATGGTGAAGAACAGATCGCCAACGTAAGGATATGCCAGTGCAGGAACGGGGTCTGCTTGGCCAAGGAAAGAAATGTGTCATTAGGACCAATGGGTATACTGGCCCTGCTGCTGCCTCTGGCCCTCCTCCTGCTGCTCTGTGAGTAACTCCACTTTTCTATACTTGTTGAATTGTTCAGGCGACTGTGTGGATGATAAAACATGTATTATATAGTATTATACAGCTTATTCTGCTCACTTATATGATGTCCTCGTCACCTGCCGTGCTCTTTATTGCAAATGCATTTTTTTTGCACTCATTTCTGACATTATTGCATTGTTATCGCAGGCCTACTGCTCGCCTTTTTCTGTGCGACTAAGGGAGAGAAGATGCAGATTGACGATGGAGGTGACAGCGGAGGAATCCTGCTCAAATCAAACACAGAGGCCCCAGGGGAGGAAGTGGTAAGGGTGTAGAGCTGAAAGCAGCGCATTAGCTTATACAGAGAAAAACTCCTTTTATCCTTTACTATTACCATCATATGTTTTACGGTTGCTTCATCCCTCTTATATTTTGTTTTTGCTCTACAGGATGCAAATCTCATCAATGTTCCCATTACTACTGATACAATAGGGAAGGGCTCAGTAAAGGGGGTGAATACAGCATGGCCGGGGGGCAAGAGCACCAGCACGATAGGAGGCATGGGCACACATGAAAATGGGATGTACATGGAAAACAACATCATAACCAATACTTATGACCAATTTGACGGCACCTATGGATCACAGTTCAATGGAGGTCACATGGTTGGCTCCGGTATGGGCATTGACAGCAGGTACATGACCCAGGACTTCTCTTTTCTTCAGACATGGGCGACAAATGGCCGTTACCTGCAAACGGTAAATAAACACTATTTTTTTGCTTATTTTTTAAAAAAACTTTTGATGTGAAATATAAAAAGACAAAAAAAAACAAAACATATCGAAGATTTCAAGTTAGCACCAAAATTGGATGAAATTGAATGTGTCCGGATGTGAACACCTTTCATTCTCTGAGGTTTAATAACTCTGTTATCTGTGAAAGCTCAGGAAAGCCTCATGTGCAATATAATCTTGTTCTCTAAGCTCTGATAGTATCCTAGGTAAACTTTAATATTTCTCAACTTCTTTGAAAGACACTTTTTTTTTTCTTACTTGCCAGCAAGATGTTTGTTTTCAGTGTAATATCTGTCTGTCAGTCATATCCTTGCAGCTGTGTGTTATCACATGGTGCGGTATTTTCCCCGCTTACACCACCAGGTAATAACACACTTCCTCCCTCCTTGCTCTTTGTCTTGCAGAAGCTACCCTATCTTGGAACAGAGGACGACGGGCGCTTCGCAAATGACATCATCCACTCTTACGGATATGAGGGGGCGGGCTCTTTGGCCGGCTCTGTTGGGTGCTGCAGTGACTTTGGGGACAATGAAAACCTGGACTTCCTTAACACTCTAGGTCCAAAGTTCAAAGGTCTGGCAGAAACCGCCAAGAAGACATGAACAATGAGCTCCAGAAATAATGGTTTTGACTTTTCAAGGGGCAGGATGCAGAGAAGCCTGGAAGGTGAATGTCTGGTTAGCCCCTGAACATGAATGAAACAGACAAGCAGGTGGCGTCAATGTGTGCCCACTGCTATTGCTCTTTGTTTTGAGAACATTTTTTTGGCTTTTTAATTTTTTTTTTCTCGGTTAAGTCGTTTGCACTGAAAGCTATGCCTATGCAGTAAGTTGTACATATTTGTGTTGTGTTGTGTGTTATGTGTTGTTTGCCTTTAGATTTTTTTTATTCATCAGCTGTCCCTGCACATCAGAAGGCGGCAGGGGCTGGTTTTACAGGTTCAGTGTGGTAGTTGTGATTTAAGTAACGCCAAGGGTTTTCTATCAATAACAGCTGTGGGTATTTTAGTGGTATTGTTGATAGTCCTTGTTCACCGTAACGATGGATTTCGCCTTTTTCTGACTAATTTGAAATGTCTGTTTTTGTGCTTTGTAAATATTTTTTAAAGAAAGCTAAAATAAAGAAACAACATGAAACACGACCAGAAGCTTTTTTGTATGATTATTTCTACTAAGTGATTCACTTCAGATGACATGACTGCTGACTGCCTGTGCCTGCTTTTTTATATCACACAGTAATTATCTCTGCACATTCCACAGCAACTCCTTACCGCCGGTTGGGCGTAGCTTCAGCCCGCAGTGTGACAGAGGTTGTTGCGCCATTCAGACAGTAATCCTGTCAAAGTCAGCACAAGGGCGTGAAAGGGAGGAGTAAGGTGTTACCGACACAGCCCACAACTGTCTTGAGTACAATACTCACCCTGTGTACAAGGAATGCAAATGGATCATAAAAATGCATTCTACTAGCTAATTAGAGGCAATCTGAAACGACAGTTAATGCATACTTGATAGTAATATAGCGCATCTTTTCTGTGCTCCTGCATACATCTTTGATTTTTATTGAGGCAGAGGTAATTTCATGGAAAACAAATTCAAATATTCAAGCGTCTAAAATAACCTGCAGCTAAAGAATATGCTCTTTGCGAACAGCTGCGATCACATTACAGTTTGATTATTAAAAATATATACCTATATCAAAAAAAAGTAAAACAAAAGATTGCTCATAGTATTTTAATCTCTGTACTTCAGCTGAGAGATGAAGAGGAGTACTGGAGCAAACACAGTTGCTCACAGTGCTCAGTTTGTGTGTACTTTAGTGAATGATTTACTGGGTGTGGCCGTGAGCTTACAACAAATGAAGGGCTTGACGTTTCGCTACATGGCTAATGTTTACCTCTTCTGCAGATCGAGTTGGTGCACTTTTTGGCGGACTATCACAGTGCTCTTCCTGTTGTTGTCCTGTTTCAACACAGCCAGCACTGTTTTTTTCCCCAACACAAATTTCAGTGTCACTGTGATTGTGACACGCTTTATTTTGATTATTGTGTAATAGTTTATCACCTGACGTCTTTCTAATAGGTTCTCTTGTTAGAAGAAACTCTCTGAAGTGTCCAATCAACGTCACTTAAAATGAATTATTGATCACATATTTAACGCCAGGCTTCTACAGATAACAGGCTTAGCGTCTTTACGCATTCAACCCCATAAATAAATGATATCATGTAACAAATGTGTTGAATATAAATCCTACTCTCCAATGACATTGTGATCTCATTATGCATATTCTGCATATAGATGATTAATTTGTAGATAAAACAAAAAAAAAGCTAACAACATTCAACTCTTTGTAAGGATGACGCACATCATGCATCAGTGTGATGAATTCCAAATATGAACCTGGAAATATAATTATAGGGTCCAGAAAAGACCATCTGTCATGTGATTGCGGTGAAGAGTATTCAAGATGACAGCAAGAGAGCAAGGAAGGGAGGGGGGGAGGATTAAATCTAGGAGTAAAATCTGGTCTCTTGCCACGATCAAACACTGGAATCTTGTTAAGGAAAAACACAACAATGTTATCTGCACAGATTACAATAATACTGTCACAATTATGGGAGGATGTGAACGAGATGTGAACATCAAAGGTTTATGCTCATACATCCCACCGGGGCCAATTAGAAGAATCTTGAAAAGTCACTTCACTTTAAATAATGAAAATAAGCAGTTAACCCAAATATCTCCACTCCAAGCACAGAGAGGAACTTTTCAGTACCCCCTTAATTTAATGATAAAGAGCCTTTTTCTTATTAATTACAATCCTCTGAAGAAATCAAATACACTTGAAATCTGGTGTCAAATGTTGCAATCAGTCACATTTTTGGTACTTTTTTTTGTTTATTCAAAGCGCATCCTGTCCTCTGTTTAACCCCAGACAGATATTTAGCAGTACAGGGAATTTCTACAGAAAGGAGTCTACCATGACCAAACTGTTCACAATGATGACCCAGGGTGAATATCACTTGTTCAGCAGAAATCATTTGACTCATTGCTTATTTGTAGCTGCATACCATTGAAAGGGCGTGAAATGTATCATGGGTTTCCAAACTGTGGAGCAGGGAGAAAAAACTGTGGCCTCAGTTATCACAACTCTGAATTACATTTTCACACTTTTTAATTAAAAGAATTGATAAAAATAGTAGAGGAGAAATATTTCTGTTCAGTTCTGCGGTGCGAAATAGCAAGCTCAGCTGTCCTGACATATGGTGCATGCATGCATGTGTGTGCATGCCATAAGGGTTGCACAACAAAAGTACCTTAGCCGCTTTTAAAATGACAACAAACAAGAATTTTAGATAATTTCTTCAAGGATTATCACACCCATCCTTATGTAAAGCAACAGCAGTGATAAGCCCCATAATTCAATAGACCCGTTTGTGTGTCCGCCCTTATCAGAGCTGCTTGAGCCATCACTTCCAGTCACTTCTGTAAAGATGCAATTAATTCCAAAGCAGTAGCGTGAAATTAATTTATTGCTTGTAATTAGTTTTCGGCATACTGTGAAAACAATCTCTCCAGATAGGCTGTTTCTTTTTTTCTGCCTCCACCAGAGAGTCTGAGGACACTTGGCTCCACTGGAGTTCAATATGGAGTGCATGTCTTTCAGCTGCCAAGCTTGCGGGGTTTAGAAACGCCTTAACTCCCTGTTGACATTGGCCTCAGGATTTATGGTCTTAAACCTATCATGCAAGATATTTTGGTAGCAATCAACACGAGAAAAAGTGATCTCTTCGTGGTATGTCTCAGAAAAACAGAAACCAGGACATTTATAAACAGAATTCAGGTTGTTTGTGAATAATTTAATCACTGAGCGTGCATGTTTCTGCATTCAGCAGGCTTCATTCGGATTGAAGTGATGGATTCATGAAGCAAACCTAATTATGCTTTGTTAAGAAGGACTCTCCTGTCACTAATCAGAGATGATTAATATGCACTTTCCTCAGGAAAAGAGGTTATAAATACAAGGTGTCGTGCCTAACCAGACCAGTAGGTGTCACACTTACCTCTTTTCTGAGTTAAAGCACAGGCAGTGGAGGCAGCTGGGGGAGGAATATTTATGGAAGGTGGTGGATTCTAGTCAAGACACTCTCCCTTGTCTGTCATATCAAACACCTGAAATCACTTCAATTAAGCCGTGAAGGTACGACAGCCTAGTTAAAGTGAAGTGATGTGACAATCTGCAGCAGGAGACTCATCACGCTTTCATGTGGCATATGCCCGACTTCACTGATATCAGGCGTCACTTATCCTGTAAGATCAGGCTTTTCAACAATTCCTCCTCAATCATTATAACCGGAGGGAGACGGAAGATGACCACTGTCCCTGAATCAGCCAAGATTAATGACTGATTATTTAAAACTCGCACTATTTATAATTCAAATTCTCAACCATCTTCCAAGGATTTGTGACTACCTCAAATGACAGGGACACATGTTTTTCACAACTATCAATCAGTCTGCCGATTCTTTATGTATCTCTAAATCACAACAAAAAAACAGTTTTGTGATATTCAATCCAAAGACCAGATCTTGGCTGTGCAGAATTCTGCACTGTGTTATGTAGTATGGCTCAAAGCACGTAGAAAATCTTCCCTGAAACAGGCAAAATGCTTAAGCAGAACTAGACTCATTGGTGGAAAGCTATCTGCCACGAATGTCCATGTGATGTATGTCATGATTGCTCCATAAAAGTGAAGTCAGCCTTTTCCTGGAGCTCCTCCTAGTGACTCAATGCAATGTGTCCACCTCCTCTATGTCAACAGATCGAACAAACTGTCAAAACAACACACACATCAAACAGTTCCTCCATACACTAGAGTTTATTCTTTTCATCCTGATTTACATCCAGGTGTCAGGAAACTAAAAAATACATTTACGGGTTATTTCATCCTTTAAAGAGCGGTGTGTGACAAATACTGCAATCCTGTTGGACTGTGTGCAGTGATTTAGCAGAACGACACAGGGAACAGCAGGAGGACACAAAGCAAGGTTCACTGAACTTTAAGTATGAGTGTCTGTTTTAATGATGTAGACTGTGCTGACCTACAGGACCAGTGCTGTTTTGATAAATTGGTGTTTGTTAGCAGAAAAGGAGGGATATGAATACTGTGACTTGACCAGCGGACCCCTACTGCACAAAGTCTCCTAATGATGTCACAAGCGAAATATATCAGGGTGGTATTTTGGCTTTGCTTTGTCGCAATTTAAGTGGGTGGAGAAGTTGTCCTTTTTTTCTTTTTTTTTACATAATCAGAGACTGTGTCCATTAAAGCCTTTTTTTTTGCTGGCAGCACCAACAACCTCAATGTCAGATGGCGACTTATCAGCTGAGAAGCATTTTGTTGCAGGGTTACCAAAGTTTTTGGCATCACTTTCGCTTTCCTTTGTAGTCACCGTTTGGTCTGTCGCTCCATATGTTTCATATTTGCTTTCGTTTTACGGACAAACACCTTAAACAAGCAGAGCCGGCCCAAGGCATAAGCGAACTAGGCTCCTGCTTTGGGCCCCATGGCCAGTAGGGGGCCCCCAAGAACAACCAAAAAATTTTTTTAAAAAATTTAATGTTTTTAATTTTTTGCATGTATGAGTGATGCTTTCTGTATGATCCAATATAAATTATTGTAACAATAAAACAAAATACAATGCGTCCCGGGTGAAGATAGAAGACTGACACAACAGCAGACTGACTGTTTTTCAGTTCTGACACTAGTGTTGAGATGGCAGTCTGTGTTTGAGACAGTGAAAATACATATGGTATGTTGTATCTGAACAGGTTAGCTTACGAGCTAAAGTTAATTAGCACAGATGAAAGTTAAAACAAACAGCAATCTGTTTTCCGACACGAAAACAATCAGCCGGTCGGCCATGTTGGATGTACTGGTGAACCGCAACAATATGAAATCTGATGTGAAGGCTTGTATTGACTTGATATGGGTTCGAAAAAAAATATTGACATCTGAAATAATCGCACGAAAAAAAATTAAAAAAAGATATGTCAAAGCTCCGCTACGGTTATGTGCCTCCTGCTGTGCAATGTGCACCGAGCATCCAAAGTGCAGGTAGTTGTGGGGCAAAACAATGTCACTAAAAGGACATATCCTTCAGGAGCAGAGAAAAGAAAGAGGAAGAAGAAGGAGAAGAGAAAAAACGTCAAGATAAAGGTATGTATGAGATTTGTGAAGGTGTGTGAATGATCAACAATCAATATTCCTGGCAGAGATAGAGGGCCACAAAATCAAAGTTTGCTTAGGGCCCCATTGAGGCTCTGTAAACGAGTTTCAGTCATGTCATAGCAGTGGTAGAAGCCCTGAACCCAGAAGAAAGACCTACACCTAAAGTCCCGCCCCTTCTTCATTGGTGAGCAGAAAGTGACATAGATGAGCTCAGTGAGAAAAAATTGCCAATACTAATTAGGTTTTTCACAAAAAACACTGAACTACATTTAGTTGGAATAGAAAAAAAGCACAAAAATTAGACAAATTGGTCGACACAGCCTTACAATGACTAGAACATACTGCTCTTATTCTGCATTCACTCTACACCAGCAGAAACTACTTACTACATTGTTTGAAGGGTTGTATTATTCCTGAAATTTCTGTCCACCTCCTTCACACTCAGTTGAAATGTGCGGCTCACATATTAATTAGATGAATCTGTTAAGCAGCAGAGAGCCTCAGCGAGACATCTGCTTCTTAATTAGTCAAAAGGATTCAAGTCACAAAGACTGGAAAGAATACCTGTCTTAATGCTAAATGAGCTCATTTGATTAAATCCATGATTATTTAACACAAGAATCTCTTTATACAGTGTAAATATTAATACATCACATATTTTCTACAGGCTGAATGAAGCTTAGCAAAATGCAGATAGAGCTTTATTTGGATTTTTCAATCTAATTCACTGCTTTTTCATTTTTTAAGGGTTTTTAGCGAGTTTCTCCACCATGACATGTGATAATTATCTCCCAGATCTGATTATCATTGCAGCTCAGGAAAGCTAATTAATGGACTCATCCTTGTAATGATTGTGTGAATCAAACTGTCATTTCCCCCCTGGGTTTAAATGACAGGTCTAAAAAAAAATATTACAGAGTGGAAATCTTTTTGAACACAAGGACATGTATGACGCACGATACTGAAAGCATAGACAGACAAATAAGAGGGTAAACTTCCTGGTAAATTATCGGGACATAACAGTTTCTTCAATTTATTTTCTGTTGACCTATTTTCCCTGCAAATGTTTAATGGCAAAACATACAGGAAAGCAACAGACAGCACAAGATTAAAGCTTTACTTTCATCTTATTTCTTCTAATGAGAGAGGAACACTGGAGGACGAGGCTGCTCATCATCAAGTGACCACCACAGTGAAGCGGAAAGCCTCTCAGACTCATTACTGCACAAACGCACGGCTGAGGTTGACCGCCGCTGAGGCCTATTCATCTCCACAAGCCCACCTCTGAACCACATCAAGAGACTGCGGTTGAAAATATCTGCTTATGTTTGTCTCCTAAGCACAAGCATTGAAGTGCAATAAACCAGAGGTCTTAGTGCAGGAATTGTAAAGTACTACTCTCATTCCTTAATGTTAATCCTGCTAAGGTTCGCCCCAATTCGCACTCAGGTTAGGTGGTTAGGGCGTTGAACAACATGCTGAGAAAAATTCACGGCTTGTCTCGGTCTTGCTGGTGCGAAAACGCTCCTGCGACTACAACATGTCAAATAATCATTTTAATAAAAACACTCTGCAAAAGCAAAAAAAAAAGCCGCAAACGGAAAGGTTAAAGGAAATCTAAAGGGTGTTGTTGGTGCCGGAGAAGAAAGAAATGTTTGTCACAAGATGTGCCTGTCTGACTGAAAGCCTCGGTGTGACGTTGTTGTTTGTCACAAGTGCCACACATTAGCACAGTAGCCCTGGTACATTCATCTGACAGAGAGAGGGGGGAAAAAAAGAGGGCCTGACAAAGTGTTATCTTCTGTAGTATTCATAATCAAAGAGAGCCCTGCAGAATATTACTGTCATGTATCAGCAACTGCTAGCATTTAACAGGCAAAACGCAAGGGTTTAAAAGGCGGGGATCAGCAGAGAGCAGAGGCAGGGGCACACGGGGTTAGACAGGAGGAATAAACAGGTAGATTAGGAGCAGAAAGGAGAGAGCCAGAGTGCTTGGCATGCACACACACAGAGAAGCCAGGCCTTTTTTCATGTGGCTGTTTGCCGGTTGATTTTGGGGACTGATGTTAGGCATTAAGTCGGAGCAAAGATTCAGGCTCACTTCGGCTCTTAGTGTGTAACCCCTGTAGTGAAGATCTATAAGGCTGATCAGACCACCTTCTGTGGAAGCTGCCGCTTTTGCCTCACAGCCAATCCCCAGACCCGGTTCAGAAAAAGACTTCAGCAGACTACAAAACACAGTCTCACACAGAGGTTATGCCTTGATAACCACCCAGTCTTAGCGAGGAATTTAATTGGCCCGCTGCATATTCGACTTCAGGGAATGTTTTGACACTGTAGGTGTCAGAACAGGATGAGCCAAAGGTTGGAGCAGTGGATACATAGCATGCTGCCAAATCTCAGCCCCCTCAGCCCTCTGAGCTCAACGGCCATAACGCAGATTTGCATATTGATGAGGATACTTGCAAAGTTTCTAATCCATAAATTAAGATTCTAATGCAAAAATCAAAAACAAGGATTATTGCACTTAATGTAAACGTGACTAATTTAAAGGGAGCACTTCTTTTCCTGATGCTTATTTCATGCATTCAGCGTACAACAGGGAGGGGAAGCAGATCTGACCACCAGTCTCCGAGGACGTGTATGGCAAAGTGGGACAAAATAGGTGGAAAAAATGCACACATTGCATGTGTATGAGAACACACAGGAATACAACTTCATTATCTCTGAATACATATACCGTCTGTGGTGTCAAAAAAAATCCAATACTGCACAGAAGCAAATCTCTTTCTAAGCCCTGTGACCGCTTTGTTGTTTATTTATACCAAAGTGAGGAGAAGTTAAACCACACCGACACCCACTTTACATGGTGATCCCTTTCATGTTCTGAGACCGAGCTCAAAAGACTTTTTTTTTATACATATCCACCAACACTGATGCCAAGGGAATACATTTTATTGATTTGCTGTCAGGCTTGGATCAACAAGGTCCTTTCAGGAGGCTCAGTACATAACAGCACAGCCGGAAGACTAGCGGAGCACATATAGACTAGCAAATGATAATGTTTAGGGTGGAAAACACAGGGTTTGTCTCTTATGTCTCTTATGTCTCATGCAGCTGGTTTTAGAGAGTCTGCACTCTCTGTTTTGTTCTCTTGGCTCGAATTTTCGAGTAAATTAGCAGCTGAGTGAGAAATAGTTTCCCATCTAATTTTACTGTGTTGTAAAATCAGTTCATCATCAGTTAGTATAATGCGTCCTATATCAAAAAGGGTTTCATTTCCCCTCAGATAAAGGCCACTAAATCATACACACCATCACTCTTACCTCATTTGTCTTTACAGCAAAAAGGAACAAGTTTACAGCCTATGGTGCAAAAAATAATTCTCCATTCTCTATCTACACACTCTAGACAGGGGGTTCATTTTTTATAGCTCATTATTTCTGAAGACATTAAGGTTGCTAGTTTTATATAATTAGTGGCGGGGCTGACCTTTTTGTCTCTTGTTGGGTCGACTGAAAGTTATCTTGTGAGTCATTATTTCTAATACGGCTTTAAACAGCACTTCACAAACCAATGGGTGATGTTAGAGACATTGTCCATTTGAAATACAGCCTCTGATTGAGCCATGTTTAATTAGTTATGGTCCATTTTGATTGTTTTTAGACTAGCTGGTAAGTTGGGACTTTACACTTAGGAGCATCTCTGGCTTATTCAATATCTCTCAGTACATCAGGATGTTCTGTACACTCATGTTTTCTAGTTGTAAAAGACATGACATATTGTTGTTGAAAAGAGATCCTTGTTGCTTTCTCTCTGTATATAAAAAACTGTGTGTGGATGTTTATCTCCTGTTGTTGATGGAGAACTAGACCAGCTGTTAGAGACCTTATCAGCCTTTTTGTTTGCATTCCCTATATATGAGGTTGTGGGTTCCATCTAAAGCCATCTTGAGCTTTGCCATATTTTCCATATTGTGTGGTTACATGGTTCATGTATCCAGGGCTCCATCAAATAGGTCTAATGAATGAATACCGAGAGCAAATGCATGGTATCTGTAAATAAAATGTTTTGTGATATTAATGCAATTCAAGGAGATTTATGCAGATGTTCGACAATGCGTGTTGGTATTCAGATGAAAAACAAATGCGATTCATCTGTGGACTTGCTTCTCAGCATCCTTGAGGGGTGTTTTACATAAGTCTTTGGGCATACTGTGGCATGTAAAACAGCAGGAAAATGATCCAAATGTCTTAAATCATGGTGGCATATTGGTCAGACTTTTTGTTTGAAGGCTTTGCGAAGATCTCAGGTTTAAGATGTTGATGAATAAGCTAGCTGGGTGATGAAAACTCATACTCAAGTTTTGGTAAAGTTAACTTTAAATTGTTATGAATGATTTAAGAAATGTGCTGAATTACTGTGAGTCAGGTTCAATCCAAGATGAATCCAAATGGGCCAATGGACCTATTTGCTTTCCTTCACCTGTTCTCCCTGCTGTTCTCCTGCTCGCCGTGTACCACATTCTGTCCGTGACTGACTCCATTCAACACAACCCCATTTAAATGAGAGCTAGGTTCCTATTATATTCTTTTACCCACCTTAACCACTGCTTCCTCTTCTCCCTCTCTCATTGATTGCTGCGCCAACATCTCAGAAATCGCTCCATCTATTGTGAATGGCAGGAGAGGGAATGACGGAGGAGAAGAAATCGATGTCAGTACATTTGGCAGTCATTCCTCTCCCCTAACCTTTCATCCTCTCCACCGAGAGGTCAAATCAAAGCCTCATCAACAGAGATAACAACGAGGAGGGATGAAATCTGTCACGTTTTATGGTTAAATTACACAAAGTGGTAGGAATATAGCAAGACAATAAACAAACATCCAAGGGTGCCCTTATATTCAAATGAAAAAAGGGAACGGGATGTTGTTTTTTTGTCAAGTCTCAGCATTTTCAGAAGTCTAATACTGTCTCTGTTTATCCTCTAGTGCCAAGTGTAGAGTGTCTTTGTAAACTATTGGATAAATTGCTTTTGTTTCTTACACAAAGATGCCCGATCAGACTTATCTGCGTATTGTTCAGACACACTTTAACCCAATTCAATCTTGGCACTGTCATCAAATATGTGCACAAGGATTGACTGATATTGAATACAGGAGACGTCCAAATGCAGTTCTTAAAGACCGACCAGCAGCTGAGGGGGTTAACCTTTCATGGGTCACTGTCCAGCATGCCGAATCCCTCTCAGGTCACTGAATGTATTACCATGCATCTGTGATTAATTACTAACAGGGCCGACAGCAAATTGCTGCCACAGATGACACTCAGTGTGATAACATTTCTTATCCATGACCTCCATCACCCCCTGGACATAACTCACATCGATCACCAGCTCTGATTTACAGCTTCTTTTACGGGAGGTATTAATGGAGCCTTTGTTGCTGAATGATTTATTCCAGAAGAAAAATTTCAACCTTTATTTTTAGTGCATACTGAACAGTGTCACAAGTGAAAAGTTGAAGATGGGATAATATTTTTGAAAGGCACGTCATTGCCATAGATCATTAGAGATTTGATCCTGGGTTCTTTTTAGCTTATTCAAAGTTAATATTGAGTCAAAAGTTAGTGCCATATGTTTGTGTATGATTACGCTAGGTTGATATCTGATAATAAAACTTCTTAAACATTAGGAAACATGGTTAAACTGTACGGTAATTGTACATGCAGTGATAGTGTCAAAGTCAGACACTATTTTTTACAATTCTTTTACATGTTAGTAGTATTAAAAGAAGTTAAATCTCAAAGTGCTCAAAGTCATTTTATTATATTTCAAAATTCTGGTGAAGATAGCTGCAAATATTCTTCCTTTTCCTGGTGAATAACTTGACATAAGGACAAGCTGGTTCTTCACTAGAATTTCAATGGATGTTTTGTGGGGTTGAGCAAAGTTCACTCACACTGCCTGTATTTACAATGAGAGCCCAAGCAAGGGATCAGAGGTGAAGAGGAAGAGACGATGCAGCCAAGGACAGAAACCATAATGAACAAAATGTACCAGTAATTAAGAGTAAAAAACTCTAAAAGATTCCATCTTAACAGAAACACAGTAAAGAGATAGTCCGTTTTTTTTTTTTTAAGTGAGTTTGTATGAGGTACTTGGCAATAGTAAATGTACTATCAAAAGGACATTGAAGAACCTGCTGGAAAAGCAGAACAGAAGCAAGTCCTTCTCTTGACCGGCTAACACAGGAGAGCAGGAAAGATCCCAAGTTACCTGCGGGTGTAGGGCTGCAAACTGTGAGTCCATCCTCACAAAGCCCAGAGAGCTCCATCTGTCCTGAGTGGGACTTAAGGTCCTTACACACCGGGAATGACGCAAATATACGACGCAAAATTATGAAATATTCAGAGGCAAATTTTGACGCAACTGACTATACACATCGAGCGTGATGCGATTTTGCGAATTTATTTAAAAATAAAAAAAAAAGTCTTATTTTTTAAAAATAATAAGAGCTACCATATGCCACAGTTACTAAAAACAGAAAACACAACACCAGACTGACCGTTTTCAGTTCTGATTAGAAACTAGTGTTGAGATGTCTGTCTGTAATGATAGCATGTATGAAGTCAGGGCTAGTACCAGATAAGCACATTCAACTATAATACATAAACGTAAGGTAACAACCGAGAACTAACGGTGCTGCGACAACAACGCGATTGAGTTTGAGACAGTGAAAATACATATGGTATGTTGTATCTGAACAGGTTAGCTTATGAGCTAAAGTTACTTAGCACAGATGAAAGTTAAAACAAAGACGTTTATCAAACTGTTAAAGCACACAAACCAGCATCATATGAGAAATCCGACGCTATGACTCTCCACAAGTTGTCTTTCAGGTTATCTTTGTAATGTTTGTGTTTTTTATCAAAAAGCACTCTGTTCTCCGACACGTAAACAATCAGCCGGTCGGCCATGTTGGATATACCAGTGAATCTGACAATCTGTGAATGACACAACCCATGTTCCATATGTCTGTCTATACAGCTGATACAGACAGCATAGGAGTTTCTTCTCTGTCTTTCTAGGTCTTCCTCTTTGTACTCTTCTTGTGTCCATACCCTTATAATCTACAGGCCAGGTCTAAATAGAGTGTTCTCTTCCACTCTAAATTGGAGTTTCTTAAAATGAGCTAAATTACATGTTACAGCCGACAGTTTTTACCGTAGATGACAGCCTTACTTCCATGTCGGTTCTCTAGACAATTTCCCAACAAAGGGGCTGAAATGACCGACAATCCCTTCCGGTAATACACTCACTATTAACAAATGCTCCATACGATCCCATTTCAAAATCGACAGAATATCCCTTTAACTACTGTATATATCTGATTCAGGGGTGAAAATGTGGGCATTTCATGCAGCCTGAATATCTATGAAACTGTTTTGAAAGTCATAATCTTGATCCAGCTTCAGTTCACCACAGGGAAAAATCTTGTTTATCACCAACATTACTTTAGAAACTGCTTCTAATGATACAGCTCGGGGGCTTTTTCAGAGAAAAACAGCATTCATTCCCAGTTGCGAACAGTACATTTATGAGCTAAAACACGTCCCATTAATATCCTGGAGATTAATGGCCAAGGTTGTTGCTAGGTAAAACCTTTTATCTCTGCTGCTGTCAGCCTTCAGATAGCATAAAAGATTTTTGCTCTCCAAATTGTACTCTCGATTTTACCACTAGATTACACACCTCAGTAGAATATTGCAGTGCAATTAAAAGGGGAACTCGTGCGCAGGCTTATTCTCCAGATAGTCACGCTTGAATATATCGCTCATGAGAAAAAACACAAAAAAACCTAAATTATTAATCTCAATAATTATTTCATAACTTGCCATTAACAAACCAAGTAAAGGGGCCTTAATGTGGTCTTATATACAATTCCATTAAATAGTAAAGGGAGTATTCAGGCAGGATGCTATCCAAAAACATCTCTCTGTAGAGCCTGAGCAGGCATATTTAAAGTCACAGAGCTATCACATTGTTAAGTCCCTGGACGGCAGCAGCAGCATAGGCACACACTGACCCTGTCCATAAGCAGAAAGTAGCCATAACAATGGAGAACAGGGCAGATGAAGGTTGCATGTAATTACACCTACCCTGCAGCTTAATTAGGTCACCCTTAAGTGAGTATTGTGTGCGAGTGTTGTGCAAGTGTGTGTTTTCCCCTGCATTAATGTGTGTGTAAACACTGTCTCCAAACAGGCCAGAGGTTCATGAGTCACAGGATCAGAATGAATATACAGCAGTCTACCGGAAAGTGCCTCTC